TTAACTGCCTTGCCAGTTATTGAAACATAAGCTGGTGATGTCTCTGCATATATTCCAACCAATGTTATTTCTATTACTGATGGATAAATTTTCTTAGAAACTGAATTGTTCTTTAAAGTAAATAAATATAATCTAAATATAGGGTATTAGACCAGCTATCAACGTCGGTTTGTCTGTATCAAGAGTCGGATCAGCTGCTTAAATTAAAGCAATGAAGACAGTTGCTGGTAGACTTAAATTAGAATTGGCTTAATACAGAGAAGTTGCTGCCTTTGCTCAATTCGGTTCTGATTTGGATGCCGCTACATAATAATTGTTAAATAGAGGTGCTTAATTGACTGAATTACTCAAATAGAAACAATACGTAAATTATATTAAAAATATTAAAGGTACCAATGTGTGCCGAAGAATAAGTATGTGTTATCTATGCAGGTGTTAGAGGATTTTTGGATAAAGTATAAACTTCAGAAATAGCTAAATTTGAAGAGAAATTTTTGAATCATCTCAGAACAAATTATCCAGCTATGTTAGAAAGAATTAGAAGGTATTATAAAGAATGATAATTTATAGTACTGGTGAATTGAGTAAATAAGATGATGCTGAATTGAAGAGTATCTTAGAAGTCTTCATTCCAGAAGCCGGTCTTGTTATGAAATAATGATCAATTACAATAAAATAAATATTTAAAATCATAATATAAGAATCATTGTAATTAAATAATAATCAATTGATCATTAATTTTTCCCACTCTACAATAGTTTATTCAAGGTTATCTACACTTTATTGTAACCTATCTTCAGCAAATTTGGACATGATTGACCATAATGGTCTAACAATAAATTTAAAGAATCCTACTTCAGATTTAGCCATGATAGGTAACTAAATACATAGAATGATTATAATACTTAATCTAAATCTTTCATATATGGTAATTAAGGATATCCAAATTTACCTTCTAAACTATATTATTCCTAAAATTCCATATTTACTCTAGTACTCCATTCTCTACTCAATTTAAATGGTTTAGCACCACCAGTAAAATCAGAGGTATGAATAATCATACCAGTCAATAATCGAATATCTTCTTCAGTTCCAAAGTTAAGTTCCTTAATTCTAGCTTCAAAATTCTTCATTAAATTAAAATGTTCTGTTATATCTGTATATAGAATATTGGAAATGAAAAGCTTTCGAAATTCTCTGAACTCAGCTGATGTAAAATTAGGAATTATATTTGTAGCAGGAGCACATAACAGTTTAATAGAAGTTGCTGCATGATGTTATTCTAAAACACTCTTATCATGATATCTAATAGCCAGATTTGATAAACTATTTATCTCAAAAATATTTGTCCTTCCTGTATGTGATACATCATGACAAAGACCAGACATTATCAATGCAAATTTTGTGAATTAATTTAATAAATTTGCATATTAGGTTTTCAATATCTCCAAACTAATAGCATGTGTGCATTACATTACTGTTACTCCATGATCATAATTATGAAATTAATTCCCTCTTTTATTATACTTATATTCTAATGCACATAAAAAACTACATAATGCATCATCACTTATATTATAATCTTAAATGAAATTATTTCTCCTCAATATTGAAAACACCACTTTCTATTTTTCCAACCAATCAGTACTATAAGGTAATATGTTAAAATCAAAATTATCTATATTTTCAATACAACTCTCAGTTATCATATCTGGATAAAAATGATTTGTTCCTTTAGTCTTAGGAATCAAACGAATACTTTCACTTTCTTAAAGCGAATTTCTTTAATCTAAATGTCTAGGACTAAAACTTGGACTAAAATTTTTAAATTAAGATTATTTTTAAGTTGCTTTAGGCTTAAACATTTAAACTACTGAATTTTTTAATTAAGGATGTTTTTATTCTAGTTTATCCAAATATTAATTCGTCTCTTATTAAAGAAAACTCTTTCTAAGTTTATTCCATTAATTTGCATCCAATGATTTTTAACTGTATCTGAACCAACCCTATTGAAATATTACAAAAAATCCTTTGAAATACTTCTCTTCCATTTTCATAAACACTTCATAAGTTGCATTACTATCTGATAATTTCCATTTATTTTAATCTTGCAATTAATTTTCAATGTGCTAAATTAAATTTTTATTCTTAAATATGCTTGTGTATGAAGCATCATAAAATTAAGGATTAAAACTAATATTGAAATCTTCGGCCAATTTACTTGTTATTGGTTATGAAACAAATGTTATTTATCCTTATTTATCAAATTCAAAAATCAGTGAATCTTAAGATTTTACAAAAAATTTGTAAAAAGTTGTTCTATCATAACATTGTTTGATAAATTTTAAATATTTATTGTAACTCAAATTAAATTATTTATAGACATTCATATCTTCCTTCCTATTTAAATCGATGCAGATATGAATGCTTAAATTTAATGAGTCTCTAAAATCAAATTCAACAGATGGATGCATACTTATAAATGATGTATTATCCTTACAAACTTTATATCTTTCACTTAAAATAGTAATTGATTTATGAATAAAAAAGTATTTAGAACATCTAATAAAGGCTATTCCTATATCTTAAATCATATGAGATAGTTATAGTGGATTAAAACATTAGACTCGTGCTTATTTTAGAGTTTCAAGTAAGAAATATGCTAATTGATTGACTTCTTCAAAAAATTAATATTAATTGCAAAGAGACAAGAAAGAATCTATTATCATTTTATGTTCTCCTTGAGAATGAAAGCAAAATAAACATGATGAATTTTATATTTTGAGTAAATAGTTCCCTTTAAATTTTGTAGTTTAAAATAAAGAACTTATTTCTGGATAGCCCTCAGAAATATCAATAACATTGCCCTCTAGAATCAATGAAATTTCTTATTCTTATTTATCGGTTAATTTAATTTCTTTAAAATGTCCATTTTCTGAATTATAAATTTCATTTTTATAAATAAATGTTATTTCATCTGCATCTACTAAATTTTTCATAAAGGCTCTTAAAACATTATTTAAATGCTCAGTTGATAATTTGTCATCCATTAATAGTATATGGCATCTCAAATAATCATTAAAATGTTACTGGAATATGTATAAATATATTTACTTTCATATTCTTATATAATTACTAAAGATTTTCAATAACTTAATTAGAATCAATTATGTTTGATACTTATTTCTAAGAACTACTTGGAGTTGAAGTAGCTGTTTTTGTAATGAATTCTCCAACTTTCCTTAATTTATCATTGAGTTCTTAATTAAAATGCTTAATATTAAGTAATCTTTATTACAAATTATGAATCTGATTACCAGAGAGTCATTAGTTGATCATTTAATTCATCTAACTGTGCAATTAGTTTAGTCTCATTAATTTACGATACTTTTGAAAGAGAGTTACCTCTTCTTCTTTATCTAATGGGACTGTCGTTTTCTCCAGATGATTAACATCTTATCTTTGGTTAAGGTTCAATGTTTTATAAATATTAAAGGATGGCACTTTAGTAATCTTATTCATCATAGATTGTGCATATTAGATTATTCAATTAATACTCCTTAGTTGTTAGATTCACCTTTAATAAGTGCTTTTATTTAGATGTAATAAGTCCTTTCTATTCTAAATCATTTATTTAGTTAAAAAACTTAATGTAGTTACTTAAGTTTTATTTTGGCATAAATATTATATTATAAAATCACTTCTATTTTTTATCATCTCTTACTGAGAAATCTTTAAATTATAATTTATCAATTTCTCTCTCATTTGTTTTAATCATTTTCTCGATTCTATTATTTTATCAAAAAATCAAAAATACTTGCTTTTTGGAGATCCTATATTTGACAACCAATGAATCCTAAGAATGTAACAAATCATAAATTTTTTACATTTCTTCGCATTTTTTTTAATCACCTTAAACTACCCCTTTAACTGATCCATCTTTTTAATTTTCTACCCATCCTACCAAACCCAAACTAGTTCCTTGTTCTTTTGTAAATTTTCTAAAGTATACACCTTTTTGTAATTATTATCTACATTACCCTATACTTTTCCTATTACCTGAAAATCAAAGCTAAAATACTTCTTTATCATTTTAATTTTATGTTATAAATGAATAAAACTGGAACAGGTTTTAAGACACTTAAATTAAGATCATCTCATTCTTTTCGTCCACAAAGTGCATATTAGGAATAAATTGTTAACATAATTCCATATGAAATGAGTGAATAAGCTTATTAAACTTCACTTAAGATGGATCTCTTAAATATTGAAGATGAAATCTCAAAATTGAATAAATTAGGCATTCAATAATCTAGATTAAGTTCAACTCACACTTAAAAAATAAAATAATGGATCTCAAATATTAAAATGAATGATAAATGTTTAGATCCTCAAAGAGTTATTCAAATTTGTAATTGCTCTGATGCAAATGAAACTGTTGTTAAATTGTACAATATGATATAAAACTTTGACTTTTATGTCAATAAAATAACAGAGCTACAATGTATACATTATTTATAATACGAATAATGTTTTAATAACTTCCAATCAAACTATTTCTAAAAAATAGCATCTTAAGGTATATTGCCAAATAGGTTCTTGATGAGTCTGTTAAATTTAGAGATAATTGAATATTTAGTTTAGAAAAAAGAGGATTTAAATTAACCAAATGGAGAAAGTATGACACAAAAAAAGTTGCATGAATTAAAACATGAAAACATAAAATTGTTGAGTGAAATAAAATCATTATAAGGTTAATGCAAGAAATTGTAGGATTAACTATCAAATTCTACTACTTTAAGCTAAAGTTAATTGAGTTAAATTACATTTGAATTACCTCCTAATCCTGCTTGTTATTATAATAAAATAATTGATGAAGTTAAAGATAGTTATTAGAATCTAGTTACAATGCTAAGAGATGTATAATAATGTTTATTAATAAATAGGAAAATTTATAATTGGGATTGAAATTAAGTGAAGTACAATAGAAGTTTACAAATGCAAGTAACGATATCATCGAATTAAATAGAAAAATTGAAAATATGAAGAATTAGAAGGTAAAAAATAATAATTATTCTATAGGATGATTTATATAAAAGATTTGTAGCTAAATATAAGACCAATGAAGAGTTTGAATAATCTTATGAAGCTGCTTTAAAGGAAGAGTATTCTTCGATGGAAATTTCATTTAAATAAAGAATCTAATAGTTATAGTAGAGTATAGACTAAAATAACAGAGATTATTAAAAAAAATTGGTAAAATATTGGTATAAACAAAATTAGCTTGAATAAAAATAAATTATTGATTAATAGACTGATAGAGAAAGAATGTTAATAAGAAAAATGAGTTTATATTAGAAGCTTTGAAATTAATATTTCAATAATTATTTGGATAGGCTAATCTTTCTTGTTCTTGTTCTACTAAACGTTACTTCTCTTCTTATTTTATTCTTAAATCCTAGATGTTCACACATCCATATTACTTCAATACGTTTCTTAATTTGATAATCATTTTCAGTTTTTGGGACTCTCAAGCTCATTAATGCCAATTATGATTTATTTTAAGTGCATAATGATGTTATAGCAATCACTATTTCACAAAAGTATAAAACTGTTTGAATTATTACTACTCCTAATTACATTGGATAATTAAGGGTTGGAATAACATACTGCATCACTTCAAGAGCAAGAGATACAATAGTGATGAGGACAAATGAAAATAATTCTGGAAACTTAAGTAAATAGATAGTCAATACTTATTCTTTAATATTGCCGCTATATCCATTTGATAAACGAAAGCCTTCAAGTACAGCCCAGATGAGTAATAATACTAAATTCAATGTATCCATTAAATTAGATTTAACAATCCAAAGCTAAATATGATGAAAGCATAGATTTTACTCTTTGAATATTAATACCTAGAGTGATGTATAAGAATAATAATGAGAAATATGCATTGAAGTATAGTAATTTCTACAATAACAAACTAGCAGTAAGTTATGATTCTAAGAAACGAGTAGCTCTAGGACGAGGATAGGAAGTTGATCCGTAAATAATGTGTCTTATACTTTGTTTATTATTTTACATATTAAAAAAATGTAATAAGAAGATCTCACTCCATGGTTAATATAAATGTTGCAGCCTGTATATGAATAAATTCTATTAGTAGTATTCTAAGATCTTTGAAACTATGTATTCAGTTGGATTTAAAATATTTGACACAATAATTTTGAAATAAGGGGAACCTAAGTTATGGTTTTACATGGATGATAAAGTAATCTAATGATAAATTTTTAAAGCATTGTATAAAAACACATGACGATGAATGGCTAAAATGGAGAGTTTTTGGAACATATTGTAGAGCCAAGAATGTAAATAGATTAAGTGAATATATTTAATCTGATAACTTGGATTAAGTATAAATGCTTCCTCCTTGTAAATGTGAAGAATTAAAAACTACATGTAAATGTTACATCTTCCATTTCGAATAGAAATTAACTTAAGGTAATTACTAATTTATTATTATAGGACGTATTTATAGAGCAGTTTCATAGGATGTAGTTAATGAACTTTTTAAAAATGCTAATGAAAAATCAGAAATAATAACTAATTGGACTAAAATTATAGGTTGTGGAGTAACTAAATCACCAATACATATATATTAAGTAACAGTTTTAAAAGAATAAATTGATGATCAACCTAAATTTAGAGTTAATAGAAAAAGATTTGCTTAAATACCATTATAAAAGGAAGAATTCTCTAAATAAGAAAATATTGTTAAGAAACCTGTTTATTTAAAAGAAGAATTTGACAAATCTTTAGCAGCTCAATAAAATGTAAAATGTGAACATTTTGCTGCCAGTTTATTTAGATTTTTAGAAGGTAGATTATAGAGATCAATATAATTATTTTAAGTGGAGTTTTTTATGACTGAAGGAGATTTATAAATATATTTAACAGGATTAGATAATGTTTAATTTCATTCTGATGGTGAACCTGTTGAAATAGCTACTTTATATCCAGTAAAATAATAGGTTCATAATTTTGATAAATGTGCTGGTTTGTATTGTCATTATGCTACTAATAATATATTTTATGATGAATTTGATGAATAGTTTTCTTTATTTATAATGGCTGGAGAAAAAGAAACTCATAAAAAAATTACATATAAATCTATATTTTTAGATATGATTGAAAGATTTAAAACTATCAAAATGTTAGAACCTTATTTAAATAAACCACCTACTGAATAATTAATATTCAAATTAAGAATATGTAATTTATATGATATTATTATAGATTATTCGTTAGGAGATATAACAAATAATGCTTATTTTAAACATCTAAAAATATCTAATTTTTATAAATAAGAAACTGTTTGTTAATTTTGTTTTCATGTTTATAATAAAATAGATTCATTAAGAACATAATAATTAAAAAATAAGAGAGTAATATTAACTTCTCAATAAATTGAGGCAGAAGTATCTAAATTTATGAGTTAAAGTAATTATTTTTTATAATTAAAAGATTTTCCATAAAAAGAAGCAAAAGTTTAATTAAGATTTCATAGTAAATTTTTTGATAAACTCAAATAATTTGATACTGATTAATTAAAATTCTTTTAGGAATTCACATTAACAACAGTTCATGATGATAAATATTTTTTGAAAAGAGGAAAATCAAATAGATCTCTTCAATAACATTAATAAGCAGGATTTTAATTACCAACTATTATAAAGGTTTAAGTGAATGATAAAGATAATATGATAAAGAAAACAAAATATTTGATACCAAAAGAATAAGCAGAATCTTTAGGTCTAAAACATTATTTAGGGCATGCAAAGAATTTACCATTTAGTGATTAAGGATTAGCTATAAGTAAGAGTTCATTAGAATTAAACAAACTATAGGATAAGATTAGAGAAATATAAATGATAAAAGAAAGAATGGATTAAGAGAAAATAAAAAGAGTAAGAGAAGATATATAAGTTATAATGTGTACTTATTATGGGAAAGGAAAGGAAGAGAAGGATCGTTTGGTTGATTTTGTTGAGACTCTTAAAAAAAGAGAATAATAATTAGAATCTTTGGAGGAAACATCTTAATAGATAAGATCTCCTGCAATTCAGATTGTAACTGACAAGAATGACTTTTTATCAGAAAATTAAAGAAAGATTAAATAAGATAAAGAGAAAAAAGAATAAGAGATATTGTAGACCAAGAAAGACTTTTTAGAAGTAAATAGTGATCTAGCATTTTCTGTTTTAAGAAAAGATTATGTATCTGAACGTAATAGTGAATATTGATTATATATTTTTATTTTTTTGTAAATGACTTCCCATCTGATTCGGTATCTATAGATATTCTATTATNATAAATCTATATTTTTAGATATGATTGAAAGATTTAAAACTATCAAAATGTTAGAACCTTATTTAAATAAACCACCTACTGAATAATTAATATTCAAATTAAGAATATGTAATTTATATGATATTATTATAGATTATTCGTTAGGAGATATAACAAATAATGCTTATTTTAAACATCTAAAAATATCTAATTTTTATAAATAAGAAACTGTTTGTTAATTTTGTTTTCATGTTTATAATAAAATAGATTCATTAAGAACATAATAATTAAAAAATAAGAGAGTAATATTAACTTCTCAATAAATTGAGGCAGAAGTATCTAAATTTATGAGTTAAAGTAATTATTTTTTATAATTAAAAGATTTTCCATAAAAAGAAGCAAAAGTTTAATTAAGATTTCATAGTAAATTTTTTGATAAACTCAAATAATTTGATACTGATTAATTAAAATTCTTTTAGGAATTCACATTAACAACAGTTCATGATGATAAATATTTTTTGAAAAGAGGAAAATCAAATAGATCTCTTCAATAACATTAATAAGCAGGATTTTAATTACCAACTATTATAAAGGTTTAAGTGAATGATAAAGATAATATGATAAAGAAAACAAAATATTTGATACCAAAAGAATAAGCAGAATCTTTAGGTCTAAAACATTATTTAGGGCATGCAAAGAATTTACCATTTAGTGATTAAGGATTAGCTATAAGTAAGAGTTCATTAGAATTAAACAAACTATAGGATAAGATTAGAGAAATATAAATGATAAAAGAAAGAATGGATTAAGAGAAAATAAAAAGAGTAAGAGAAGATATATAAGTTATAATGTGTACTTATTATGGGAAAGGAAAGGAAGAGAAGGATCGTTTGGTTGATTTTGTTGAGACTCTTAAAAAAAGAGAATAATAATTAGAATCTTTGGAGGAAACATCTTAATAGATAAGATCTCCTGCAATTCAGATTGTAACTGACAAGAATGACTTTTTATCAGAAAATTAAAGAAAGATTAAATAAGATAAAGAGAAAAAAGAATAAGAGATATTGTAGACCAAGAAAGACTTTTTAGAAGTAAATAGTGATCTAGCATTTTCTGTTTTAAGAAAAGATTATGTATCTGAACGTAATAGTGAATATTGATTATATATTTTTATTTTTTTGTAAATGACTTCCCATCTGATTCGGTATCTATAGATATTCTATTATGATAGTAAAGATTATGAGACTGATAAGTTTTTTCTAATAAATAATAAAAATGGTACTACATAAGAGATAACAAAAACTGGAGATTTCATTAAGAAATTTAGTTTAGATTATACAGGCAAAGTAGGATTTAAGAATAGAATTTAATAATCTGATCCATGTCATTATCCTTGTTATATTGAATCATTATCTTAATTTCCGCAATTTTATATACCTTAACCAGATAAATTTGATGGTTATGCTTAATTGCCTCGTACATTACAAAAACCTTTTTATAATAATAATAGGAGATCAAGATCTGATGCTACTGTTGAAAGTGCTATTGAATTTGTTAAATAACAATCTTTTAATAACAAATACTTAATAGATAAACCTATTAAACATATTACAGGAACTATAAATGATTTTAATTGTGTATAAAATTTGAAGAAAATTAAAATACTTGAACATCGAAAAAGCACTAAATAGAGAAACTTTACTAATCATATTAATAGTGTCAAAATAATAAATAATGAAGAAATATCTGCTCCAAATCTTACTTTACTGAGAAGAACCAGAATTAAATCACAATTATTACCTAAAACTATACCTTTTGGAAATACTAACTCAAAAGAACCTTCTGAAATTAGAAATCTTATTCCTTTAGAAAATAGAGAAATTAAAAGTATTCATCAATTTCAATAATACTAATCAGAACATAAAGAAAGCGATATGATGTATCAATCTAGAACATTTGTTAAATCTTAATGTCAATCAAAAGTCACTAGAAATGATTTACATACTTCTCATCTCACATTAAATCATTTTTAAGAAAAAGTTGATATTGCTTAAAAAGAAGAAAATGCTTATATTATACCACAACAAAAGGAAAAACTCTCTATTTCTTGGAAAGGAAGATTTAGTGCTATTAAAACTAAAAGTAATGGAGATTAATATGTCACAGATCGAATTATTATGAAATTATGTATTAATGTTTAATATTTTATTAGTTTAGCCAGACCTATTTAAATGATATTAATATATATATTTCATCATTAATCATCTTCTCCTTATTTTTTAGGTCCTTAAATTACTATTAATAAAAGGTCTTTGTCTGGTGCTATTAGGATTTCATTTTATTTTGATTTTATCCTTAAAAATGCTAAATCATTTGTTGGGTCTAAATCTCGTACTAAAGATCTAGCTTTCTGTGCTAAAATTGGTATAGATTTTGCTATTATGTCACCTTATTTTACAATCATATATGACAGTTACCCTCTTCCTTTTTTTCATTTAAATAGGTTGTTCTTGTTATCGTCCCTTCATTATTTACTATCACTATGCCTTATACTGATTTATGATTTTTTATTCTGTTTATCGTGTCCTCAATATCTACGTCTGACATTTTATTATAATTTATATTAATATACTTTTTTTAAATTAACAAATATTTCAATAAATAAAATCAATTTAACTATTTTCTTAATTCTTCTAAATGATTTCTTATTACATATTTTAATTAAAATTTATTTTTGTGTGCAATTTTAAAACTTATTCCAATAAATCATTCATGAATTTAATTGATAAATTAAATATATGTAAAATAAAACCTTGGCGGAAACTAATAAAAAAATGAAAGAACGAGTTCCTGATGGAATATTTGATCTTTGTGATGAATTTCCTGTTAATGATAAAGAAGTTTCTTTTGAAGAATATTTTTGGATAGAAAATTATCTTATATCTCCAAATTTAAAATATATTGCCATTTTTGTAAGAAGAAATGAATAAAGAATTGGAAGCTATTCGCATGAAGAATATATCATTTTCGTTCATTCTTTAATAGATAATAAAATCATTTATTATGGAGAATATATAGAGAGTAAGCTAAAAATAAATAATTATTTTTTTTCACATGATTCTTAATATTTAATACATCGAAAAACTAAGAAATTACTTTATATTAAACTTTTTGGTAATTAAATTATAAAAAAAAGAAAAATTGAATCAAAAAGATTATTCTCTTGTGATTCTGATGGAAATATAACCTTATTAAAAAATAATTCTATTGTACAAATAATATAATTATAAAGTGATAAAATATAAACAGTTTAATTAAAATGTGAAATATCTTTTTTTTAAATCTTATTTACTAAATATGCATATGTAGAATCTAATAATAAAATCTTTATAATTAATATTGATACATAAAAAATCCTTATAAGTTGGACTAACAATAAATTAACAAAAAAACCTAAAAGAATATTTTGGTCAAAGTTAATACTGCAAGGTAAATCATTTTCTAGTACTCTAAGAAATTTACAGACAGGTAAAATAATAAGAAGTATAAAACCTAAATTTGGATTTAGATCAATATCATATGACTAGTCATCTATATATTTGTTTTAGATTGTAAAAAGAAAATAGAAAAAGAATAGTTTTTCTCGATTTGATATTTTAAAAGGAGTTTATAGACAATTAAATATAAATATAACTCCAATTAAATATCTATAAACCTTGAATAATGATTATTATATAGATGTTGAAGATGTTGAAGAAGTTGATGATGATGAAGATAAGATAAAGAGATTGAGATATTTTAACATCTCTGAATTAACAAAATGAATTAAAATTAAATGAAATAATTAATAGTTAGTGATAAGAATAATAATACTAAATTTATCATTTTGTTATTTTCTGTTTGATGTTGAACATAAACTCTAATTTTACAAGTTTAATCTGAATATCCAATCTAAAGAATAGTTTTCTCAAAATAATATCTTATTATCTTTTTTTTAAATTGATGGTTTCATCATTTACACTCTTCGAAGATAATTAATTCTTAGTTTATTTTTAAACTTTTATAGGAGAGGCTTCTGTTTTTTTATTTATTGGTCCTACACTATTAGTTCGTAGAGAAGGGGGAACCTAAGAGGTGGATGAAACTCTAATTAATTAAGGTTCTTTCAGAGTTTTTTAATTAGATTATTAGTTTTAATTAATTACATCAATTATTGAAGCAACTGGAGTTCTTTTTGTTGTATCTTCAATAATTGTTTAATCAATATGATACATTGCATTACTTAAATCTAATATTTCAAAGTTATTTATTTATGGTGTTTAGTTCTAAATTCCTGAAACTACTATTTAATTATCAATCTACAACTATTTAAATCTATTAGTATCAATGCTAGAACCTCTTGCAGTGCTATTTCTTCTGCTTCTTAATGGAGTGAATATTTTTTCTGGTCTGACTGAATTACAATTTAATGGTTAAACTTTTATACGTGATAATCCTTATTTTTATTCCAGTTGATTAACTGGAATTTTAATATCAAAACTATGTTGTTTTACATCAGCATTCTAATTTATTTTAATCAATGTTTTCTATTCGCTTAATTAAATCGAATGGTTTTTGCTTGATGAAATATTGTTATCTTTAATTGGAGATTTTTATTTTATTGGAGATTACTTCTGATTAGCAGTGAAAAGATTTTAATCTATTTTTACAACTTACATCACTCTATCCTCTACCTCTACTTATGATATATCTTCAGAAAATGTAACTAATGTTTTATGTAATTTAGTATTGCTTTTTTAAGGTGATTATTTTTTTTCTATTATTTTTTCATTTCTTTCTATTAGAATATTTTTTATCTCTGTTAAATTTTCATCTAATTAACCATCTGAATCTTCTATTCGATCAATTTTTTTTAACCTATTTTCTTAATCTTATTTTTTAAATAAATTTAATTTAGGAGGACTTTTTCTTTTTGGTTATATTTAAATTTAATCAAAAATTGACATTATATTCTAAATCTTTGAATTCTCTTATTGTTTTTTTTCTGTTTACAAAATTTACATAAAACTATCTTGCTATTAATCTATAAAATCACTATTATTTTAATAATCAATAGCGGATTATTAATCCATTACTTCAACAGAATTCTTATATTTTTAATTTTAAATTTATTCAGGTTTTAAGAAAGACTTTATTTTTTTGTTTTCCTTTATTTCAATTTGTGATGTTTCTTTCAATTAATTTGGTTATGTAATTTTTTCTAAGATTTCTTCTTTTTATGTTTATGAATTTAGAACTTAATCTATTGTTTTTTCAGGTTTTAACTATAATTTACTCAAAAAGTTATTCAATGATGATTAAATTGGAGGTAATTGTAATTCTGCAACAGAAATTTAAGGATATTATATTGAATTTTCTAAAGACAATGTTGGAGATTGAAAATCTTTTTATTAAAACTATTATTTTAAATTCTCTTATTTCTTTGATACTTGTTTAGATTCAGGTTTATTGTCAAAGAAATCTTAAATTAATAAAGCTTGTCTTTTTAATTATAATCTTCCTTTCTCTTCTTCTTCTAAGCACATACTTTATTCTACAGAACTTTCCTCATCTAAAGTATACAAACTATTATTTTAAGTCTTAAATTTTGGTTAATCATATATATCTCTAATTTATTATAATTTTTAACTAATTGTATTTTACTATGTATAAAAGTTTTCTTAATAACTCTATTTTTCAATTTAATGAACGTCTACTTCTAGTGAATTTTCAATTGTTTATTCATAATTTGATTTCAAAATTTAATCAAATTATTTTTTATATTATTCTAATAATTTAGAAGGTTATTTTATCTCTTCAGAGCATTTTTTTGGCATATTAAGAGAATTTTATTATTATTATTGTTATTTAATTTATAATTATTATTATTCTTTTTCCAGCAATTTTTACTATTATTCTAGTTTTTACTATTATTCTAATTTTTATTATTATTCCTATAATCTTTATTATTATTCTAATTTTTATTATTATTCTTATAATTTTTAAATTTATTCTAGTTTTTATTATTATTCTTATAACTTTTTTTATTATTCTAGTTTTTATTATTATTCTTATAACTTTTATTATTATTCTAGTTTTTATTATTATTCCAATCTTTTTTATTCTTCTAGTTTTAATTATTATTTCAATTATTTTTATTATTATTCCTATTATTTTTATTATTATTCCTATTATTTTTATTATTATTCCTATTATTTTTATTATTATTCCTATTATTTTTCTAGCTTTTATTTTAACTGTTATCCTTGTTCATTAGTTTAAATTTATTCTTCTTATACTTTGACCTTTAATGATTATTTTTATTCAACTGAGGGATCCTATTTTTAATCCTAATTCTATAACTTAATTTATTCTACTTAAATTATCTAAAAATTTTAATTGTTAGATAATAAAGTCTTTTCTGATTTTGATGTATTATCATTTAAATTTAATTTTGAAATTTCTAGAGGAGCTAAAATTTCAGATTATTTTTTTAAAGTATTCTTAAAACAAAAATTTGAATCAATTTATAGGACAATTTATTCCTATTCTTTTTTAACTTAATTATCCTATTTATTAGATCTATCAAATAAAACATCAAGTATATCATTATTAGATTATCTTAATTAGGAAGGATCATCTTTTTTTTCAATCCTATCAGTTTATCTATTACTTGTTTCTGATCTTTCTGTTCTTTCTCCTCTAAGTTATCTTGGTTATCTAATTTCTTAAGTTTTCTTTTTAGAAGGGGGATCCCATTAATCAAATAATTATTATTTTAGATTTTAAACAGTACTTCTACAAAAAGTCCTTTCAATAGCTGAAATGGATTATTCATTCAAATTTTATTTAGAGATTGATTAAAGAGAAGCACAACAAAATATGGAAAATTGATCTGAGAAAATAAATTTAACTTCTTAAAATTCTTTTTTTTTACAATTAATTTGTATTTCATGACCATAATTCATTTTTTTAAATAAAGTTTAGTTAACAAAAAATTAGTGATTTTAAAAATCATCTAGATTCCATTATAAAATATATTTTCCTTAGATTCCAAAAATAAATCTATTGCTAGCTTAAATATCTTCAAGATTGGATGTTTTAAGTTTAATCATTTTATTATTATAACAATAAGCATCACCATTTTCTGTAATAGCAATTCCTCCAAATTAAAATAATAAAGATTTTTTAAAATATCCATTAACTCCCAATCCATTTAATTATTAGATAGGAATTTGTGTATTATTTTCAATATTGAAAATCTTACCTCCAACTAATAAAATGAAATAAGATTAATACTTGTTATTAAAGTCATTTTATCCTGATATGTACTAATATGTTTACAATGAGAATAAATAGGTTTATTATTTTTCCAGAAAAAGCCTCGGCCAGAATGATCAATAGCAGTAGTGGGAGTGATAGTAATATAATTCTTAGCAGAGACCAACAGTTTGGGTTATTAATCAATTTAATAAAGGTCACCATTATCTTAAAAATTGTCATAATTTTATACTCTCCAAACAATACAAAGTTTTACCATCAGAACATATCTGAGATGCATTTTATAAAACATTTATAGCTTCAGATTCATTATACGATGCAATTTAATTGTCGGTAACTACAAGTCTTTTTAAGTTACAATTTTGAATGTAATAGAGCGAGACTCCTAACTTGATGGCTTAAGTAAATCTAAATCTAAGTGATTAGATATTCTAAAGTATTCATTAATAAGTATACATCCAACTAATCGAATATAACAGACATATTTTATATACGTTAATATTATAATTTATCAAACCAATAAATCAAACAACTCTTTTGAATCATTTACAACTTCATATTATAAATGCATTTTTGTCATATTCTCCATTACTTTTTTAATATTATCTTTTTTGGCTACTTCTATAGCTACTAAACATGGTCCTCTTTCTCTATTACTTTTTTTTTAAAACTGAATATGACTAATTTCATCATCTGGTCCCAAACATCTAATTTAGAATTGAATATTACAAACTAACAAAACTTTTGAGAATACCCGGTCTGAATGGGATTTGAATTAAAAAGAAATATTTCAATCCTTCGAATAATAAGGAATGTTCTTTAAATTCATCAAATCTAGAGAGATCAACTGTTCCTCCTGAAATTAAACATACTACATTTTTATCTTTAATTTCTTATGCATATTAATCTAAAACAGAAACAGCTAAAGCCTATAAATATTTATTATAATAATAATATTACTCCTGCTGGTTCTACTGCAATTCCTTAATTGTATAATTCAAGAATGGTTGAACTAACTTTTCCTTCAGGTACAACTGCTAAACCATCTAGATTACGTTAACACATATCATATGTTATTTAAGGTACTGTTTTTACAGCAGATCCATCACAAAATCTAGACATACTTTCGATTGTAACAATTTTCTTAGCATCAAATGAAGCTTTCATAGATGCAGCCCCATCTGGTTAAACCCCTATAATTTTAGTATTTGGTGACATTGCTTTAAAATAAGTAGCTATACCAGCTGCTAATGCTCCTGCTCCAACTGGTACAAAAACGTAATCTACTTCGCCTGGAAAATCTTCTATTATCTCTATACCCTTTGTTATTTATAAATTTATTATACAATTGTTGCATTCCCTATAATTGCTTTTACATTATCACATGGATGTATCATTATTCTATCATGTTATTTTATATATTCTTATGCTGCAGCTTCAGCTTCATCAAATGATTCTCCTACACTCTTTATTTCTACATAATCCTTTCCATATTTCTATATTATATCTATTTTCCATTAAAAACACACTTCTGGTAAAAAAACAGTTCCTATTTTTAATTATCATTCCTTTACCTTTGATTTTTAAATGATTACAAAAAAAAGCAAATGCCTCTGCAAAATTACCATCACTTACTGTTACTAATCCTTTTGTTCTTTGTTCTTGACTTAAACTCATAAAAGAATTGAATGCTCCTCTCATCTTAAATACTCTTATTTATTATTAATCTTCTCGTTTCAGATGTACATTGCAATGATATTTCTCGGACAACTTTAGAGATCTTTAAAGCTTTGTTCGAAAATTTAGAGTGCTATCCTTTTAAAGACGATGAGCTTATGTTATCATTGGAATTGTTATTGATTGCATTTATGATATATTATTTAATCACTTTAAAACAAGATACTCTTATTTAATTATTTTTATCATACCCCTATTCTTAAAGATACTACAATTAACATCACCATTTTTAATCACTTTTTTTTCTTGCTCTTTCATATAAGTAATCCTGCATATTTTTATTTTTGACATTAGTCTTTTATATTCAATTTTGTCTCATAAACTCTATTTATTATAAGAATTTAAATTCATTATAATTTGTTTAACAGCAATCTCAAATTTTTTAATTAGATCGTTAATCTAACTAATTTCAATATTTCATTTTTTTAACCATTATACCAAATGAAATAACTTAATTATTTTTTTAAACCTTCCAATAAAATTTGTAAAACAGGAGGGTAAATGAAAAAAAAATTGTAGAAAGCTTTTGTTTATATAAATTAATTATGTATTTTAGGCTGCAATTTCATTAACTTTTTAATGTTACAATTTATTTTTTATATAAATAGTTTGATTAATTTGGTAATAATGGAGATAAGAAAAAATAATTGCTTAAATTTCATAATATTATTCAATTAATTTTGAGTATATTTCATCCATTTATAAATCCTTCTTATAATTTTACAATTTGATCATTTTTATTTTCTATTTAATAATTATTTTTAATTTTAATAATGGATTCTTATTTTTCATATTAAATTACAATCAATATATCCATGAGATATTTATATATTAAAAACAAATTACATCTACATATATTAAATATCAAAATAATTTCTACTTTTTTCTATGTTCTTATTCATTATTTACAGATTTAAATTGTTTATTAGTTGGATCTATTGCATATTCAGGTTTTGTATGTATTGCTTCAAATCTAATTTATATTAATCTTTTAATTACCTTTTATCGTTAGGATTTAATCCTATTTTTTATTTTTTATCATCCTCTACTAATAATCTAAGATTTGCCTCTTAAAACTTTTTTTATTTTAATTCTTATTTTTTCAATTTCTTTTTTTCTAAATATTTTAGATGTTCCTTTGGTCTACCTTCATTATCATCTTCCTATTCTTATTCTTAAAATCCAACAAAAAAATCATCAATTCTACCCTCTTTTGGAACATGAAAATTTTTTTATTATTTTTGACCCATTCTTTCAATTATTGAATTTTAACCATTTGGATTAAATCCACTTTAAAATGTAACTTTTAAATTACTTTTAGATTCTATTAATTAAATATATATAATAATACTTTTTTTAAATGAATTTCTCCAATCTTCTTCTTCTTCTTCATTATTATTTTGTTTTGGCTAATTTAAAAGATCTTTAACTTATTCTTTAATTTTATCTTCATCTTCACTTTCATAATTTCCAACAATATCTTCAAAATCTTCTTTATTAAAATTTTTAATATTTTTATTCCAAAAATTGGTTCTAGGTTTACTATCCTCCCAAGTTAGTTTAACATCTGTATGTCCAACAGCTCTATTTATTATATTTGTTGATGTTATATGAGATGGTAAAGTATTACATTCTTATTTAAGATTTTCTTTAGGAAGTATTACATCATTTGGTATAAATCTCAAATCTATTTTAATATTAGTTAATTCAAATTCTTAACCATTAATCTATTGATAAATTTAATCTGCTGTTTTTGCTGTATCACATTCAATAACTGCATAATAATATTTAAGTCTATCTTTTTCATATTGTCTTAATTTAATTGGATCAACATCTAAATCTTCTTCATTTCCCTTTACTATCAATTCATTTACTGCACTCACTTCATCTTTTTATTTTTTTGCTCTTAAATATAATTAATAAATATATAAATACATATAATTCTCTTTGAAAATTTATCTTGGTCCAAATTCATTTTCTTCTGCCAATTTTTATTTTCCATATTCACTAACATAAACTTAGACTTGCTATATTGAAGTACCTGTTGGTGCAAATGAAGAAAAAAGAACAAATAAATCTTTTGCTTTTATTTACTACCAATCATAATTTTATAATGCCATTCTTTTTGTAGCTTATAATATTATAGGAGCATTCTTTTAATCTTATTCATCATCTTCCCAATTATCCACTCCTGATGATATTGAAATATCCTCTTCTGAATTCTACTCTTCTTAAACTTAATCCGACTCATTTTATGATTTCTCTTAAGACTCTTAATCCTATTCAAATGACTAATTTTCTATTTCTTCATTCTCACCACTTTTATCATTTACTTATTATTCCTCACTTTCATCTTACAATTCATAATGTTCCTTAAATTCTGAATCTTATTTTCTTTTATTTCCATATATATCAAATTTAGGTTTTGTTGAAAATTTTGAGTCCTTTAGAATTGAACTGAATTTTTTGTTTAATTTTGTTTTCAGTTGTTTTTTTGGTAATGATTTAAATCGAGGATCTTTCCTTATACGTGCAAACCTTGGATCGTCCATAAATTAAATAATTTAATTTAATTCTTGTTATTTTTATTATCATATTTTTATTATACTTTACATATTTACAATTTTATTTTTCAAAAATTAATATAAATCTAATTTTCCAACTATCTATTTATTACATTTTATTATTTTATTTCAATTCTATATAAATCATAAAATATGATATCTTTTTCTAAAAATTATAGGTTGATTAGTATTTTATGAAATCATTCATAATGATTTTACCATTTATATCAATTGAGATATTTTTAAAATGAAATTAGATTCAAGCTTATTTTCATTTTAATACAAACACTTAAATACTTTAAACAACTCAAAAAATATATATAACTATAAATTATTTTTTTCATTTTTTCATTTTAAAGTAGAACTTAACAAGTTCAACTTAGAGATTAAACATGTATATCTTTTTTATAAGCATACTAAATCAGTAAAAATTAACAATTTTAATAAGAAGAAAAATATCTTTTTAATAAATTCACAAAAATATTGATAAATAATATAGAATCAAAATAGGTTAGTATTTAAAGTAAAATTTAGTAAAAATAAAGATATTTATAATGAATTTATACTTTTTTTTCTTACTCCTTATCATATTCATTTCTAAGTTGGATTTTACTTTTTTGCAAACATAGTATTCAATCTAACTATAATATCTAAAATTTTAAGAAGATTTAATCTGTTTTGAAATTTTACATGTTTAATTTGCAATGAAACATATATAATTATCATTAGATTGCTATGTGATTCGTAATTTATTTTCATTAAATATTTTTCTAATCATAGTTAACAAAGTACAATGAAGCAAATCAGAGGACCTAAATTAAACTTTAATATGCCAAGTTAAATATAAGACTTAAAGGATGAAAAACCATATTCATAATTCGATCTTGAAAGCACAGACTGCTTCAGAAATTAAAAAATTTCTAAATATGTAAAATTTGCCCCTACAATAACTATTTTTCTGAGATATCAAGATGAAGATATCTACAGGTTCAGAGAAAGGCTTAAAACACAAGTTTAAATGACAAAAGAAACATTTAATCTTAATCCAACCCTAGAAGAATCTCCAAGAAAATAATAACTTAAATCATGTATGAGAATTCCAATAGATTCCGATTATTGAAGTCTTGATTAAATAATTTCTTTCATTTACTTAATACTTTTTTCATAAAATATTCAAACTCTCATTTATCATTTCAATGTTTCTTCAATACTTTTTTGTACAGTAAAAAATTGTGGATTTGATAGAAAGCTAACTATCTTTCCACTTTTAAAAACTATTCTTTATGTTCGAAAAAAGGTCAATATTAAAAAATATATTTAAATTATGTATGGTTAGTTTAATTTTTCTCATTTTGTCGACGACAAAAGCAAATCATAATTACTGTAATAATTACAAAAATGTAAAAGCGCTAAAATAAATGATTTAATAAAATTGATGCTTGTATCTAATTATTATTTAAGAATATGACAAAACAATAAAATTTAAAGTCAAATAGATATAAAATCAAATAAATATAATAAATATAAATAAAGTGTCTTTTTTTTTTTTTGGAACTATTAATGTAGTGACTTAAATAGAATTTTTATTTTCTTTAAGTTTGAAACGCTTAAATCAATTGTTTTCATAAAATGAAATTTCTTATATGGTTGTTTCTTTATTCTTATTTTCTAAAAATATATATTACAAACCTTTAATTATTACATTTGAATTTTTTAATTTAAGTTTTCTGAAAATAGATAAAGGAATCTAAAATGATTATTTAATAAGTTAATGTTAGTTAATTTCCCCTTAAAATGATAGAAAAAAAAATTATACCTAATAAAGTATCTGTTTAATAGATTTTTATAAAGTATTTATTTTTTGATAAATTAATCATATTTTATTAATATTTTACCATTAATTTAATTATTCTTAATAGAATTACTTTGTTATAGGGTAAGTTTTCAAAATAAATATTATATAGGATTAGAATATAGGGAAATTTTTTGAGTAAAATTTTTAGCGAGTATCAGAATTTGTTTAAAAATGAATATGATGATAAAATAATGGATTGACAAGAAATAGAAAGAAGATAATATCTAAAAATTTAATTCTGTTACAATTAAAGGGAAAGAATTTAAATTCAAAAATGAAATTGTGTTTAGAAATTGTTAGAGAAAAAAAAAGTATAAATAATATATGATTCAATTTTTCTAATAATTAATACATAAATAGATGTATCATAAAAATGTTAAAGGTTTTTATCTTATGTTTTGAGTGAATTGATAAGTTTGCATTATTCCCAATATAACTAAAATTGCAAAAAATACAACCATAATTCTGTAATAATTTTTGTAATTCAGTTGATCATCCAATGGATTTCGATAATCAGATGCATTTTATTAAGCTTAATTTCCTTGGTGCATTTTTTATAGTTAATTTATTTAATGAATATTTATTTTTATATTAATTTATATTTTTATATTAATGTATATTTTATATTAATTTATATTTTTAAAAATAAATGAAAACTCCTTTTAAAAAGTAACCAAAAAGTATTTAAGAGATTATAAAGGACTTCTTAACAAAAGAAATGGAAAAAGAAAGCAAGAAAAATATAAATATAGTTATACTTCCAACAAAAATAGGTTAATCTAGTTGGAGAACTCGAAATTTTGGAAGAATATCTACTTCAAATAATAAAACAATTGATTAAAATGTAATAGTTACTCCAAATAATTATAATCAAATTTCTACAATAAATTAAAGTTAAATATCTTCTTCAAATGACAAAACTAAAAATAAATCAAAGTAAGACAAGTTAGTAAATATAACCTAATAATAACAAAATTAATATAAAAGAAAAGTAGAGATACAGAAAACAAAGTCACATAGAAAATCATTTTCGTTGAATACTAATAAATCTATTTATCAAAAATTACCCAATTTACCTAGAAGAATAAATTACTTTACAGAAGTAGCTAAAAGTTTAGAGCTTAAATTTAATGATACAATAGAAGGGTATTAAGTTGAATAAGATGATATGTCTTTTGAAATTGATGAATATGTTAAAATGAAATATATTAAATAGATTTAATATTAAGAAATCTGAAGAAATAGTTTTATTTTTTAATTAGAATGCTTTTAAAATTTAAAAGTGTGTTTGGAAAAATTATTTATACAAAATTATGAACAAAATTAAACGAAAGCTTTTCTCAATGGAAGCCATCCTTGATTCTAGAACTATAAATGAATAACTTTATTTTTTAGTTAAATGGGCTGGATATCCAATCTCATAATCAACATGGGAAAAAGCAGATAAAGTACCTGCTGATTCAAATATGATTTCAGAGTATAAAATGAGTGTTCAAATGCTTGGAAAAACCTTTTATTTTGATCCATTAGATTAACCTCCTTAAATTGAAGATTTTTTAGAAGTTCCACCTAAAAAAAGTGAACTCTCCATTTTTAATACAAAATTGAGTGAATTTTAACATCAAATTAATAATCTCAAAGATGATGTTAGATTTATCCTTTAATCCTAATTGAGACTTATTAAAGAACTTAAAATGTCAAAAAATGTTATTCATCACTATGATTTATAAAGATCACCTGCCTCTTAAGATAAATAATTATCAATATAATCTGATATCATGTAACAATACTAATAAAGTGCATTAATAAATTATGATGGTTCTTTTGAATAAGGTGATAAAGTTGAAAAAATTGGTAGAGCTGTTTAAAATAAAAAAACTAAAATTAAAATGTATTATATATTATGGAAAAGAAGAAATAATGGTACAATTTTCATATAAATTTTAGGTTAAATTCCAAAAAATTCATGGGTAGAAAGTGAAAAAATGATGGAAAATGATCCTGTCAAGGTTTGTCAATATTTATGGAATAAATTATATTGAATAAATAGTACAATATAATTAAATGTTATCAATAATTTAGATTTAGTATTAATCAATTGTATTTACCTTTTTGATTGAAATCTTTTACATTTATTTCTGTCGTAAATGTTTTCTAATTTTTAGGACTACTCATTTATTTCTTTTAATTTTCTAATAGTTATTATTACTATATAATTTTATCTTATTATTGTTTTATCTATTTTAAGTTAAAAATTATACAATAATGTTCAATTTATTGATTTCTTAGGATTAAGATGGACTGTTATTTTCTTTAATATTTATTTCTAGTATATTACATCTAAATAGAATATATCAAATATACTTTTATCTTAATATTTCATTTTCTTAAATAAGTTAATCTATAAGTTATCTATTTTGCTATGAATTATTTTCATAGCATTTATTCTTCCATAATTCTATCTCATTTAATCTATTTTTTAACATAACAGTTAATTTTTCTATCTTATTTTATTATTCCTGACATTATTTTTATGTTATTAATAATTAATTATTTGTATTATTATGCTCTTATGTTTTAAATTATTAAAACTATTCCTTAATACTATTATAATTTTATAATAATTGTTAGTATTAAATTTCAGTATTCTAAGAGTTCTATAAATTTTATTCAAGAAGACTTATTGTTTTTCTTTACTGAGCTATTTGAGTAGTTTAATGTTCAACGAGATTTTATAGATCTTTTTCTTATTGTTCTAATTAACTTATCTTCCAAGAATTTTAATTAATCTAAGAAGAAATTTATTAAGTCTCTTAAATTTTTGATTCTAATTAGGTTGATAAGCTTTATAATTCATGAATTTTTTATTAATGTTAGTTTTAAATTTATTATTTTTCTATTTACTCTTACTTTAGTTATTAAATTAATTATTCTTAAGAAAGATTGAACTATTCTTAGATTTTTATTATTTTTTCTTACAATACTTTATTTTCTTCTTGAAATAATAATAAATCTTATTTTTATGTTTCAACTTATTAAGTCAAATTATTTTGGTGATTGATTAAATACTAATTTTCCTTGAATATTTTATTGCATTCTTCTTCATAATAATTATTTTATTCTTCTAAACTTTTGATTACTTCATTTAATTTTAACATTTATTATTTGATTTAAATAATTTCTAACTTATTTTATTTTGAATGTTAATCATCAGCTAAATCTCCTGTTTATGTAGAATTAAGCATTTAAAATTTTCTTAATTATTCTCTTAATTGATAATTTTCTGCATTAGTTTATTCGACAAGTTAATTATATTTATTCTTTTAAGATTTTAATTGATTAATTTCATTTATTAAATTAGCATTTTCTTATTATTTTTCTCTTAATTAACTTTAAGTTAAAGAAATTTAGTAAAGATGTTAAGTTTCTAGCTCTTCAATCTTTAAACTATAATGTAATTCAATCTGACTAATTTTAGATTGGTATTCTTATATTTATTGTGTTTTCAATTTTATACAACTATTTAGTTTCTCTATCTCTTAGATAAGTGCCGCAATTTACTTTATTTTATTTTAATATTTCTACTTGGTCAGCATTTTTTATATTCGGATAGCCATTTAATCCTTGTTTGTTATCTATACTTAAATCATTTTGACTTCGAATAGGTGAAATAGATTAAGATTAATGAGGTGAATTAACTTGTTTAAGAGTTGGTTACAAATACCCAGTCTCAAATTAATTGCTTTATTCTATTCTAACAGCTTTCTAAGATCTATTGTTTTAAAATAGATTATCATTTTGCTTAGACATTATTTTAAAATTAATTCTAAAAAATTAATTATAATTAAGAAAGTGTAAAAATTAAAATGAGATAACTAAAAGTCATAGATATTTTTTTTGGTATTTTTAGACAATATGCAATTTATTAAAAATATTAAATGATTAGTAAAGAAAAACTTATTGATAAAATAAAATTTAATTTATGAATATAGTATTTCAAAAAGATTTAAATGGGAAATTAGTTTTGCTTTAATTTTTACATAGTTTTGTCAAAGAAATAATGTATAAAAATGATTAGATTATGGTAATTAAATTTAATGAATAATGAATATATTTAATGTATAAAAAAATAAAAACGATATATTTAATAAAATCTAATGAGATAATGCTTTCCATTTTTAAACAAATGCCATTACAAGTACAGATGGGGTGTACTAGGATTTTGTATATGGCTTGTATTGGGAGCATTTTATTGTTTTGACATTCCAACTTCCTTACATAATACATTATAAACACATTTTGCTGATATAATGACAGCTGAGGCTTTTGAACTTTATTATGGTGGTTTATATAGTTTATATTCATTTGCAAATATATTTCTTCCATTTATTAGCGGAAGTATGATATAGTTTTTATTTAGAAATTAGGGATTAAAAGGGTGACAGAATAGTATTAATTCTTATGGTGATTTTAGTAATGATAGGATAATCAATATTTGTATATGGAGTTCATCAAAAAAGCTTTATGGTTATGTATTTAGGTAGAATTATTTCAGGTTGGGGTATAGAATCTGTAGTTCCAACCTAAACTTCATTTATTTCTCCATATTTTAAGGATGATTATCTGGTATAATCCATTTGTATTTTAGGGTTTTGCAGTTGGTTTAAATGAATTTTTTGCAACTTTAGGATCTATATTAACAATGTATTTATGCCCAAAATTGGCTTTAGAATATGGTTTATTAGTAGCAGTATCAAGTGGAATATTTTTTAATTCATTTAGTTTAATATGCGGAATAATTACTGTAATGTTAGATAAACATGCAGAGAAACATCTTTTAGATTAAGTGAATTATGATTAAGTTAAATATTCTGTTTTAAGAACTTCAGAAAATCGTAGTCCAAGATAGAGTAAAGAGAATAATAAATGTGTTATAAATAATGATATATAATAAGAGAATATAATAGAAGTAGAATAATAGAATGAATAATAAAATTAAAATGGAGAAGATGGTTAGATTATATCTTAACCTGATGTAGTCTAAGCTATTGAAATGTTTCCAAAAATATTTTGGCTTGTTAGTTGGTGTTATGCATTAATATATAGTTCAGTATTAGGATTCATAAATATTTCNTAAATGATTAGTAAAGAAAAACTTATTGATAAAATAAAATTTAATTTATGAATATAGTATTTCAAAAAGATTTAAATGGGAAATTAGTTTTGCTTTAATTTTTACATAGTTTTGTCAAAGAAATAATGTATAAAAATGATTAGATTATGGTAATTAAATTTAATGAATAATGAATATATTTAATGTATAAAAAAATAAAAACGATATATTTAATAAAATCTAATGAGATAATGCTTTCCATTTTTAAACAAATGCCATTACAAGTACAGATGGGGTGTACTAGGATTTTGTATATGGCTTGTATTGGGAGCATTTTATTGTTTTGACATTCCAACTTCCTTACATAATACATTATAAACACATTTTGCTGATATAATGACAGCTGAGGCTTTTGAACTTTATTATGGTGGTTTATATAGTTTATATTCATTTGCAAATATATTTCTTCCATTTATTAGCGGAAGTATGATATAGTTTTTATTTAGAAATTAGGGATTAAAAGGGTGACAGAATAGTATTAATTCTTATGGTGATTTTAGTAATGATAGGATAATCAATATTTGTATATGGAGTTCATCAAAAAAGCTTTATGGTTATGTATTTAGGTAGAATTATTTCAGGTTGGGGTATAGAATCTGTAGTTCCAACCTAAACTTCATTTATTTCTCCATATTTTAAGGATGATTATCTGGTATAATCCATTTGTATTTTAGGGTTTTGCAGTTGGTTTAAATGAATTTTTTGCAACTTTAGGATCTATATTAACAATGTATTTATGCCCAAAATTGGCTTTAGAATATGGTTTATTAGTAGCAGTATCAAGTGGAATATTTTTTAATTCATTTAGTTTAATATGCGGAATAATTACTGTAATGTTAGATAAACATGCAGAGAAACATCTTTTAGATTAAGTGAATTATGATTAAGTTAAATATTCTGTTTTAAGAACTTCAGAAAATCGTAGTCCAAGATAGAGTAAAGAGAATAATAAATGTGTTATAAATAATGATATATAATAAGAGAATATAATAGAAGTAGAATAATAGAATGAATAATAAAATTAAAATGGAGAAGATGGTTAGATTATATCTTAACCTGATGTAGTCTAAGCTATTGAAATGTTTCCAAAAATATTTTGGCTTGTTAGTTGGTGTTATGCATTAATATATAGTTCAGTATTAGGATTCATAAATATTTCAGTTGGATTACTTTCTGAAAGATGGTTTGGTGTTACTGAAGAATCAGAAATTGAAGCAGGATTTGTAGTTTCAATTATGTGGTTTATAACTGGACTATTTACTCCATTATTTGGTAGCTACACAGACAAATATGGCTAAAGATCATTCTTAGTATATTTATATTTTATTTTTATAGCTAATATTTGCAACCATATTATGTACTTTCTCTCATTTAATGATTTGGTATGTTTTTCCATTTTTATCTCTTATTTTACTTGGAACATCTTTAGCTCTAGCATTTGCATCAGCATGGACAGGAATTGTATTTTTGGTTAGACCAGATACTTTAGGTAAAGCATATGCATTAGTTATTGCTGTATATAACTTTACATTCACTCTAGTACCTCTTGCTGTTGGTGCTTTAAGAGCGTATTTAATTTTTATTATATTAGATATTATGGAACATATTTTTATTCATAAATTATGTTATCTATTTTAGGAGCTATAGCATTTATTCTATCTATTTTTATTTATTAATTAGATAAAAATTAAGAAAATATTCTTGATGGAAATGGATAATATGCTATAAGTGCAACCAGTTTGGAAAAAAACTTCCCAAATGAAAATGCACATCTTAAAGAAGATTGATTGAAATTTATCATTATGTCTTCAAGTAAGAATAGTGTATATTAAATAAATAACAAATGTTATTAAATCAAAAATTTTCAGTCATATTTAGTGTAAAATTCAATCTAATTTTAAACTTCTTCTAATAGCCAAACATCTTTCAACTTAATCATATAACTTTTATCCTCCACATTCCATTACTGCATTTATCATATCAGCAATATTTTATTTGCCATTCAGTACAGCCTTCTCTAATTATACAATTTAATGTTCTAGGGAACTACATCTTTAATCACTTAATTTTACTATCCTCTATTAAATTAATTTAATTATTACTTTAGTTATTTCTAATTCTTTTTAAAAACTCTCCAATCTTATCTAATCTTTCTTTGAATTAAGTACTATATTAATATTTAATTTTATACCCAACTATTGATTTTCTTTTTAACTCATTTATAATTCATTTGATTATTCATATATCAATTTTTGTAATTCTGCTAGTGATAATTTATTAAATCTATGTTGTTAATTTTATATTACTTCTGTCTTCCTTCATTTTTTAATATATTTTCAATTTAACTTTTAGAATTATTTGCCTTTATTTTCTCATCATGAACTGATTAAATAGTTTCTACACAAATACTTGTACTATACAAAAGTTTATCTCTATTACTCCCAAATTCATCCTGTTACACACAAATACAATTATATTTATTATTTAATAAATTCTTCTAAGATTCTATATAATTCTAAAGTTATGTCTTTTCATCTTATAAATCATTTACAATCTTTGTAATTTTCATTAATTCCTAATTCAATTTGAATATTTCTTGATTTTATTTCTTATATTATTAATCTTTCTCATCCTTAAGAATACCTTTCTCCTTTATTAAAATCTCAATTTCTTTTTTAAGAATTTCACACTCTTTATTAATCTATTAAAATTCTTTACTATTCTTATCTTATATATTATTTAATTCATGAATAAACGAATTACTAAAATTACTATTAAAACTATGAATCTGCATTTTTTTGTAATCAGATTAAAGTGCCGTATATGTTTCTGATAATAATGTAAATGCAGCTTCTGATTTCTTAATCTATTCTTATAATTTTTCATTTTATTGTTTCATTAATTTATTCTAATTTTTTAATATCTAATTCTAAATTTATAAAGTATTTTCATCCTATTCTGCATTTTCTAATTATCTACATGACATTAACAATGCTTATTCATTCTATGTTGGTCTTGAATTTAAATTATCAAATTAATCTATTTTTTTAGGATTTGCTTTAGGTTTTGTTGATCCTCTTACTATTTCTTCACGATTTTATACATTATTTTTTGTTCTATTCTTTCCTGGAACTACAAATTTATTTTCTCTTGATGCTGTAGGACAATCATATTCACATTTTTCTTCTTTAGATTTTTATTATAACATACTAACTTTCTATATTCTTACTGTTTATTATCTTTTTGAATTTACTTCACCTTCATTTAATTTATCGATTTCTTAATATTTTATATTATTTTCAAAATTAATTGCTTATTCTTAATACTTCTTTAAAGTCTCCTCTCTATTATGTATTACATTTTCTCCTCTTTCTTATATTGGTGAATGTTAACATTCTCTCTTTTATCTTAACCACTCTTCACCTTTTTTTATCTCTTAATTCAGTTTGCTAAATTTGATAAATAATTTTTACAATCTATTGTTTCCAAGTCTTTTTTATTCATTTTAATTTAATTAGTTCCACGCCAATCCTACTTAAATATAAGCTTCTTAGTCATTTCTATTATGAATAGGAATTTTATCAATAACCAAGGGTAAATTGTTTTCAATATAAAAACCTAAGTTCAGGATTGCTTCTCCATAGCATACTTTGCAATCTTAAACCATTATTTTTAACTAGATAAGATTTATTTAATTTACATATCGGTTTTCAGTATAATAAAAATCAAATTCGACTATCTCATTAATATCTTAAACACTCATACATTGACTTAATATTTTAGACATCAAAATTTTAGATTCATTAGCTATTCATAAGATTTGTAAATTACTATCAAGAATGATTATTTTGCATTATTCTGTTTATTTTTCAATAAAGAACTGCAAAGATTATACTTCGATTTCTAGATGAAGCATAAGCCGTAATAAATTATTATTATTATTTATTAAATTATTCCATTAATACCATCTGAGAAAGAAATACTATAACAACCTATTAAACATTTTTTATTAAAATATCAATATTATATCACTATCTTATCTTTTGCTTGAATCTATACATTTAGTGGCTATAATTTAATTATCTTTTAGTATTTTAAACATTTTATTTAAAACCAAAAATATTCATCATACTATGCTTTATTAATTCTCAAAATTTATAGGATTCTAAATTCTTAAAACATTTTTCTACCATTAATATATTAAAATCTTTCAATTGTTTTAAAATAAAAGAAAATAATAACTATTTTAATTAAATTACAATAATACCAGTTAATTATTTTTTGATGTATTGAATAAAAAAGATTTTTAACTGCTTTTTGAAGCTCGAAACTATTTTTTTATTAAGACCATTTTATATTTTAAATTAGCTCATTTCAGAAATTCTTACTTAAAAAATAATTAAGGAATTTGGATATCATAGTATATTAAAAGATTTAAAAAAAAAGGAGAGTGAAGATTCTCTAAGTTTATTCTATCAGAGGAATTTTAAAATACTAAAATAATTATGTTTGGTATTAGGAGATTTAACAAAAATGATTAAAAATGATAAAATTTAAAACTATAATAATTTAAAATTTAACTGTTAAATTAATTTTGGAATTATAATTTATTTATAAGTAATCAATATAAATGTTAGATATATTTCTTTTTAAATATAAACTAATAGTAAATTTTCAATCATCTAAATTAGGAAATTACATTACTTCAGGATCTTTAACAATCTTTTCTAATTAAATTTTTTTGACTTCATGTATTATAGGAGAAACATCTCTTGCTTTTTAGTTGATTGGATAGGTTTACTTATTATAGAATTCAATAATTTCTTATTTTTTCAATTATTTTGATTTGTTTAAATTTCCAATTAAGCTTGCTATTAATGATGTTAATTTTTAGATAGGATCTTCTGCAGTTGTCGGATTAAAATATTTTTCATCATATTTTTAAGACTTCTTTAATAATTAGTCTGCATATTCAGTTATTTTTTGAAGAGGCTTAATCTATCTAACCATATAAAAAACACAAATAATAATGTATAAAAAGGGTATGGCTAAGGCTATTGGTGTTAATTTATTATTATAACTATCTTTTTTAAGATGATAATTTTATTCCTAAAGTTTAATTTCTTCATTAGGTATGTAAGATGGTTAATAACTATTTAGTTTAAATCAAAACTTACATTCCTAAGAGGAGCCCAGAATAATTAACGTATGCCAACATAAATTTTTAATTTGATAAATCTCCTTCATAAAATTCTATGTACGATGCAACACTAGCTGAATCTTTTAAATATTATTAAAAATTAATTTTTATTAATAAAGAATCATCTTTATTCATAGTTTTAAGAGCATATTAAAATTCATCTATATTAATTTCATATTCCTGTTTTTCATAATAGAGTATGTCATTTTCAGGTGTAAGTAAAAAAAGAGTATAATTATATTGATAGTTAATGGTCAAAGAATAAAATAGCATATATAAGGTAAAAGGTCGCCTTTCACAAAAGATTAGACCAATTTTTGTATTATTGAAATCAGTTATAGGTAATACTTCTCTTTGTAAATTTTAATTTAAAACTGGATCATAAGCGTGTTCAAGGGGAATATCTGATAAATTCCTTCTACTATTATACATATTTAATCGATATTCATTAAATTATTTATTATCTGTTACATTTATTCCTGGATATTGCATCATGAAACCATCATCAAATATCCAAAAAAAAGTAGACCCCATATTTTGATAATTAAAATACATTATGTTATTAATTGATAAATATGTTCTAATTTTACTTTCAGGTATTTACTAATCAGATAGAAGACTAAAAGTAGCAACAGTTAAAGTATATTAATCTATTATACCTGTATCTGGAAGATACTTTTTGGTTGAATTTGGAATTTAATCATTCATATCATATAGAATACCATTATATTTTAAAGTTCCAGATTAAATTAAATTTAATGTAACATCAACCATTTATATTTCATTCTCTCTATTGCTAATTAAAAGTTAAACAAAATCTACTGTGATCTCGCAAATTTATTTTTATAATAACATTGAAACACTATTCTTAGTCCATTATTAGACTGTATCAAATAATATACGTGAACCTAATTATTAAACCCCAATAAATAAAGATAAAGAAGTTAAGGCAATTATTATTTAAGCAACAGTTACTTATACTTTCAATCTCCATTTTGAAGAAATCGGTAAAAAAAATATTGATCCAATCTTTTCATTTATAATTAAATCTCTATGACCAAATCCAATATAAGCTTTGATTTTTTCAAGACATGTCTCTTTTATCTAAATTTATTTTATTATTACATCTTTTTTCTTAGCTTCATCCTTTATAATTTATTATTCTTAATATGTGGGGGTTTAAGACTCCTTAGGATTCATTTCTTATTCTTCCTCATTATCAATTTCATCATTTGAATCTTAGTCATCATTCGAAAGATCACTTTAAAATTATTCTTACTCATTTCTTTCAGAAAGAATGGCTTCATCTTATGGATTTTAAAACAGCATGTTTTACATAAAATTAAAATTATTACAAAGATTATTTATAACGAAGTAAAATTGAATAAAAAGAATTAAAAAAGAAGTTTAAATAACTTTCTATTTCTTTTCTATTTTATATGTTCACAAAAATTATTTTAGAATTTAAAATTAGATTAAATAGTCATATTTTTAATTAATTTTGAGAATATGAAAGTTATTTTCATATTCAATATGACATAAAAATTTATAAAGAGTATCTTAATAAATTATAAAAAGTTTATTATATTTTGTTTTAGAATTGACTTATTTATCGCTTAAAATAAATTATAATTTTAATAATAAGTAATAATTATTTTTCTTTTATGTTATTTAATGAAAACAAGCAATATAAACATTTTATTACTAAGATGGAACATCTTTATTTTTATAATTTTGTTTTTTTTTGAATTAAATTTATTATTTTATCCTTTTTAAGGAATAATTAAAACTAATTTTCGTTAATCATCCATTTATTATGTTAATTAAATTTTTTTTTTAAGAATATTCATATTTCCACTACACAAAAAAACTTTATTTTATTTTATTTTTTTCAATCTGGCATTTATACAGATTCTAAATGTAAATTTTGGTTAAGATTGATCATTTTTTTGTTTTTGAATTTTGTTTTTTGAAAATTAGATGAGTAATAGAAGTTAACTATATGGAACTTAAAAGTTTAAAATTTATTTTATTATATTTTATTAATATTTTGAGAACAAAACTTAATTTTGAACAATAAGTAATTTTCTCAAAGCTTTTATTTGAATGTGTTCTAATTAAAATTCAAATTTGATAATTCATACATTAGTTGAATAATTTAATTATTATTATAATAAGTATTTTTAAAATACTATAAGGATTTAAATTTATGGATAAAATATTATAAATCATTGTTTATTGATGGAAATAGCATTGATTAATAATTTATAAGAGGAAAATGATTTTATTCAATTATAACATACTCTTAACTTGCATATATTCATATTATTTAATTAAAATAATTATAAAGGATTAAAAAAATCTGAATATTTTAAAAGAATATGAATTCGGATATAATTAGTTTTTTTTCTTAAAATGAAAAGTGAAGCTAAACATTATGAAAATAAATAGAAAGTTAATTATTAATTTTTTAGTTTAATATTAAATTTTACTCAATTCAAAATGGGCAATGCCTGTACATGCTAATGTTAAACTAAAGGGTTTGAGGAAAATGAACTGAATACAAATTAAAAACAATAAGGTTAATAAAAATTAACAGCAAAACCCGATAATGCTTAAAATTAAGAGTTAGATGTATAAAAAGGAAATAAACTATTAGGGTAAAGAAAAGATTAGTAATCAGTTGAAGGATGAAGATGTAGCTTAAATGGCAGGAGCTCGAAACAATTCTATTGAAGATAGTTCTTCTCCAAAACTAATGAAAAGAGAAAATGGTAATTTATGTTGAGAAGTATAGATGATAATAAACCTGAAGATCAATATATTGCATAAGTTTAATCAACGAAAAATAAAACAACAAGAACAAAATTAGGAGCAATAGAAATGAAAAATGGTGGTGTATATGAAGGAGAATGGAAAAATGCAATGAGAGATGGTTCAGGAAAATATGTATGGCCAGATAGAAGTTTTTATGAAGGAGAATGGATGGAAGATAAAGCAAATGGATTTGGTAAATTAGGTAAATATAGAGTAATACATATGTAGTTCATGTTGATGGTGATATTTATGAAGGATAATGGTTAGATGATATGGCAAATGGAAGAGGTGTTTATATTCATAGTGGTATTATTTATAAATACATTCAAGGAGGAGCTAGATATGAAGGAGAATGGAAAAATGATTTATAACATGGATAAGGAGTTGAAGTATGGCCAGATGGAGCTAAATATGAAGTAATTATTTCATTCTAGATATATATTAGGGTAGATATGAAAATGGTAAAAAACATGGATAAGGAACATTAACATTTGCTGATGGCAGTTATTATAAAGGAGATTTTGTTGAAAATGATATTACAGGATATGGAGAATATTATTGGAAAGATGGTAAATCATATAAAGGATAATGGAATAATAGTAAAATGAATGGTAAAGGAGTTACTTAATGGGCTGACGGTAAAAAATATGAAGGAGATTACAAAGATGATAAAAAACATGGCTTTGGCATCTTTTAATGGGAAAATGGTAGAAAATATGAAGGAAATTGGATTAATGGAAAATAACATGGAAAAGGTATGATTACATTACCCAATGGAGAAAAAAAAGAAGGCATTTGGGAAAATGGCAAAAGAATCAAATGGTTAAATGCTGATGAATCACCTAATAGTTGAAATAATAATTCACATTTTAAATAATATCTACTTATGTTTAAATTATCATATTTCATTTTATTTTTATATATTCTATTTATCATTCAACATATATTAATTGTTTTTATATATCAATAAAGATTAAATTATAATTTTATAATATAATTAATGATAATATATGATTTTATATTATATTTAATAATTCTCTGATTTCTCATTCTCATATTTATAATAATCTTTCTTAACGTTATTAAATGTATTCAGTGTAAATAAATTTACTCGCCATAGTTATGGTTAATAGACCACCACATAAGCCAATGAAATAGTGTTATTAGATTAATTATATAGTTGTTTTAGAAAATGATACCAAATACTTAAAAGAAGTCAAACCTATTTTTAAAATTAATCCATGAAAACCCCAAATAAGAATTCCAGATAGTCCTATCGATATTATTCCTGATACAATTATTGAAGTGTTATTTAATTTTATCAGGGTATCGCATTTACTGATAATGTCATTACATTATGTATTCCACTCCAAAAATTTGTCTTTAAATCTTTCATATTCTACAAACTTGTTAGAAAATTCTCTGAAAAAAAGAAAAATTTTCCCAAACCTTTCAATTTCTTAAGTCATGTTTATATCGAATTCATAGAATTAATCAAGATTACGTTAAGAAAACTTTTAGCCAATGTTAAATAAAACTTTTGCACAATATGGTAATTCCAAATCCTTTAATATATTTTCCATTCTACTTTTATAACAGTCAAAAGTTTATTGATTTAAATTGTTAATGTCTTTTGTGAAAATTTCCTTCTATAGTTCTTGAATATATTTTTTTATAGTTGACAACTTAGATTTCCATAAAAAAAATGTCAGTTTTGATTAAATAAAATTTAAAAAACTATTGAAGAGGTTTTGTTATGCTTCATATAAATAATCATTAATTAGTTAAGGATTTTTTAATTAAAGGGTTTGATTTAACTTTTAATTAGGGGTATTAATAAATATATCCCATAAATCTTAATAACTATTGTTGAAATTATCTATTTATTCATTATTTTATTTGTCAATAATATGCATAGAATTAAATTCCCATTTGAGTTATCTAAAATCTTAATTGATATTTTAATTTAAAATATTCCTTTAATTTCTCAAATATTAATTGAGAACTAAAGTGATTGATTTAACTATTTCTTTTTTAGGATCATTCTTTAATAGTTCTTTCAAATTATTTTATTAATCACTTGCTCTACCATATCAGGGTTTTCAATGATGTAGATAATCTTAACTTTATTGTTAATAATAATCTTATTTATAACAGTTTCAATAAATAAATTTTCCCCGCTAGTATTATCGAATCCTGGGAAATCTATAAGAAGGTGTTTATAATCATCATTATAGTATAAATTAGGTTCTTAAGTAATGGAATTTATCCCTTATCCGATACTGCCAAAGTTTTGATTTGATTAATTAATGAGTTCAATTTAATCTTTATTTTAATTGTATTTATATTTCCCACCTCTTAATAGATTGAATATCGTGGTTTTTCCTGATCCTGTTTTTCCAATTAGCAATATTAGATTACCGCTGTGATTTTATATTTTATTGTTATATTCGCTGACTTTTTCAACAATCTTAAATATTTCAGTCTGTTTATTCTGAAAAGAATTATTGTCTATCATTTTGAGTAATAAAAAATTTTATTTATTTCAAAACTTTTTCTAATTCTATTAAATTCAAAATAATGCAATTTATGAATTTATTGAAAACATTTTCTGATAGTTCGGCTGATGCAAATAATATATAAGCAAAAGAAATATATTTATGTTGAAGAATGACATTCAAAATAATAATTCTTTAGCTAATTATAATGTAATATAAATTTTTCATTTAATATAAATATTAAAAATTGTAAGAGATCTATATAATAATTTATTTTTTGTAGATTTATGATTATTTTTTGATTTGATCCGAGAAAAATAAATTTTTAATGATATTAATTCTTGTTATCCATTTTCATCAATACCATTTTAAATCTTATAGTACTTTTATCATTTTTGCAGAACAAATAGCCTCGTTATAATTGAAAATTAAAATATTCTCTTAATTAATGAAGTTTATATAACTTTGATTAGAAATTTTTTGGAGGAACAATAAGACTTTAATAGTGATTGAAATTAGTATCTCTTTAATTATTTTAAGAAAAATTATTTTTATATTACACAATAAAAATTAATATGTATTCTATATAAATATATAATTTGCTAATTAATTGCAATAAATTGTCAATTTTCCATCAATATATTTTTGAATAGAGACAAATTTTATTCCCACTGTGCTAAGATTTTCTCTTTGAAAAGAAGTGAAAAAGAAGTCATCTACTATTATTTATAGAACTATTTACCTTAATTATAATTGTTTCATTCTCAACTTAAGGATATAGTTGTTCTGCTAACTAAAAAACATTATGTAAAGGTATAACTAATGCATCCTTCCAATAGTAACCAAAAAAATATTTTGCTTTACATAAATATTAAGCAAACAATACCTTAATTTAATAATTATATATACTTTCTAACTTTTGAAATGAGACTTTTAATTCTTATCATATTAAGTTTATTTTGTTAACATCCAAATTTATAAAGCCTTTTTATAAAAAAGTAATGCAGGTTGAATAAATCTAACTTTTTCAATCGTTTTCATATTACAATCTGACTTGACTGTTGTTTCAATAATAATAACAACAAATTATCGTGCAATTTGCCATTATTATTCTTAAGAATTATGTTCAATAAATTCTTAAAAAAAATTTTCACTCATTTTTTGCATTTACTTTGAAAACTTTCTCATTTTATGGTTTAAAATCATTGTTGTAATTTCTTTAATATCACTTTTGCTTCTGTCTATTTCTTTATGTTTAGATTTCTGGGAAATTTATGAAGATGATAATGTTGAATCCTTGCTATCTTCATTAATATTTAATTCATCAATTTGTTTAATGAGAGATTTATTATCTAATGATCCCTTTTCTCTAAATACGATAAGTGGCTATATACAATTCTTATCATAATTCAATTATTAAGGCATTATTTGATATTGAGACAGTTCTTTTTATATGAAAATCATCTCTTGAGTAAATATATCTATTAGACGATGAAGTTTTTCATTTTCTACTTATAGTCTATTCAATCTCTTTAATAACTCTTATTCTAAATTTTATAAATCATTGGATAACCAACTATATATAAACATGTCTAAAATAAAATTAGAAGTAACAAACTTCTGATTCTTTTCGACAAACAGATAAGCAGTTTTATGAGCCATGGTGAACCAGACTCTAGGTAATTAAAAAAGTAAAAGCTTTTTAATTTTTGAACAAATGATTAGGTCATCAATTATACCATTTGGTAAGGGTTTTGAGACTGAATAATAATAAATATTTTATCCTTCATTTTCAAAAGTAAAGGATTAAACTCTGGTTATGTCTTATTGTTCTAGTTGATGTTACATAGGCAAAATAACTACTCTGTATAAAGTTTATTTTTATTAAGAATAAATGGTCTAATTAATTAGGGATTTAAAAATTGAAAACATAATATTTACCATTTAATTTAAAACTTATTAAGAATAAATAATTTTCATATTTCTATAGAATTAAGAACTTAATTAATTGAAATCATAATTTGAAATTACTTTTGGAGATCTACCTTAATATTTTGTTTTTTATTATACAATAAATGAAAGAATGTTTAATAAATATAAAAAGTGTTAGACATAAAATTATATTCATTTGAAGACTAAATATTTATTAATGATTAAAAGTTTAAGATTAGTATTTTAAAATTGTTTGATTTCTAAAGGTGTATGACGGTTATTTTAAACTTGCAATGAAACCTATCTTTTAATTTTATTTGGTTTGATTTTGAATTCAATCGAACTTGGCTTTTTATGTAGAAGTTTTTCTAATTATGAACGAGATGTAGATCTTTTAACTCTAAATAAAATAGATGTCAAAATACATACAATAATTATTTCTATGTTTATACATCTAATAATCTTTTTCCTCTAACACTTTTTTTAGTTAATAAATTACAAGATGAATGAGAACTAGAAGAATCTTCAGAAAAAATAATATGTTAGATCTCAGATGAAAAAATCTTTTGAGTATCGAATGATAATTTAGATTATCTTGGAGGGGCAATTTATAAAAGTTTTTATTTTCTACTATTCATCCAATTTTATCTAAATCTAATAGCTATTTATTCTTTTTCTTCTCTCATTTCTTATAATTTTAATTCAGATTATTTATTTATTTCAGAAATGATTTTTGATGGATTAAATTCTGAATAAAATTCCGAATAATCACGATGTTTATCAAGGCAAAAATCATTGTCTTCAAATTAAGTTGATAGTTTAGAATAATCAGGAATCGATTCATCAATACTTTCATTATGCTTATTAGTTTTTACAAATTATTTTGATTATAGAAATCTATATCTAAATAATGCATCAGATTTTGAATTAATAATTTTAGATGAAGTAATTAATGGTTTTCCATATCTTCTTTTAAAATCTTTCACTCTGTTATTTTTTTATTTTAAATAATTTTCAATAACTTTTAATCTTCGAACTCTATAATGCATAATTGTGCAATTTCTTGCAATATGATGTGGTCTATCACAAATATAACATCTTAATCTTAATGGTTTTAATGAATTTTCAACATCAACACAATTTTTTATATAGAAAAGTTTCTCTAAATCAGAATCCAAATCATGTGCTTATTCCCACAAATCTTTTCTACTTAAACTCATTAAATTAACAAAATCAAGTGTTCTAGCACTTGCTGTTCTAGGATATTTACTAAAAAAACTAATTTCTCCAAAATAATCTCCTTTACTTAATAATTTTAATGAAAACTCTCTTTTTGTTAAACAAATCTCAACTTAACCATTTTAAATAAAATATAATAAATTACTGTCTACTTAATTTTCTTTAAAAACATATTCTTCTGGACCTAAAAGATGTTCTTTTAAAACATAAATTAATTTATTTCTTAATTATGAAGAGAATTCCCTACTAATTAAATTAACTTATTTTAAAATTCTACCATGTAACAAAGTTAAGATTTCAGTATGTAAATTTGATGATAAATTATTTAATATAACCATTTATGAATTTTTAGCTACTTAAGCAGATCCTTCTAACCATTCCAAATAATTCTTTACTCTAATTTATAATTATTTTGGTATACTTTTCTATTTAATATATCTAATTATAATTTATTATATTATTTACTTAATGATTTTTAGATTTTATTACTTAATTTCAGCAATACTCTAATCTTCTCCTTAAATTATAAACATCAAGCTTGACATACTATAACCAAATACTCCTGAAGACAAAACCATTACAATAATACCAAAAATCATTTCTAAATTTGTATTTGGACTTATATCACCATATCCTACTGTTATCATAGTAGTTATGCTGAAATAAAATGCTGTTATATATTTAACTTCCCAAGGTGCATCATGAATTCCATATTATGTCATCCATGTTAATTCTATTTATTCATCTACAAATTCTACTATATTCCAAATACAAGCTATCCAATGTGCTATACATAATATCATTGCAGTTATTTTTAAGAATTATATTATTGCTTACAGTGTTTATTCTATTGAAAATGTCTCTATAATCTATTATTATTTCTCATATACCTTCTATTTTTATCAAAATTCTTCCTAATTTTAAAACTCTTAAGAGACGTACAATTTTCACAAATTTAAACAATCTTACTATTTTTAATATTTGGGTTGATGAATTATCATCATTCCCTATCATTAAATCAAAAGGAAGAACTGCAATCGCATCTATCCAAAACCATAATTTTAGATAATTAAATGCTATATATTTTAAGCGACACTCCAATTTTCCACTTATAATATAAGATTTTTGGTTACTTTTGATAATATGCTAGTCGAAAATTTAGTAGCATATCCATTACAAAAAAGATATCCATTATATCATTCACTATTTCCATTCCTATTTAATTTTCTATAGAAAATGATAATGCCATTGGAATGTATATCATTTACACAAAAATAAATAACATGCTTATTGATTCCCATATTATTCTAAAGGTAGAGGTCGGATTAGATACTTCCATTATGGTTTTTATAAATATTGAAAAAACTTCAGTTTTAGGCATTTATTCTTGTTCTTCCTCCTCTCTTTATTTCAAAAAATATAAATAATCTCTTGCCTCTTTATTAGTTTCACATATTATGCTTATTAATTTTCTTTAATTTAATCGAGCATTTGAGTCATAGTCTTATGCTTTATCTTATCAAAATTAAATAAGTATTACCTATCAATTGCATAAATTAACTAATAAGAATTAATAAAATATTTATTGAAATTTATATCGATAACACAAAATAATATATTAATACATCTGACAATTTAAATAAAATTTATTTACACATTTTTAATCAAACTCTGTTAAATTTAATATATCAATCGAAAGTTTTAGCTATTATTTAACTTTTTATATACTTTCTTTATATATATTATTTTTACTTATACTTAAAATAAAGTTAATTTATATATTCCATTTATATGTAATTCCTTTTTTAAAATTTAGTTTTTCATTTAATTAAAATTATTTCTATAACCTTTTAGTTGAAACAGATTTAATATTGCTCAATATATTTTATTATTTTCATTAAAATTTTTAATTAGTCTCTAATCTTCAAAATTTGACTTTTTTTAATGAAATAAGTAAATATTTCCTTTTGATTTTATTCATTATTAAATTATTAATAAAAATATTAAAGTATGTATTTTTTTATATATTCTAAATTTTATCTCATGTTACTACTAAAAAAATAATCCTGGCAACCATTTATAAACTTATATATCAATTCTTTTTTTCAAATATGGAAACCAACAAAATTTAACACTATTTTAAAATTCAACTATTTAATAATTTCAAAAACAAATTTTGACATTAAAAATCCTTTATTTATAGAGACATCTTAAAGAAATTTGTTATTTTTTCAAACTGAATTAAAATTTTTATATATTTCTCTAGAATATACAGATATATAAACAATTTCATTTGATTTAACATTATTCTAAGTCTTTTAATGATAAGATATGATGGAAAAATATGAGAATTCCAAGTTTATATTTCTCGTCACAAATTTTCGATAGAAAAAGTTTTAAAAATAAAGTTTTATTCAGAAATAAAATCATAGAAATAAAGCTTAATCAAGTTTTAAAAATAATTGTTAAAATAAATATATTCAAAATTCATAAATACTTGATCCCAAAAATGACTTAAAAAAAAATTCTTTTATAAAAAATATCAGTTTTATATTTTAATTTTATATTTATAAAAAACATTTTATAAATTAGATCTTGTTATAATGTTGTATCTAATATTGAATGAAATTTAAACTCTTTTTAAGTGAGAAAGTGAAATTTTAAGATGATTAATTTAAAACACATTAAGTATCCTTAATATTTGTAGATATAAGTGAATAGGCATTTTCAAAAATAATGGAAAAAAATGATTTGTTAAATTAAAAATAAGATCTAAAAATCAGGAATTATTATGGATATGAAAATTAAATCATTTTTTCTTATTTCCTTTTTATTCTTTTTATTCTTTTTATTATTTTTATTCTTTTTCTTTTTCCTTCTAGTTTTAATTTTACTTTTATTTCTCTTTTTCCTTTGTTTCTTTTGTTTCCTTAGTTTCTTTAGTTTCTTTAACATCTTTTTATTATTCTTTCTTTGAATTTTTATTCTTAATTTATTGAATTCTTTATTCATCTTCATCTTCACTTTCATCATCATCTTTAGCTGCTTTAGTAACTTTCTTTGAACCTTTTTTATGCTTTTTCTTTTCTTATTTTAATTCCTTTAAACAGTCTTTTACTTTATCTTCATCTAATTTATATTTCTTCAACCAAGCCTAATAATCTTTTTTATATTAGTTTTAAGCTTTCTCTTTTTCATTTTCGTATTTCTTTAATAAAATTTAATATTACCTCTTTTTTTTTCTTATCTAAATCATTCCACATTTATGAAATAACTTAAGTTAATTCAGTCATACTTTTATCTTAATTTTTCTTTTTAACTTCATCATAAACCTCGGCCCTATATAACATATATGGATTTTATGGTTTTTTAGGCATATTTTATATGGCATCGTCTGAAATATAATCCATGAATTTGAAATTTAAATTTAATAATAAATAAATTAGCGCTCGTTTAAAGATTTATTGTCTAATTATTAAGGAGTTTATAAATTTTATTATTAAATTATATGAAAATATTTTTTAATTCAAAAATATCAACATCTTTTTGAGATGATTTTAGAGTCCATTTTTGTGAAATAAATATCTAAAATAAATAGATGAAAATGAAAATAATTTATAAATGACATACTTTATTAGTCATTCATATAATTTCAAATAAAATATTATCTCTACTAAATAAATTTTGTCTGTAATGATATTGATTGTATTAACACAATTAAAATAATCAAACTATGGATAGAAAATGATTTTCAATTTTTTAAATCCATTTCTATTAACCAATATATAGGTATGTTAGCTATTTTATATCTCTAATTTTAATTTGATTAAAAGTAGCTATTTAATTGATTTGAAATTTACTTGTTCCATCACAAAATGACCATCCCCATGATCTGGCAAGAGTGAATGCGCAGATGATTGCTTCAAAAATGGTAACTTCTTTATACATAGCCAATCCTCCAAGACGTACAACTCTATGAAGAGTCGTAAAAATACTGTCTGTGTATCTATAATTTTTAGTTGGAAGATTTGTAATAATTTTATTTTGTAAGAAATCATCTTTGATATTAGAAGAATAAAAGGTTTCTTTTTTTGGTATTTGTAATCTATAAAAATATAAACTATTATTACTCTTATTATTATAACTTAAATTCATTATTATGAAGTGTAAACATACTTAAATTATATCCAGTTCCAAATACAAGTTATGTAGTCTAACCATAAACACAGTATCCCATTGATGTAATTTACTCTGCTTATTATTTAAAATCATTTAAATTAACTTACTTAAAAATTGTTGTTTATTTTTTAAATATTATAAATGCTGATGCTCTACATGAGTCTGTACCATCAACAGCTCGAAAGGCAACTATATATTTTGATTATTAATTATCTGCTAATAAAGTCTATTAATTATCTAAAATATATAGAATTTGACAATATTATGTTTTAACAAATGATTCATTTAATTATTATATTGCTTTTTTAAGACCTGTTAATGAATATACAGATTTAGAAATTATTCTCATTTATTCAACAAGATATTTAACTAATTAAGTAAAATCACCAGAAGCTTCATTATGTTTTAATTATTCTGCTTCTATAAACTTATTAAAAGATTGAGTATTTTCTGGTAAATTAGAATAAAAATCATCAGTAAATTTTTCTAATTTTAATCTAATTTAAGCTTAATGATCATAACGACCACAATCATATATAACAATATCAGAATGTTATTCTTATTTTAATACTTTTAATATTTATTTCATTCCTCTTATAATCTTACCAAAAGCTACTCTTTTATAATCAAAAAAAGGCATAGGCGCTAAAGTAATATAAAATTAAGAATGATTTGTATGTTGAAATCCATCATTGGCAAATCCAATAATACCTTCACAATCATGTTTTAAAGCATAAGATTCATCTTCAAAATATCCTCCATAAATTGATATTTTTTTATCAAATTAACCTCCTTAGATGAATCCTAAAATTGAAATTAATTACAAATAATACCATTAGGCTTGTATTTTGTGAATTTACTTTTTTTGTAAGAATAGAATTAGCCTTCAATATTGACACCTTCACAGAATTTAATAAAATTATCACATGCCTTTGGAGTAAATTCATTAAATAATTCTATAATAACAGGATAGAGTTAATCATCAATTGATAACATCATTTATACATAAGCTAAAATTGATAAAATATATATAATTACTATTCTTTCTCTAATTAAAAAATTTCAATTAAGATTCATAAGCTTAACTAATCATTGTTTAAGTAAATTTAACCCTACGATTTGAATGTACTGTAGGTGTTCCATTCTATATTAATAACAATGGTCTAATTTTAATCTATTTTATAAAACCTTTTAACTGTTTTAGACATAAATGAATCATCCATAGTAAATGGTTCTTAATTACAAAGAGGCTGTAATTTCTTAATTTAAATTCTTAAAGAAGCATTCCTTTTGAGCAGTTTCACTTGATGATCATATTCAGACTTAATTATTATAATAGTCCTACTTCATGCATTTCCTAAATCTCATAAGTCTTTTTACGTTCTGTTAATTGCAAATTTTTAAAGTGCAATAAATCTGGATTACCTGTTACGCTCATCACTTTAATTTTACTCATTTTTAATTTTATGTAATAAAATGAGATGATATAGCTACTTCAGAAAACTGGTGAGAAATTAAAAAATCGAAAACTAGAACGTATGATAGCTGTCAATCCTTCAAATACATAATTCACTTAATAATTCTTATAGTAATAAATAGATAAAAACAACAGTTAAAAAAAAGGGACTTTACTTACATAAAATGAATTAAGTTAAGCAATTAAAAAGTTTCAAGAATATATTTCTAAAAAAGAAGAATTAAATCCAATCTAAGTTAATTAAAAATCTTAACAAGAAAATGAAAATTAATAAAGCAACCCTAAGTTTAAAACATTAAATTTTGACACTTCCATCTAAACTAAGCATTCTCACAAATTATCTCAAGGTTTACCAACTCAACCAAATGAAAAAACATACTCATAACATATTAGATAATCTTCTGATATTTTAAGAAATGATGGAATTGTAGATAAACTCTATGATTCTTTAATGAATAGATAAGTTGGTAATTCTAAACCAATTACACCTAAAGGCGGTTTTTTTGAATTTCCTTAAACTTCAGAAGATTAATTAGATTAAATAAAAGATGAAGAAGAAGAAATTTATTATATACATAAAGTTAAGCAAGCCATATAATTATAAAATTAAAATGATTACTTTACAAGATTATATCGAAATCATTTTAAATCATTGTGTTAAGAATTGAGTATTGGTGTAAAATTGAAGCCTGCTAATTATACAGACATTAAAACAAAAGAAGTTAAATTAGAAAAATAAAAAAAATATAAAGGTATGTTTTATAAATAAATTTTAGATTCTATAACTTTAGTATTTGATCTAGATGAAACATTAATACATTGTAATGAAAGAGATAATAAATTATATGATACTATTCTAACAGTCCACATTAACAAAAAATAACAAGTATTAGCTAAAATTAATGTTCGACCAAATGCTGTGGAAATACTAAAAAAATTATCTTAACATTTTGAATTAATAGTTTTTACAGCTTCAAATAAAATATATGCAAAAAGTGTAATTGATTATTTAGATCCTAAAAATGATATATTTGCACATAGACTTTATCGAGAATCCTGTATTTTAACATCAGGAGGAATTCATGTTAAAGATTTAAGAATACTAAACAGAAATTTAGAGAGAATGGTAATAATTGACAATTCTGCTTGTAACTTTTCGTGGCAAATTGACAATGGGGTTCCAATCATCCCTTTCTATGATAATTAATTAGATGATGAGCTTAATCATTTATATAGATATTTATTTGGTATGAAAGAATGGTAAGATGTTAGAGAATATAATAGGTATATATTATGTTTTTATTTTAGGAAATATCTTTAATTATATAGATACACAGGTAATATTAATTAATTTTAAAATATTAGCAGATATATGAAGGAGAAGGATTTTGTGATTGAAGAATAAAATTGAATATACTTAAATACTTTATAAATTATTATAAATGATTACAAATTTCAATTAGCTTTAAGCATTCCATCATTTTAACTTAAGATTTGAAAAGATTCATCTATTTCTTCGACCAATCTTTTTTTGAATGTCTCTTTAGTTAAAAAAGCTCCAATTATTCCACTGATTGAAATAATTCCCAAAAAAGCTACTTAATTAAATTAGATATAGTTAGCTAGAGCAATCATATAGGAAGATGAAAATGATCCTAATATTCCAAATGTGAATAGTAATCCTGAACCTGTACCTCTTATTTAAGTAGGATAAATTTCAAGAGTATGTTATCTTAAAAGCCCAAATCCAAAAGTATTAAAGAATCTAATTAAACAACACTAAATAATAAAATATTTAATTACAAGTAAAATCACTATTATTTCTTCAACACATCCCTGACATTAAAGTTAGTATTAAGTAAATCCATAATATAAAAATGATATACATCCTAAAATTTATATATAAAAGAAAAGTTTTTAATAAAAGGTTCTTTTCAATTTTGGAATCAAATATGTAATTAAAGAATAACCAACTAATTCACTTATTCCTAAAAAAATGCCTAATTGATATATCATATTTCCAATTGATATTTCTTACAACACAAATTATCCACCATAATATACTAAATGTAAAGCATATGAAATTAATATAAATCCAATTGAAGATGATGCAAATTGACTTAATTTGAATAAATCCAAAAATGAATAATTGTTTCTAACATTATTCGTTTAAGAATATTCTAATGCTGGATCATCAAATTACTTTCCATTTACTTTGGCAATATAACGAAGTACATAAAGAGTCTATTGATACTTTATATTTATTTTACTTTTTCATAATCTTTTTTCTAATACAAAAATTTTGGACTTTCTTGAACCAAAATCCATGTTAATATTAGAGAAATGAGACCTGGAATTACAATTACAAATAAATAGATAGTTCTCCAATTTTCAATAAAATAATATAAAATAGCCATTAGAATCTCTCCTAAACACCAAAAAACTAAGGTTCCAGTTGATAATATCTATTTGATTTCATATCCACTGATTTCATTAATTAATACTGGTATCATTATGTAGACTCCAATTTAAAAGAAACCAAAAAAAAAAGTAAATATGATAAGTTATATTATACTTTAACTGAAATAGATTCCAATAAATCCAAAATTTGTGAATATTAAAGATAATAATAGAGTCTTATATCTTCCCCAATAATCCTTATTATTAATATAATTTAAATACTGATATTTAGCTAAGAATTGAGCCACCGATCACTGAGCCTAGAAAGTTGATTGTACTTGTAATCATAATAAATTTTCTATTTTCGCAAAATAAACTAAACTCTGTTACAATATTCTTATATTTAAAATTAGGATCAATTGAGTAGTTTTTTTCTGAACAAGTTTTTTCATCCTCATCGCACATCTTTTTAATAAGGTTAATATTTACTTAGCCATTACAATATAATTATGGAACAATATAGTTATATGTTGCGCTCATAATTTAGGCAGATAAGATAAAAGTTAGAAGTGATGAAATTAAGAATAATCTTATCTAGTACCAACCATTGTTTCCACATTTTTCAAGAGCTTGTTCAATTTGCAACATTTTAATGAAAAATCAAAGTATGTTATGTAAATTATTATTAATAAACCTGAAATATAAAACATTTAATCTTCTACTAAAGGCTGTGTAAATTGATTTAAAATATAATAACTTCAAATCTTATTGGTTGTTTGAAACAAACTAGAAAATAAAATCATTTAAATGAAATCTAAAATTAGTTTTGAAATATAGTATAATTTTTAAGGGGGAGTTGATTTAAATCAGAATAACAAAGATAATTATTATATCAACTTGAATAAATTAATCCATCCTTTATCTAAAATTATTATTATTATTAAATGATTGTCTATAAAGGCATCAAGTACAAAACCTAATAAAACAATAAAAAATTGGGTTATTTTATATTATATAAATATAATTATTGAGAATATTATAAATTTGGTATTAATGAGCTCATAAAATCGAACAGTTAAATAGATTGGTCAATATTAATATAATGAAAGACATTGTTTAGGAGAAGGAGCTTATGGTAAAGTTTATTAGGGAATGGATATAAAAACTAATGAAATAGTTGGAATTAAGAAAATGGATTTAGTTTTATTTGAGAGAGATACTTATCTAAGAAATTAAATAGTTAGTGAAATAGAAATTTTAAAAAAATTTAATCATCCAAATATTGTCAGATTTATCGATTTAATTACAACTCAAAGATCTCTTTATATAATTACTGAATTTTGCAAAGATGGAGATTTAAAGGAATTTCTTTAGAAAAGAAGATTGACTGAAAATGAAGTAAAATAACATCATTTATTTTTGATAGGCTCAAGGTATCATGTTATAAATAATAAATGGATTTAAAGAGTTAGTAAAACAAGGTGTAATTCATAGAGATCTTAAACCAGCAAATATTTTGAATCATGAAGGTATAGTTAAAATAGCAGGTAAATGAAAAAATTAGAATTTAGATTTTGGATTTGCCAAATATGTTGATAATTATACCTCTTAATTATTAAGATCATGTGTTGGTTCACCTTTGTATATGGCACCATAAATATTATAAAGGAAAAGTTATTCAACAAAATGCGATATTTGGTCAATTGGTGTAATATTTTATGAGATGGTCTTTCATGATGTACCATGGAAGGGAAGAGATGAATAGGATTTGCTTAAAAATATTTTAATTAAACCTTTAGTTTTTAAAGGGAATCAGACTATTACTGATTTCACAAGAGATTTTTTGAGTAAAGCATTAATTGTAGAAGAATCAGAAAGAATTTCTTGGGATTAAGTATTTCACATGTTTGAAAGTATGGAAAAAGGTTTAGTTTCAAACAATCCAACTTTGTAAAAACTTTACAATGATTAAAATTTAAGTTGGATGTAAAAATAACAATAAAAAATGTCAGGGGATCAATTAGTTAAGTAATTATTGTTTTTACAATAAATGAAATAAAATATAGCATTTCGACATTTTGTTAATTTAGAATTATATTAAAAATTAGAATAATTGAAATTGTTATTTAGAAGAGATTAATCATTTGAAGAATGCATAGTTATTTTATCAAGATTAGTTTTAGCATATAGCAATTTATTAGTTTAATTGGTAGAAGAAACTTGTGATTCAGGAGAAGATATTCTAATGAAGGGAACTAAGTGGAATATCTTAAACTCCATAAAAAGTGAATAAGAATACTATAAAATATTTTTCTCTAATTGCAAAGAATAGTTATTTAAAGAAATTCAATATGAAGTTGAATTATCTGATTCTGATAGAAATAAATTAGAAGATAATTTTACTACTAAAATTATTAAATTAATTGGCGATATTTTAGATGATCTTAAAAAGAAATTTTCTGAGGGAATATTGTATTGAAATATTTTATTCTTTAGATAAGATAGTTTAATTGCTTTAGAATTATTGTTGGATTAATAAATAACACACAAAAATATTGTTAAAACTACAGATTTGGATTTTTAATTACTTTTGGTAGAAAAACAATAAAGAGATGATTGGAGAAAAATATTAGATCGCATTACAATTAAGTGGAGATAACTTTAAAAATTATGATAATTTTATTATTATATTTAAAGGTTTAATTTCAATCAATTTGATATTTCATCAAAATTTCTATTCTTATTTAATTCTGGATAACAGTAGAGCGCTTAATTCATCTTTAATTTTTAATTAGTTATGAGTCATTTCTTCTTAAATTTACAAATATGATTCATCTTTGATATGAGCAGGTAAACTTATTTGTGATAAATCTTTAATTTTTATTTATTCTATAGTTAAAGTATCAAGTCTTCCATGAATAAATAAACATTTGCATTAAATTTTTTGACTATTCTCCTCATTATATAAATTGTTTTCATTTTTAAAATACTACGCTTTGATTGGTAATAAATGATGTACCAATTTAAATAATGTTATATATCCACAAAATATTATTAAACCAGCACAATTCCTTTGAGCTCCAATATAAAAGGCAGGGCCAGTTCCAATTGATCTTCATATAAAAATTGTTGCCAAAAGCCTCCATTTAATTATCATTTACTTAAAACTTTTATTTTACATAATTATTAGCTATTAAAGCATCCTTCTAAATTTAATCAATTGTAGTAATTGNCCAACTTTGTAAAAACTTTACAATGATTAAAATTTAAGTTGGATGTAAAAATAACAATAAAAAATGTCAGGGGATCAATTAGTTAAGTAATTATTGTTTTTACAATAAATGAAATAAAATATAGCATTTCGACATTTTGTTAATTTAGAATTATATTAAAAATTAGAATAATTGAAATTGTTATTTAGAAGAGATTAATCATTTGAAGAATGCATAGTTATTTTATCAAGATTAGTTTTAGCATATAGCAATTTATTAGTTTAATTGGTAGAAGAAACTTGTGATTCAGGAGAAGATATTCTAATGAAGGGAACTAAGTGGAATATCTTAAACTCCATAAAAAGTGAATAAGAATACTATAAAATATTTTTCTCTAATTGCAAAGAATAGTTATTTAAAGAAATTCAATATGAAGTTGAATTATCTGATTCTGATAGAAATAAATTAGAAGATAATTTTACTACTAAAATTATTAAATTAATTGGCGATATTTTAGATGATCTTAAAAAGAAATTTTCTGAGGGAATATTGTATTGAAATATTTTATTCTTTAGATAAGATAGTTTAATTGCTTTAGAATTATTGTTGGATTAATAAATAACACACAAAAATATTGTTAAAACTACAGATTTGGATTTTTAATTACTTTTGGTAGAAAAACAATAAAGAGATGATTGGAGAAAAATATTAGATCGCATTACAATTAAGTGGAGATAACTTTAAAAATTATGATAATTTTATTATTATATTTAAAGGTTTAATTTCAATCAATTTGATATTTCATCAAAATTTCTATTCTTATTTAATTCTGGATAACAGTAGAGCGCTTAATTCATCTTTAATTTTTAATTAGTTATGAGTCATTTCTTCTTAAATTTACAAATATGATTCATCTTTGATATGAGCAGGTAAACTTATTTGTGATAAATCTTTAATTTTTATTTATTCTATAGTTAAAGTATCAAGTCTTCCATGAATAAATAAACATTTGCATTAAATTTTTTGACTATTCTCCTCATTATATAAATTGTTTTCATTTTTAAAATACTACGCTTTGATTGGTAATAAATGATGTACCAATTTAAATAATGTTATATATCCACAAAATATTATTAAACCAGCACAATTCCTTTGAGCTCCAATATAAAAGGCAGGGCCAGTTCCAATTGATCTTCATATAAAAATTGTTGCCAAAAGCCTCCATTTAATTATCATTTACTTAAAACTTTTATTTTACATAATTATTAGCTATTAAAGCATCCTTCTAAATTTAATCAATTGTAGTAATTGTATTATATACTCCATATCCTGGGTATTCAACTAAAATAAAGTGTGCTTGTAAATATTCTGCACAAATTGACATTGTATTGAATGAACTCTAGCTAAGAAAACTTTTTATTAATAATATACAGGTCTTCACCATTTCCAAGAAAATAAAGAATATAATTTTTTATTGTTTTATTTACATTTTATAAAAGATAAAATAGAACTTTATTTGATTATTCCATTTCAGCGTATTATATTTCTTAAATTTGAATAGGATGATATTGATTTGGTGAAGGAGTTGGAAAAATTATTAAAGCTATTAATCATTTCTTCTTGGCTTCTGTTACTTCACTCAGATTATTTAGATATTTGCTTTTAATTTAAGTATTTTAATAAAATGTTCAAATAATTTATAATATAATAAGGATAATCAAATTGAATATTGTGGAATAATTATTGATGTCACTATTTGAACATTTTTTATTACCTGGCCATTAAACATCATCAACATAAAAATTATTTTCAGGATTTGATTTAGAATTTAACCAATTATTTAATGCAACTTGAATTGTATTTCCTGATTCTCCTGGAACTTCCCAATTTTCAGAATCATAGTAATCATTTAATAAAAAACAGTGTTCTAAACAACTTGGTGCAAATGCACCAGTTTCAGGATGATCTTATTTTCTTTTAGTTAAGATTTCATAATTTTATTTGTATAAATTTTATGCAAAATTTAATTCTTCTTAAGAACAATTGTTTAATGAATAGTCCAATGCACAATCTACTTTAAATCTGTAAGTGAGACTATAATAATCATATAAAGATTGAACAATAAATAGAGGAGTTTCAATAAATTCAAGTAAATATTGAACATAGTAACATTTCCATTTTTCTTTTGAAAATTTATGAACACATTCTTTATTAGGATGAGTTACTTCTTCATTTACAAAATCAATTAATTATATAAGAGATTCTTTTTGATAATCTGTTCCATCAATAGCAACCAAATCTAATGGCATTCCTGAGTCTGGTACTCCATAAACAGTTACCTTTAAAGGTAATAATGCTTTTATATATTCAATCCAAAAATAAGCTGCATTTCCACCAGCAGAACAACCAGATATAACTACAATATTAGCCTACGACAGCTCCATATATAAATCTGATAAAAATGATTTAACGATTGCGTCACCTCTAAAATACAAGGATGTTCCCATAAAAGAAACTGGTTCTGATTTATAACCTTAGTGTACTAAAGTATAGAATGAATTTTACATGACCCATCACAATAGTTCAAGTGAATTAAGTTCCAATTATAATAATATGGATTCTTTTTCTAATTTCTTGAGAACATGCCTTCAAAATCTGCTTATTTACTGAGATTCTCTGAACTTCCTAGTTTTGTTTTGGATCTATATATAATTACTATATGAACCTCATATATGCTTAATAAATAAGTTCATTTTAAGTTATTCCAGTAATTCTTCTAAAATAATTAATAATATATAATTACGCTCCTCCTTAAAAATGTAGTATGTAATTCTTAGCTCCAGATTCATATCCTTAAGCTTTATAATATGACTAAAATAATCATATGAATAATACAGCTGGTGATCCATCCAAACAAAGAGCTTTTGAATCAGATGCATAATGCAAATCAAAAGTTTAGATACAAACGAGAAGAAAAAAACAGAAAAGCTTCATAAATATANGCTTCTGTTACTTCACTCAGATTATTTAGATATTTGCTTTTAATTTAAGTATTTTAATAAAATGTTCAAATAATTTATAATATAATAAGGATAATCAAATTGAATATTGTGGAATAATTATTGATGTCACTATTTGAACATTTTTTATTACCTGGCCATTAAACATCATCAACATAAAAATTATTTTCAGGATTTGATTTAGAATTTAACCAATTATTTAATGCAACTTGAATTGTATTTCCTGATTCTCCTGGAACTTCCCAATTTTCAGAATCATAGTAATCATTTAATAAAAAACAGTGTTCTAAACAACTTGGTGCAAATGCACCAGTTTCAGGATGATCTTATTTTCTTTTAGTTAAGATTTCATAATTTTATTTGTATAAATTTTATGCAAAATTTAATTCTTCTTAAGAACAATTGTTTAATGAATAGTCCAATGCACAATCTACTTTAAATCTGTAAGTGAGACTATAATAATCATATAAAGATTGAACAATAAATAGAGGAGTTTCAATAAATTCAAGTAAATATTGAACATAGTAACATTTCCATTTTTCTTTTGAAAATTTATGAACACATTCTTTATTAGGATGAGTTACTTCTTCATTTACAAAATCAATTAATTATATAAGAGATTCTTTTTGATAATCTGTTCCATCAATAGCAACCAAATCTAATGGCATTCCTGAGTCTGGTACTCCATAAACAGTTACCTTTAAAGGTAATAATGCTTTTATATATTCAATCCAAAAATAAGCTGCATTTCCACCAGCAGAACAACCAGATATAACTACAATATTAGCCTACGACAGCTCCATATATAAATCTGATAAAAATGATTTAACGATTGCGTCACCTCTAAAATACAAGGATGTTCCCATAAAAGAAACTGGTTCTGATTTATAACCTTAGTGTACTAAAGTATAGAATGAATTTTACATGACCCATCACAATAGTTCAAGTGAATTAAGTTCCAATTATAATAATATGGATTCTTTTTCTAATTTCTTGAGAACATGCCTTCAAAATCTGCTTATTTACTGAGATTCTCTGAACTTCCTAGTTTTGTTTTGGATCTATATATAATTACTATATGAACCTCATATATGCTTAATAAATAAGTTCATTTTAAGTTATTCCAGTAATTCTTCTAAAATAATTAATAATATATAATTACGCTCCTCCTTAAAAATGTAGTATGTAATTCTTAGCTCCAGATTCATATCCTTAAGCTTTATAATATGACTAAAATAATCATATGAATAATACAGCTGGTGATCCATCCAAACAAAGAGCTTTTGAATCAGATGCATAATGCAAATCAAAAGTTTAGATACAAACGAGAAGAAAAAAACAGAAAAGCTTCATAAATATATTTTTGTCTGTAAATAATTAAATTCTATATAGCCATTTAAAATAATGAAATAATATTATAGAAAGCAATTCTATGATTAGATTAAAAACTTACTTAATTAGATTAATTAAATAAAAAAAAAAGAAAAATATGAATCATTTTTCAGTCAGCTCTCTAAATCCTTTCCAAGTATTTGGAGCTTTAAAATTATATTCATTCATGACAGCTGTTAAAGTTGAAATTGGTCCATCATTAGATTTTAATAATTTTGCTTTTTCAAACCACATTTGAGCTTCTTTCCAATTTCCTAATAAATATCCCTAAAATCCTTAACTAAATTATGCCTTAATATAAAGATATATATGAATACTTAAAATTCCGAATTAAAATTTTTCATGATTAATATGAGATCTTTATTTCTATTTAAATGAATATCTGATTTGAATTCTCCTGCTTCAATTTAATTGATAAAAATTTATCTTTTTTAATCCATGACTTCTAGTTTTTCATGTTAATTATAGTCTTCTTTACTAGGAGGTATATGATCAGCATCGATGTCTATAGTGTATAGTCCAATAGGTCTAACACTTCCTTTAACAGTTACCATATCAATTTATCTTAAATATTTTTTAATATCTGGTGAGAATAGATTAAAGAGATCACTAGATATAAGAATAGAAACCCCATATTATTTGGTTGCAGCTTCTAATCTGGATGCCATATTGACATTGGGACTAAGATAGGAAGCATCAATTTTAAATTCTGAACCTATGGCTCCTTCTATACCCCAACCAATATGTAATCCAAAACCCATTTTAACTTTATACCCAGGGAGTCTTTAAGTAAGTCTTTTATCATTACGATAATCTAAAATTTTTGGTTCTCTATTAATTTTAGCATAGATTTTCATAAAAGAAAATAAGGAGCAATCAGCTTTGATATTAATTTATTCATAGTTTTTCCTAAAATGAAAATGAATATTTTTACCATTTAATTTTACCATTTTCTTCATACCATGAATGATCAGATATCTTCCATACTAATAAAAAGGCATCTCCTATATTTTTATTAGCAGATCCTTAATATCTATTAACCATTATATGTACAATTTCAGCTATACTATTTACAAATACCATAACATCTTTTTATAAAACTTCAGTTGCATCAGTAAAGTTTCTAATATCACAGAATCCATAAATAGCCCATTTCTTTTTACCTGGTAACATAGGATTTACATCTCCTGAAGATGCCATATTAGTTCCTATAATTGCTGATCCTGCATCACCAAATCCTAATGCCAATAATGCTCCTATCTTTATTATTGCATTTTCAATCTTTATTGTTTCTCTTTATTATGATTCTACTTCTAATTTCATTTCTTTTGCTTCTTAAGGATTCTTTGCTATAATATTTACTTTAGTAATCATTCTCTCTATTGGTGCCAAAGCTACATTTTTTGCATCTTTTGCAAATGCTAATGCACCAAATAATAATACACAACTCACAAATAATGTATTTATTATATTTATTATAGAATTTAATCTCTCTATCTATGAATTATCAGATACAAATAAAATAATCGAATCTCCTATGTATTCCAATCCTACTAATATTGGATCCACATTTTTAAAATAATAACTTTTTGCACTTTCTCTTAAATATTAATAATCCTCTCTTTCATAATCTTCTATTTCAATAAATGGATTTCTTATGAATCCTACTGGTGTATCAAATTAATTATGTTGGTCTATTACAAAATTCAAAGTTTCATTTATTTCTGATAATCTTGTATTTGCATTTTCAGCAACAACTTTAAAATATTATGCTGCATACTCTAAACTTTATGATTATTCAAAATAATAATCTGAACTAAATAAAGGCATTATAAGCAACAGCAATATTACTAACAAAGTTACTTTCTTTGTTGTAGAATCTGATAATCTTTAGCTTACTCTAGATTCTTTCTTTTATTTATATTCATTATCTTCTATTTCCTCTATCTTTCTTTCTACTTCCTCATTCTATTGTAACTATTAGATATAATGACTCTCAGGTAAAATTTGATTATAACTATGACGATGTTCATTACTATTTCCTTAATCATAATTATCAATCACACTTGTCCAATTATTCATTTAATCTTTCTATTACATGGGATGTTCTTTCATTGATGGAAAATGAGGAATCTCTCTCAATCCTTATTATAATGGTTCATTTCTATCTTCATTTTAAGGATAAATCTAACTTTAATTAGGATTCTTCATAAGGGTTATTGTATTCAACTTTGTTTTACTTCTTTTTAAACTTAATTCTCTTTAATAATTAACAGCTTTATATAATTTTACTATCCTTATTAATCTTACTAATCTCACTACTCTTATTGCTTTAGAACTTGTTTTTGATGCTTTATTTGCCTATTTTAAGTCTGATCCTTATTTTGCTGATACTGAACCTCTATTGCTTAATAAATTTATTACTCTAAACCTACTGCTATATTAAATAACGTTATATCTAAGATCTGTGAAATTGTAGATATTATATCAAGCCAAAAAAAAAATGAATTCAAGTACTCCTATCTTACTATCGATGTTATTACTATTTCAGTAGAAAATATTATCTATCAATTCATTATTTTTTATTTACTATGCAAAATATTGTTATCCCATCAAAAGCACTATCTGCTCTTTTATCAAAACATATTATTCTTATATCATCCCCATATAATGCATAAATTGTTAATAAATTTACTAACACTTAGCTTAACACATTCTCTAATAACCTTACCAACATCGGATATTTCTCTCTAATATTCATTCATAAATCACTACTTTTCTTCCTAATAATGAAAAACATCTAATTCTTCATCACTACATTGTTCTGATCCTTCTTATTAATCTTCTATATTATTATGACTTTATTAATTTTAATCTGTCATATAAATTTAATTATTTTTGCTAATCAAAACAAATTTTATATATTTATGTTTTCACATATTATTTTTTATCTTATTTAACATCCTTTCTCCCATTTTTATATTTACATCTTATTTCTTTACCAAAACTCTTAACAATTATATAAATTAATTTCAAATAAAATTATTGCATATTTTTAAAAACAAAATTAATACAATTAAATTCTCATCCTTATAAAAAATTAGCTTCAGTTTAACTCAAATTGTATTATTTCTTCTTAATAACTTAAATCAAATATCTATTTTAACATTTGATGTAGTTTTATTTTTATTTAGAGAAATTTAGAAACATAACAATATAAATTTATTATTAAAGTAATTAAATGGCAATATTAAAATGGCTAGATTAGCCTATAAAAAGATAAAAATTCAATTATATTTTTTATGTTTCGATTGTTTCTTGATTTATTCTTAATCTTTTTGAAGATCTTCTTTAATGTAGCGCAATCTTTTATAATATCTATTTTTTATCATGTTCATTGTTTTCCCAGGAAATGATTTCACTATCTTATTAAAATTTGGTCCCACCTATTGAACTAACTCTAAGATTCGTTTATCCTCTTAGAAAGTGAATCTAAAATGCATTATTTATACAGTTCATGAATTACCTTTAATCATTAATCCTCTTTTTAACAATTTATTACTTAAGTTAATCATCCTCATTAGGTTATTAATTTTAGATTAAGGAATTTACTAAATGTTCTATTGATTCATCATTTTATACAAATTAGGATTATCTAATAAAATAAAAATATTTTCTTAAACTTTTCTGATTGATCATTCTATTCATCATTCAAAGGCTATTTTATGTATATTTCATCATCCATTATTTTTATTTTTAATTTTATAAGATTCTACAATAATTGATCATTTTATAATTCAAATAATTTCTGATAATATATGCTGTATGAGTTTGATAAAAATTCATAATCAATATTATTAAAATTTTTAATTGGTATAAAAATTTAGAAATTAATATTAAATAATAAATAGCAAAAATTAGATGTCGATTCAAATTATTAATCTACGATTAATTCAATTCCAAATTTATAATTTTTGAAGCTAAAACCTTTAAACATATTTAGTAAACATTCCAATTTCTTAATTTTTTACTTCCTCGGCCCTTTACCTAGATGCTAAATTGATTTTATTATTATTCTTATAAAAAGAATTTCGAAATCCAATATGCCTCTCAAATTAACTCATATTCATAGGTGATTTATGAACAGTTTATTATCTCCTCCTTGTTTTTATTAATGGTTTTAATTATGCTTTTTATTAAGTTGGTGAAATTTGCTTTGTCTATTCAGGTTATTTATCAGAATCTAAATCTTCATCAGCCTCATTTATTGGAAATGGATTAGTTCCTTCCATTTCCCCATAAAGCAATGGTACTTTTTTGAAATGACACCCATAAATTTAATCAAGAGTGATTGTGTCTGAATCTATCATGAAGAAATTTCCAATAAATTCAATATTAAATATATAAAATTCTAATAGTTAAAGTAAATAAATTGAAACAAATAAATTAACAAAAATACAATCTATAAATCAAGTGCAACTTTAATTTTAAAATAAAGTTTCAAAGAAACCTAATTCTTTTTTTATAGAATAATTTAATCTTCTAGTAATCCTATTTTGAATAAGAGGTTACATTTATCTGAATACATAGAGAAAGCAATAGAGATTCATTATTTATTAATATTTGATCCTGAAAGCTTTGTTAATGAAGTATTAGTAAACAAATTTATATCAAGTCTTAAGTTGTTATACTCAGATTCAATTTCCATCAGTATTTACTTTTAACTTCAATTAATACTATATTATTCAAATTATTTGACATTTGCTTTTAATGCTACTCAACAACAATAAAAGCATTTTGCTCAATTTATTATTACAATTCATACAGCAAGTAAGCGTCAGATGGAATTAGAAAATTTTTATAATTGCTTAATTTGCATACTTAACTAANTTCATGAATTACCTTTAATCATTAATCCTCTTTTTAACAATTTATTACTTAAGTTAATCATCCTCATTAGGTTATTAATTTTAGATTAAGGAATTTACTAAATGTTCTATTGATTCATCATTTTATACAAATTAGGATTATCTAATAAAATAAAAATATTTTCTTAAACTTTTCTGATTGATCATTCTATTCATCATTCAAAGGCTATTTTATGTATATTTCATCATCCATTATTTTTATTTTTAATTTTATAAGATTCTACAATAATTGATCATTTTATAATTCAAATAATTTCTGATAATATATGCTGTATGAGTTTGATAAAAATTCATAATCAATATTATTAAAATTTTTAATTGGTATAAAAATTTAGAAATTAATATTAAATAATAAATAGCAAAAATTAGATGTCGATTCAAATTATTAATCTACGATTAATTCAATTCCAAATTTATAATTTTTGAAGCTAAAACCTTTAAACATATTTAGTAAACATTCCAATTTCTTAATTTTTTACTTCCTCGGCCCTTTACCTAGATGCTAAATTGATTTTATTATTATTCTTATAAAAAGAATTTCGAAATCCAATATGCCTCTCAAATTAACTCATATTCATAGGTGATTTATGAACAGTTTATTATCTCCTCCTTGTTTTTATTAATGGTTTTAATTATGCTTTTTATTAAGTTGGTGAAATTTGCTTTGTCTATTCAGGTTATTTATCAGAATCTAAATCTTCATCAGCCTCATTTATTGGAAATGGATTAGTTCCTTCCATTTCCCCATAAAGCAATGGTACTTTTTTGAAATGACACCCATAAATTTAATCAAGAGTGATTGTGTCTGAATCTATCATGAAGAAATTTCCAATAAATTCAATATTAAATATATAAAATTCTAATAGTTAAAGTAAATAAATTGAAACAAATAAATTAACAAAAATACAATCTATAAATCAAGTGCAACTTTAATTTTAAAATAAAGTTTCAAAGAAACCTAATTCTTTTTTTATAGAATAATTTAATCTTCTAGTAATCCTATTTTGAATAAGAGGTTACATTTATCTGAATACATAGAGAAAGCAATAGAGATTCATTATTTATTAATATTTGATCCTGAAAGCTTTGTTAATGAAGTATTAGTAAACAAATTTATATCAAGTCTTAAGTTGTTATACTCAGATTCAATTTCCATCAGTATTTACTTTTAACTTCAATTAATACTATATTATTCAAATTATTTGACATTTGCTTTTAATGCTACTCAACAACAATAAAAGCATTTTGCTCAATTTATTATTACAATTCATACAGCAAGTAAGCGTCAGATGGAATTAGAAAATTTTTATAATTGCTTAATTTGCATACTTAACTATCATACGATAATGATTTCAGCTGACTATCCAGAGTTATAGATTTTTTATATTTCCTCATCTCTTTCAAATAATAGAATTTCTGTGTTTAAATCTCTATGAATACTTTATTTTTATGAAGGTAATCTATACCCGAACAAGTTTATAAAAAATAAACAAATGCATTTGAAATCTTGCTTTCGTTAAATAAGGAAACAAGGATCCCTTCTATAATATTAAAATTGCTTTGAAATCTGCATATTTTAAAATCAAACATATCTCATCTTCAAAAAATTCAAATTAAACAATAGCATGAGAATGTTTCTAAAGTCTTATTAAATTCTTCTATTTAAACTCCCTTTTTTTTTTAATCCATTTTAATTTAAAAGTTAAAATCTTCATTGATTTATTTATCTCGAGCTAACTTTATGTAGATTGACAATTAAATTTATAAAATGTAGCCCTCTTACTTAGAATTTAATGAATTAAAAATAAAAACTTCTGCATAAGTTATTTTTAATAGAGAAGGCATGTTAAATATCCTTTATCCTAAAATAACTTGCATTTAGAAATCGTTTTAAATTATATAATTAATTTTATAAATAAGAATATTTTTTATGAGTAAGCAGAAGAAGGTTTTTTTTATTTAAATTGATTATTCAATATTAGAAGTATTAGAAGAAATTAATCAATGTTAATCCTAACATTTGCAAGTTAATAAGATTGATTATATAAATTTGAAAAATACATTTTTCTTTGTGTTATAATAATAATATAAAATAATGGCTCTAATTGTAAATGATACTAAAAGTTTCACAAATTTTACAGAAATAACCTCAATTGAATAATAGTATAGAATTCTTGAAAATAGTATTTAAATAAAATATATGCCTAGATATTTTGTATTAAGGATAATCGTAAGACAATCAAGCTTTTAATGGGTTTGGAAAAGCTATATTTCCTAATGGTATAATTTTCTCATTTAAAATTAGGGGATATATATGAAGGATATTGGAACAATAACTAAATGGATGGTTATGGAAAATACACAACAAATGATGGATAAATATACGAAGGTTATTGGGAAAAAAATTAATTTATGTTAACAGGAATGGAGATAGATCTGCCAAAATTTGATTAATCAAGAATGAAATAGTAAATTGAAAAAGAAATATATAGTAAATATAAAGAAACAGAAATAACAATTTTAGATGATGGTAAGATTTAAATAGAAAGTAGGTTCTTCATATAGAGGAAATTTAGAAGATGATTAGTAAGATGGTTGGGGAGTTTAAATATATTAAAATGGTAAGAATTTGTAAGAAACTATAAGGTTAGATGTATGAAGGATAATGGAAGAAAGGAAAATATGAAGGTTATGGTATAAAATATTTTGTAAATGGTGATGCATATATTGGACATTGGAAGAATGATGAGGCAACTGGTTATGGAGAGTATAAATATGTAGAGGGAGCATTTTATAGAGGTTATTGGTTAAATAGTTTTAAACATTATTTTGGAATAGAATAATGGAATGAGACAGCAAAGTATATGGGTGAATTTTAAAAAGGATTTAAACATGGAAAAGGAATATTAATATTTAATGATAATTCATCATATTAAGGAGAATTTGTAAATGATGAAATTTAAGGTTATGGTGAATATCGTTGGATTGATGGACGAACTTATGTTGGAGGATGGTAGAAAAATAAAATGTAAGGAAATGGAAAAACTATTTGGCCTGATGGTAGAATTTATGAAGGATCATATGATTAAGATTTAAAATAAGGTTTTGGTTTGTTTTGTTGGCAAGATGGTAAGAAATATATTGGAAATTGGATGTAAGGAAAATAACATGGAATAGGAATTATGTATGCAATAAATGGAGATTATAAATTTGGAGAATGGTTTGAAGGAAAAAGAAAAAGATGGTTGGATTAAGTATAAGATTCTGAAATAATAGAAGCATTTAAATGTGATCATTAATTGTAATTTTTAATTATTATTTATAGTGAAAACATTAAATAATGTGCAACAGATAAAACTGATGAATCTCCATTAAAAGTATCTGAAAGTATATGGTCAATGCCAAGAATTAGTGATAAATAATTAATAAGTAGATTTAGTTTAACTTTGGCCTAAAAAGATGGTTAATTTTATGTTGGAGAAACAATTAGAGAAGAAAGATCTGGAAAAGGAAAACTATTTTCTTTAGATGGTTCTATTTATGATGGATATTGGTTAAATGATAAAAGACATGGTTATGGTAAATAAGTATATTCAAATGGTGATATTTATGAAGGTCATTGGATTTGTGATAAATAAAATGGAATTGGAAAAATGACTTATTCTGATGGTAGTATTTTAGAAGGATTTTGGTGTGGTACTATTTTAGATGGTTATGGTAAATAAATATGGCCAAATGGTTAATATTATGAAGGATATTTTAAAAATTGTTTAAGACATGGAGAAGGCAAATTATTATTTTAAAATGGTTCTTATTATGAAGGATAATTTGAATCAAATGAAATTATTGGTAAAGGAACTTTTACATGGAAAGATGGCTCTTAATATAAAGGATTTATGAAAAATGGTTAAAAGCATGGATAAGGTACGTATATTAATAGTGATGGAGATTAACATTTTGGATTGTAATATTATTTTATATTCATAGATTTTATAAAGACAATTTTCATGGTGATGGTACTTATGAATATAGTGATGGTAAAATTTATATTGGATCTTGGTTTCATGGAGTAAGACATGGAAAAGGAATACTCAAATTTCCAAATGGTCAAAAATAAGAGTTATCATACATCTTTGGTGAATTAAAAAATTGATTTATATCTTTCTCTCATTTAAAGAATTTTTTAAGGCTTACTCAAAAGTAATATTTTTTCTCTAAATTTCTATACTCGATTTTTCATTTTTTTTTCTGAATTCTTAAAAAAATTTTCTTATATAATAAAAATTAAATCGTTATTTATTCTAAAAAAAAATATTTTATATTAAATCCACCCAAATTTTATTTAAATATTTCTATGGATGTTCTTTTTCTTACAAAAATAATTTAAAAATTGGGATTAACATCATATCAAAATACATGGATTCAGGAATATAAAATTTCTGCTATCCATTAATATATTAGTTCTTAATATAGTATTTCTTTGGAATAAAGGAAGTACTTTTGTTATATTATGAAAATATTATTGTCTTCTAATGATGAAAATATAAAAATAGCATATCATAAAATTTTCTCTTGGTCAAGATTAACACATTTTCCTCCAATTTTACTAATAATTCGATGTACAGAAATCTGATTTATTCTGGGCTGAAATCTACATTTTTTGGTCGACATTATTTCTTTTTTCTCTAAAATATATTTTTTTCTAAAAGCAACTATTATTGTTTTGGCTACTGCATACTTTATATCAAGATTTTAAGATGCCTAAAAATAAACAAACTATTTACTTCCTTTATCTTCAAACCCTAGCTAAAAACTAAGGATATTAAAGCTTCTCTCTTACACTTTTCAACCTTCTTATAGTCTCTTTTCTAATTTGACATTAATTTCGATATTTAATATAATATTTAAACTTTTATAAATCTTCATTTTTTATCCTGTATGAAATGAGATGTTATACATTTTGAAAAGTTCATCAATTTATCTCAAAATATAGTATTTATTTAGCCATTATCATATGCTTGGCAATATTTTTATATTTGAAATTTTCTACATCAATAATAGTTAATTTTTAATCAAATAATTATAATGTATTTTATATTTTAGATAATCATGAAGTAAAAATGAAGGTAATTACTAAATTCAGTACATAAAATGAATTCAAATGGAAATAAATTCAAAGACTAATCAAATTTTAGAATTTTTATTCAATTTAAAATATATCATTATCTAAATTTTATTATCTTTTATAATGTTATGTAAATACAAAAAATTTTGAATTCATATAATTATAATTTAACATAATTTCATTCAAAATAAGTTTTAGATTGATATTTTTAGTGTAAAAAATTATAATTCACAAACCTTAGATTTTTCAAAATGCTACTACATCAACAATTTATACAGTGTTAGAATTTGATTCAATAACTTTAACAACTGATTCAACTGGCTAATAATTTTATGTATAAATACTTTTCTACAAATTAAACATTCTTATTTCTCTGTAAACCATTCAGTTGCACATTTTATACATAATCCCCCATGACCACATGGCATATAAACAGCACAACTATCATTTTAACAACAATTAAAACAATTTTAATCTTTTTCAGCTTTATATTCAGTTAAGGAATTTTGATTGCTCAATTTAGGTTAATCTATATCCGTCTTATTTCTCTTTACTTATTTAATCTAATTTAATTATGGTATTTATTTTTAAGATTATTAATATTCTCCAAGTTCATATGGTTGAAAATAAGTTTGTGACAATTTTATCTTAGATAATAGATTATTATACTAAAAACTAAGGTAATTTTATAAAAATCTCATTTTTATCTTTGATAAAACGATTTCTCCTTTTAGAACTTGGAGAACTAAATTAAAATCTTTATTCACTAACTATAATTTCATTTTAATTATCTTCTTCTGTCTTAGTTTAAAAGGAAATTAAAAATTTACTAATTTTAAAATTTTAAAATACTTTAAGGTTCTTCTAAAATAGCAAGTGTATATTGTAAATAATAAACTGTAAAAAATACATAATGTAATAGGCATTGAATTAAAAGGATTTCTTCCTGTACTTAAAAAAATAGAATAACTCACGATAGTAAATGTTAAAAGACCAGAAAAAGAAAGAATAAAAAGATTCATCCAAAGTGAACCAATAACTACTAAAATATTGAACTTAGCTACTTTAATAAGTTAATGTTTATTTGTTCAATAGATCATTTTCTTATAAAATGGAAATCAATTTCACAATGAAATCAAATATAAAGATTATTTAGAGAATTATTGCAAATGTTAGAAAAGCCCAAAAAATAACAAACACATATATCCAATCCCATTTAAGCCAATTAATTTATCTAAAATTTATTAGCATTAATTGGCCTATAATAAGTAATTTAAAAAAAACCGTAAACTACAATACAACTGTAAATTTACAAGTGAAGCAATATTTTTTTCATTTTTATTTTAACGATAAGCCTGTGCTATAAAAATAAACCAGGACAAAGTAAAAACAAAGTAAATTATCATAGGATATTGGATGGGAAAATTTGAGTTTTCTAAGAAGAATAAAAAACAGCTCTAAGGAAGTATAAATATCAAATTACATAATAAGATATGGATAAGATTCCCCAAAATATTTCAAGACAACAATTATGATCATTCAAGATATTACTTATATAAATAAACTATAATACTTATAATTATGAATTGCTAATCGTACTACTTAGAGAAAATGTAAAATAGTAATATATAATAGGGATAGCTTAGAACTTGAATCAAACACTACATAAGAATTAAATAGTATTAACAATATTTAATAAACTGCTGCCAAAATTTTCATCTAAAGTCTATATAATATAAATTACATTGTTAAATATTGATGAGGATAATTTATTCTCAGTGATTCTTTATTCTTAAAGTTAAGGTTGTTCTTCAAAATCAAAATTACTCTCTCTTGGTGATTATGCTTAAGAAAATTATAATTAATTCATTAAATATCGGTAGGATTTTGTTAAGTATTTCTTATGTCTTTTCAAATTATCTCTATAATCTATTATACTCCTTTTATTATGATAAAAAGTTCATCTGATTTAGAATAATGGTAATATTTATGATAAATATATTCATTTACTATTGTGATACAAATTGGACTGATTTTAATGTATTTGATTTCTATTAATATAAATATAATGGCAAAGTTGTTAGAAATTACAAAAGTTATAGAAAATTTAAGATTTATTATATATAATAGAAATATGGAAAGTAATCATATATGGATGGTGTTTGTTAAAATTGGAGCAAATTCTAGCCAATGGAAATCTTCTAAAAAGGGAGAAAAATAGGCTTTTTTAGACTTATAACTATTTTCTATTTTCTTTCTTTTTGTTTCTATTAAGAAGAAATTACTAACACGAAAATTCTGATGACTATCTAAACTCATATATAATAGTAAATATTAAGATTAAAGACATTGGTAAAGTAAATACTTAAAAAAAGTATATTCAATTAATTTTCGAAGTCTTTTGTTGAAGCGTATCTCTTTATTCTCTGAAATTATAAAATATTGGAAAAAGGATCATTCTTAAATTTCTTATGATTATTTAGTTGATTACAAAAAAAAATTAAATTTTATGTTATTAGAATGGATCATTTAAATGAATTGATTTAATAGGGAAAAACAGAGAATTAGAATAAGAATAAAAAGAAAACCATCAAAGATAATATGAATAAATCTAAATCAATTTATGAAGAGTTTAAATTTAAATGAATGCTTTTTACAGCAATTTTTTTAATGAATTTAAAATTTTGAATCAAATTGAGACCAAGAATCTTTTCCAGAATAATAGAAATAAAAAGCCAAGAATTTAATTTAATTTTAGTTGAATCAAATCAAGATTAAGTTAAGATAAATAAATTAAGCCTAGGATCAAAATATATTTGAAACAAAAGAGAGTTTATGTCACAATCAAAATATTAAAAAATTTGAAGACTATACAATTAGATATAATAAAATAGAGATGCGGAATTTTTTGACAGAAAAAAAATAAAATAATTAAAATTCTATTAGAAAATAGTATCTATTTAATTTTAAAATTACTGCTCAGAAATATCCTCTTATAAGAGAATTGGAAAAATTATTTTGATATTTTATTTTGATATTGAATTAATTTTACTACTCTTATTTCACACTGAAATAAATTATGTATTAAAAAGCAAAATTATAATCAAATTTAATTTATTTATATGGAAATTTAATAACCCCTTTCTTGGAGAACATATAATGAAATAGGATGAAATAATTTCTTATGCTTTCAGANATATATGGATGGTGTTTGTTAAAATTGGAGCAAATTCTAGCCAATGGAAATCTTCTAAAAAGGGAGAAAAATAGGCTTTTTTAGACTTATAACTATTTTCTATTTTCTTTCTTTTTGTTTCTATTAAGAAGAAATTACTAACACGAAAATTCTGATGACTATCTAAACTCATATATAATAGTAAATATTAAGATTAAAGACATTGGTAAAGTAAATACTTAAAAAAAGTATATTCAATTAATTTTCGAAGTCTTTTGTTGAAGCGTATCTCTTTATTCTCTGAAATTATAAAATATTGGAAAAAGGATCATTCTTAAATTTCTTATGATTATTTAGTTGATTACAAAAAAAAATTAAATTTTATGTTATTAGAATGGATCATTTAAATGAATTGATTTAATAGGGAAAAACAGAGAATTAGAATAAGAATAAAAAGAAAACCATCAAAGATAATATGAATAAATCTAAATCAATTTATGAAGAGTTTAAATTTAAATGAATGCTTTTTACAGCAATTTTTTTAATGAATTTAAAATTTTGAATCAAATTGAGACCAAGAATCTTTTCCAGAATAATAGAAATAAAAAGCCAAGAATTTAATTTAATTTTAGTTGAATCAAATCAAGATTAAGTTAAGATAAATAAATTAAGCCTAGGATCAAAATATATTTGAAACAAAAGAGAGTTTATGTCACAATCAAAATATTAAAAAATTTGAAGACTATACAATTAGATATAATAAAATAGAGATGCGGAATTTTTTGACAGAAAAAAAATAAAATAATTAAAATTCTATTAGAAAATAGTATCTATTTAATTTTAAAATTACTGCTCAGAAATATCCTCTTATAAGAGAATTGGAAAAATTATTTTGATATTTTATTTTGATATTGAATTAATTTTACTACTCTTATTTCACACTGAAATAAATTATGTATTAAAAAGCAAAATTATAATCAAATTTAATTTATTTATATGGAAATTTAATAACCCCTTTCTTGGAGAACATATAATGAAATAGGATGAAATAATTTCTTATGCTTTCAGAATTGTTGGTTGTGTTTTTGTAGGATTACATAGAAGCTAAAAGAATGGATATGATTTGAAAACAAAAGTTTACAATTTCTCTAAAAATTTAAGTTTAAAATTAAACATTTAGAATTTTTGGTATAAAGCAAATACTAGAAAAATAAATATCTGAACGATATGTATAAATATTCAAATTTAAAAATAATGATATAATAGTTTTAAACATAAATTTAAGTAATAAAATATTGGTTGAAAAAATAATTAACAAATGAAAAAATTTGTAATTGATAATTTATCATATGTTAGCCTTAGGTAATTCTTCAATAATTGGTTTAACTGATTTTGATTTTCAAACCCTAATATAATAATTATATTCAGTGCTTTATTTAATATTATTTATTAAATTGAAATAATAAATCAAGTTGAGATGCAATCTTGCATGAATATAATGAAAAAAAAATAATTATAAATCAATTTTAGTTTTATTTAGAGAAAATTATAGAAATTTCAAGCATAATCATTTTACAAATTTAGAAACTCTATCATGAATAAATAAAGTTGTTGATTTAAGGAGGACATAAACCTAAATCTGTATGGAAAATACACAGAAATTTTTAGTATTGATCTAAATTCATATAAGATCTATTTAGATTTTATTTCATTTAGAAATAAAATTTATAAATTAGATAAATAAACTAAATCATGGCAGAGTTAAGACCTTATTTTATTCCTTCTTGTATGGCATATTAACTACTTAGCTGCTTCATCCAAGTCAAATACTAAACGATAGAACATTACTTAATAGTAATCTAATTATGAAGCTCTTCTTTCTCATTTTAGCTAAAGTAAAAATAATTCCAATAAAATAACTAAAACTTCAACATCAGTAATTTAGTATGACAAATTTTATGTCCAATAATTATAATAATAAATAATAGACTTAAAAGAGTAGGTTAACTTTTTACTCGAAGAAAACTAAAAATTATAGTAACGACAAGACAAATCATTAAAAGTAATAAAAACTATTAATTTTAGAGGATAAAAGAGCAATATTAATAATTAACAAAATTTAGTGATGTTATACAACAAGTTTAGTAATTAAAAATAGAAAATCTAGCTTTAAGATAAAATGTGCAATCTTTGAAGCTCGATTTCAGTATTCAAATGAATCCTTTAAAATAATTATATCAGCATATTGTTCAAATACCTAAGTAATAAATCTATGAAATTATGTAAATGAGATTGCAATAACAAGAATGTAAAATTATTTTTAATTAAAGCTTCATTATCTTAAGAAAAAAATAAGGTTGAAATTCTTAATTTAGAAAGAACGTAACTTTTAGAATTATGTTCAAAGTAAGAAGAAGAACTAATTTCTTAATTGCAAAAAAAAAATTCACTTTGAGATAATAATTTAGTGAATATTATTTATATCCTTTTTATTTCATCACGTAATATTTAATAATTTAAGTAATGAAAATCAATTCATATAATAGCAATTTTTACCTGTTTTTAAAAATTTCACTATATTTATATATTTTAATTTTTCATCATTACTTAGGAAAATTTTATAGATTAACTTTTCCAAGACCTTCTCCTTTGAATTTTAAAAGTTTTATTAATAAAATTAAATCTATGGATGTGTAAACATGGTAATTAAAAAAAAATAAGTTTAATTATAATTGTATCAAAAAGTGACTTAAAAATGCATATTCAAAAAAATAGTAATTAACTTCTTTTTTTAATGGTAATGCTCAAGAAATAAAAATTCAAATTTTCTTGAAAAAGTCTTCTGATATTAGCAAATGAAACTATAAATAAAAATATTTTTTTATTGAATAACCAGAATATGAAACTTATGAAAATAAAAGGATATAAATAGTATCATTTTTTAAGAAGATGAATTACAATTATATGAATATATAAAAAGATCTAAAAAACCTACAAAATAATATAATTAATATTTTTGAAAAGTGAAAAAGTTCCCACTTCTAAATGGCTCCATCATAATCATCTGATTCTAAGTCTATTTCTTCAAAATGAGAAAGAAACGGAAAGCTTATTTGCTCAAAGCATTAATTAACTATGATTATGTTAAGTTATCTTAAACCCATGTTTTAACACTTTTATCATCAACTGCTGCCAATAATTAACCTTTCAAACTATCCAGTTAATCAAATTAATTTCATTCTAATAATCACTTTCAACCTTTTGGAGAATCATCTATATTATACTTCTTATAAAGCTAGATTGTTAAATACTGGCATTTATTAAAATTATTGAAAAAATATTACAATTCAATTTTTAATAATTTTAAGAAGAAGGCTTAAATTTTTAAATGAATTATCTGAGGGATAAAACTAATATTTAATTTATTTGTTTATTTAAATTAATCAACTAATAGAATTATTAAACAAATAGATATTCTTAATTTAATAGGTAAGATGGTCATTCTGATGATCTGTATCATAAAATCAGATTATAATTAATTATTGAAATAAAAGGAAGTTTTCCTTCAATCGTTTTAATTTGTATGTTAAATACTAAAGATCTTTTAAATGATTTTATTTTCTAAAACATTAATAATTTTTTAAAATATTAAAAATTACATCTTTATGCTATTAAATTATTTTACCATTTAGAATGAAACTTATTCCAATTTCACTTTATGGTAATCAATAATGACATTCATTTCTATGTATTAATGCATTGACATTATTATGACAATTTCAAATGCTTTAAATAATGAAATTGAAGGGTAGAATATGGTGTATATTTACCGAATACTTGTAAGCAATATAAATCATTAAATTTTAGATTTAAGTCTTTTTAATAATAGCTTTTCACGTCGTCATGAGTAAATTATCAAAAGAGAAAACTTTGTATATTAATATTATTACATTACTGAAATTTGTCTTAATGATGATTATGTGGACTGAAACAGATTTTGATTTAATTTAAGAGAATCAAATTGATTATAGAAGTTATAGTCTAGAAGTTTACGGTCTTATGATCTTTTTTGTAATTGCAATAGAATCTTAAATTTTTAAAACTATTGCCATTTTATTTTCTTTATTTTATACAATAATAAGGTAATTTTGATAAAATAAGATAGGTAACCTAAATTCTAAAATTATATCGAAATTATTGCTTCAACCAAAATTATTTTAATTCATATTTTCCTTTAATTATTTTAGATATATCACTAATATATGATACCAAAAACAAACACAGAATTTTAATCAAAAAATTAATCTCCATTGTTTTCATAAAGAGTAGTTTAATTAATCAGTTAAAGAGATTAAACAGAGCCTTTAAATAAAAAAAACAATATTTAAGAAGCAGTTTCAGAAGAGTTAGATAATTAGAAAACAATACTTCAAAAGGAAGATTTATTCGATGTATTAGTAACAGGATTTTAATGCGGTATTTATATACTAGAGAATGTAAAATAACCTGTCTATATTATTAATTCTTTTATGTCCCATATTGTCTTAATTGATGAAAATCTAAATAGCGATTTAATTTAATTAGAATTATTTGATTTTGGGATTATGTAAGAAAACTAATCTTTAACAATTTTACCTAATTTTCATAGAAGCAAAGACATTAATCAATTTATTGCATTTACATAAACATTTGAGTATGATAATTTTTATATTATTGGACATAGAATATTTGTTTTTAAAATATAGAGTAGAACGAAAAAAAAGAAATTTAGTTATTTTGCAGGAAGATGCAAATGAAAACATTGATTGAACATTTGATTGCTTTTTCTCATATTAAATTTACAATGGTTAAATAGAGTTTAGATTTCTCATTAAAAATTTACTTAAAAAAAGGTATTGTTTTAGTGATAATCTAGATAAATTATTTACATAAGTAATTCTCAATCCTATTATAATTTCCGATAAACCATAAGTTGTAATATATATATAAGATCTTACAGAAGAACCCTTTATTCTATAATTACAACAATATATTAAAAATGGTGATGAATTAATTCAAACAATATCTTAGAAAATTAAAGAACCTTTGAATTGCACTTTATCGATGTTAGAATTAGTTTAAGTATGATATATAATAATTAACCTAAAAAGAAAGAAGTAAATAAAGAATTGTAAACGAAATATATAGACCCTGCTTTAGCTGGTTGCAAATTATTAATTAGCACAGTCAGTGATATTTAAGATTATGTTACTTTACATAAAAATAATAAGTTAGAAAAAAGTTTAATGGATATACACACAAAGGAATTTATTTCGGATTGTTTGAATATCATAAAATCTTAAGCTTTATTTCGAGGTTTGAGTATATAAGTGAACATTAAATAAAATGTGCCAATATTCATAAGAACAGATCCTAATCGTTTTAGATAAATAATACTAAACTTACTTGGTAGTTATTTAATTTAATTTTACAGTTAAGTCAATTTAATTAACTATTAATGGATTTATAGAAATCGGATGCCAAAAGTCACCCTTACTAGCTGATCATATCGAAATTCTCATTAAAGTTATGGCTTAAAATGTTAACGAAGGAATTTTAGAATCTATTGAATTAACTTTAAAACATCTTAAATAATAAACTTTACTTAATCCATAAGTTATTGATTTGGTTGCAACATCAAAATAATTCTGTTTTTCTATCATTACTGCATTTTACATATCATTAGCTATAGGAATTATGCATTTTGAATTTAATACTATAAAAACAGATGATGGAACACAGTTTTATTTTGTATTACTAATAAAAAATGAAAATCCAAATTTTAATTAGTAATTAACATAAAAAAGACAATCAGCTTTAATTGCAAATAAATAACAATTTCAATAAATATTTGGATAAAATAATTTATATCGAAGACACTAATCATAAAGACTTACAGAAATAAGTAGATTATAAATTTAATAAAAATTGGAGAAAATAAAAAGAGAATCTTAAATTGAGACCACATTGGAAATGAGAGAATCTAATTTACCTTAATTTGGTCAATAAGATAACTCTGAATTATAATAGCCTAAGAAATAGTACTCTGTTTCATAAATTTCAGAATAAGATGACTCTAAAAGTTCTTCTCATGATTCTAAAAATGAGTTTAATGATCATGAATAATTTTTTGAGGCAAAAATTATTTCTAGTAAATCAAGTCTTTATCTTAATGATAAGATTGAGATAATAGAAAAGTAATAATAAACTTCATAATATTTTGAAACTATTTTATAAGATAGAGAACCTAAACCCAGAAAGATATCAGTAAGTATGATTTAGACGAGATTAAATTAATAAATTTAATAATAATTATCATCTAATTAGAGAGACTCTCTATTAACTTTTGGAGGAAGATCTTCAGTTTATTCATCAATGAGAGTTTCTTCTGTAAATTTAGGTCCTAATGAATTATTAGATTGTTTTGAAAAAATGGAAAAAATTAAAAATTAGTAATTTATTTATAATTGCTAAGTAAATATAATTATTTAATTTTTTAAGTGTCCAAAAATATTGATTTGTGAGCAAAATGATTTTGATTTATATGCAATATCTCATTAATTGAGCAATTTGAAAATACCATACATATATACAATGTAAAGAATTCACATAGTTGATTTATTAAGAAAGTAATTTAGTTAGTTTAAAACTTGTTGTAAAGGTTATCATATAGTTTTTATTGGAGTTGAATATGTCAATGAATAATTAATAGCTGATTGTTAGAAAATTAAGAGTGTTCTTGAAGAATTTTAAAAGGACACTAATCTAATTGGATTAATAGGATTTTAGGGAGAAGATTTTAAAACAACCATTAAAAAGTTGCCTTTCCATGACTGCTTATCAAAACCAATTATGATTGATGCTTTACTATTTATTATGGCCAAATGGGTTAGATTATGATGTTTTATCTATTTTGATTAATGATAAAAGATATTTTCAATATTTAATGATAAATTCATAAAGATTTAAAAAGTAAAGAGAAACTAATAATTTCCTTTTTGATTTTCTTCAAATCTCTAAAATTTTGTTTTTAATTTTATTTTATTAACATATAGATATAAAAATACAAAATTATGAAAGCTGCAATTGAAAAAGTTAGAGGGAATTTGTCAACTCATAGAATGACAATAAAAGAAATCGTTTAAGAGGTTCTTAAAAAGTCTGATACAGATTTTGATGATGATGAAGATCTTAAAGTAATTTATTGAAGTTATTTAATATTAATAGAACATAGTGACTTTACTTTAAAAAGATCCAAGTTAAAGAACATAATTAGATGTAGATAAAATAAGATTGTCATTCTTTAGATTTAAGTTTTTCTAAGAATTGGAATAGTCAATGGGAGCTGAATTAGTGTAAGGATTATATAAATAATTGGGTTATGAATTGTAAAGAAAAAGACAGATAATATTTAATATAGGTGACTTAGGAAAAAAGTTTTATATTATTCTCAAAGGCAGTGTTTGGGTTCTAGTTTAGAAAAAAGGTTTATAAGAAGGTTCAGGTCCTACAGAAGAAGATTAGAAATAAGAAGAACAATTAAAAAATGAGAAAAATAAGGAGATGATGGAAAATATGAAAAAAAGCACAAAAAGAAAAAAAACAAAAGTAAAGTCTTAAGCATTTGTAACTTAAATAACATTAGATGATATTTTTGCTACAATGACGGATTAAGAATATCTAGATAGTCAATTTCCAACATTAACAAAAGTAGGAATAATTAATGCAGGTGAGAGTTTTGGTGAAATAGCATTAACAAAGTAAGTTCCAAGGACAGCTACAATAGTAGCAGCAGAAGATACATATTTTGCTACTGTTACAAGAGATTAATTTAATAAATTATTATCTGTATATTATGAGGCATAATAAAAACTGAATGTTGGATTTTTAAGCAAAGTTGCCATATTTTCAGATTGGAATGAATAGATGCTAAATCAATTATATTATCATTTTAAATTAGAAGAAAGAAAATTATTCTAAGTAATATACAAAGAAGATGAAGATGCAAAGTATAATATAATTTATACAATTTAGTAATATTTATTTACTCAAATAAGGAGAAATAGAATTATCACGAGCTGTTGATATTACATAATAATCAATAATGCCAAATCTAACTATTTAAAAATTCTTGATAAAATCAGAAAGAAAATTAGAAAGAGTTCGAACATCAGTAATAACTCCAGGATAGATTTTTGGACATGAAGAAGTATTTATAATTTAAATTTTTAGGTTTTAAGTGGTACTAAAAGACAATATAGAGCCATGAGTATAAGTTAGAAAGTTGTTTATTTTGTATTAGATAAATAAAGATTTTTACAATACTTTTAGAGGGGATAAGCAATTTAGAAACTCTAAAAATTTGATGCTAAAAAATTAAATTAAAGAACATAATCTTTAGATATAATTAAAGAGCTTAAAAAAATACCTTTATTTATTGAACATAGAGATATTCCTTTTATAGATGCAGATAAGAATAAATCTAAATCTAAACATTCAGTTGAAAGAATAGGAAATCCAGTAGAACAAACAGGATATGAAATGTTATAAGGACATGGACATATCAATAAAGCTCATTATAATTTTAGGAGGAATATCGATATTATTAAATAAAATATTCAAAATAGTGAACCATTGTCATTAGACAAAGCTCTATTCCATATTGAAGCTAGCAAAGGTACTTAAATTAGCATTATTAATAAAGTAAGAATTATTTATAAGTAGGTTTTCCCTGCAGCTGCAAGACCTAAATATTCTATACCAGAATGCTCTATTTCATCATAAACTATCATTAAATCTTTAAAGCTACCAAAAATCTTAACAGAAGTGGATTCTGTCATGCTTAATAGGACAAATTAGGAATATTTGAATAGTTTTAAAGCTTCTTCCATTTATTCAGTAGGATTGCTTAATGAATCATAAAAGACATTAAATTGATATGCGCTCTTCTTATTTATAGAGCCAATTTTTTGTTATCATTTATAAATATTCTATGAACGCTTAATATATAATTATCTTAAACAATTATTATCAGGTAAAAGCTATCGTTCTCTTTAATAAATTAATTTAAATTATAATATAAAAAATGGACTAAATTTTTTAAAAAGGAGGATATAGAAGAACAATTACTTATAAAATCTTCAAATGATACATGATTATTAATCCCCTGTATAGATTTTAAGTTTAGAGTAAGTAAGATGATGATCCACAAAAAAAGATAAATCAAGATATTTGATGTTAATACTTTCGAATTCATATTTATGAAGAAAACTTACAAGCTCTTAGAAATTACAAAAGGAATAACAGATTAAAATTTAATAGTATTGATGCAATAAATTCAAATTCATGATTCTTAAATCTAATTCTCAGGATGTAATAAATAAAGAAATTTAATGAATCATCTAAACAACAACTTATTTCTTAAGACCTATAATCAGTAAAGATTAATTTAAATTGCAATTATTTTTTAATGAATACTTTAAAACAAGATCATCATAAAAACAGTAATACTAATTTAGGTAAATTCTAACATAATTAAATATTTATAAAATAAGTTTAAGCATTTGTTTAAATACAAAGATAGATTATTATTATTAAGTTAAAAACTCACCAATAATTCTAGATAATTGTTTTTTTCTATGGAAACATCATTTATTTAGATTGAATGGAAATGAATTGGAAATAACAAATTCAATTTTAATAGAATGATTTAAACTATAAAGTAAATGATTAAATAATTTAACTAATTTAATATAATACGTAATAAGACGAAGAATATAATATAAATTATGATATGTATTAATGTATATGTACATCACATCTTAACTTCCTTTAATCCATCTAAAATGTATACAAAGGTTGGAGCAGCTTAACCTTCTTTGTAATAACCAATAACAATGTGGTTTTCCATATCATAGGATTCAGGACAGTAGCTATGAGTTATTAAAAATAGTTACAATTAAAGATCATTGAAGTTAGCAGAAACCCATTTGATGAATTCTCCAGCTCCCTTTTAGAATGAAGCAACTCTATTTGGTTTGTTAGCTTCTAAATAAGCCTTAACCTTTTTGGCATAAGTTTTAAAATAAGTGACATAATCAGCTTTAGTAAATTATGTTTCAGCATATTTAAAAGCGTCGATAATGTTATTGACCTTTTAAGCTTAATCATCAACACCTCCATCTTCTTCATCTTCATTCTTTCCACCAAAATGACCACCGGCACCTTTAATGATAATTTGTTTAATATACCAACATCAACATTGACTGCTCCTTTAACGATATCTTATGATTAAACTTCACCAATGGCTTCTTCAAATTTCTCTTCAATATTGAAACTATCAGAAATGATTTCTTCTCCACTGAATGCATCAACGTAGATCTAAATATACTTTATGTTTATACCTTCATTTAATTTTTATCTAAAAAAAAGATTTAAATTTCTGATCACCATTATTTATGTTTTATATTATACAGTTCTCATATGTATTTTTCAATTATCATAAAACTCTTTAAATAGTTAATAATTATATAATACTCTTAAATCAAATTCAATATTTCTTTTTCCCTATAACCAAATGTGCTACTCCCTTTTTCTTTTATTCCTCCTTTAAAGCCTACATCAATGGTCCTTCTGATTATGCTCTCATCTTTTATTTCTGTCTTATTAAATCTCTTCTTTTCTTTTTCTCTATTTTATTCTTACTTGGTCCATCTCCATGAAATATCCAACATTAATATCTAAATGCTTCTTTAGGTGTCATCAATTTTCCAGAATGATCTCTATACACTAAATTTATTTCACCATCTTTATGTTCTTAATCTTTAAAAACTCTTTAATCTTTATTTCTACCAACATAATCGTATTTTGATGGATTCAATTCTCCTCTCTTTCTCAATAACTCCAATGTTGCTGTTAATCCATTACCATGTTATCCCTCTTCTAAAAACTCAATACCATCTTCTTACTTTTCATCAACCATTTCTTATTAATCATCTTACTATTCCTCTTTCTCTACTAATATATCAGTTTTTTAAATATCTTCCCTAATATTTTCCAATTCCATTTTAGATTATTATCTATTCTATACAACTATTCTCTCTGTTGGCAATCGAACATTTACAACTGAAGTTGTTCCATTTTTAGTATCTCTAATTGAATATCCAGTATTAATTCTTATATTAATCTCTTCCATTTCCTTGTCTGTCTTTACATTGCTTAAGAAATCAGTTGATTATTCTATGACTTTTATTTCTTATACTTCACTTCCTTAAGTTTTTACTTATGGTACCATAAATTCACTTTATTTTACTTTTTATAACTCTTCCTCTTTTTATTTATTTTATTCCATAAGCTCTTTTATATTCTCTTCTTATTTTAAATTTTATTAGTTCATTTTCTATCTCTATTAATTTAAAATAGATCTTTGTAATAATTCATAATCATCTTCCTCTAATAAAGCTTTATCTATCTTTGATATTCTTTCTTCAGCAAAAGGATTTGCTTATTATGGTTTCTGAAATCTCTTTTTTATTAATGTTGTTGGAATACTAGGTTTATAATCACTTGCTACAGTATCTATGACATTTAAAGATATCTGTTGATTTTTATTGAGTTTACTTTTTATTGCTTATAAATCATTCTATTTTGGTTCTTCCATTAATTTTCCATCACCACTAATATAAAAACCTTCTTTTTCTATTTTTATTTCATCATATTTTTCTAAAATTTCCTTTTTTTCTTCTCCATCATATTTCTAACTATAATGTGCTTTTTTTATTTATTCTTTTAATTTCTCGTTTTTTTTGATTTAATCTTAAACTTTAATTTAATCGTTCTCAAGTACATCATCTACTTCGTTTAATTAGTCACCATTCAATAATTGTTAATCTGCTAAACAAAGTATCATTTCTCCACCTACTTATATTTCATCTTCATTTACGTCTACCTTAATTTTATTTGACATTTTAATTTAAATATTAATTAATATATTTTATTACATTTAGGTTGTGTAAAAACACAAACTATATTTAATTTATATAGTCTCAATAAATTTAAAGGAAAAATCAATTTTTCACCACTCATCTGTGTTTTTGATGTTTCCTTCTTTTTCATCTAAAGGAACTGCTAATTTAACTTCAGGTACTTTAAACGTTTCATTTATATTAATTTTTTCTAAAAATAAAATAGAAGAAAATTTTACCATCTTCTGATAACGAATTAAAATTAACTGGAATAACTGATTATCTCCATTTTTAATATTTATACTTCAATTCTTCAAACTCTGTACAAGCTATAATTAAATATTTTAATTAATTCTGAGTAACTGCAACTTTTTTTTCAGGTAATTTTTATTGAGGTTTCAATTCATTAACAACACCTGTAAATAAGGGAATTGCAATATCTTATTCATCTTCATCAATAATTCTATATGATTAAGCATCACTGTTACTAGTTTATTCTGATTAACCTTTTTTTTTATCTTAAATTCTCTTTTTTATAAGTTTCATTTTCATTTATTTATGAAAATGAGTTTCTTCTATCATTTAATTTAATAATTGATTCGTTGATAATTATTTTCCTTCTTCTATCTATTAAATAAATCTAAAGAACTTCATGTAAATTACATCGCTCTATTTATAATAAACTCAATATATACAATAATAGCTTTTGATGAATTTTTTTAATCAAAAAAACTATGTTATTTTCTTGGCTTAACTTATTATTAATATTTTTGTATTAAATCTCTAAATGATAAGTAATGATTTATACTCTTCATTCAAATTCTTATTGGATTTATGAAGATGTTAAATTCTATAAAGTAAAATGTGGTGGAATATCATTCTAATGTTAAAAGACCAATGCATAAAAAATTTGGTTGCCACATTCTCAAATAATAAGTCTGTTATATCTTTTCTTATGTCCACTATTAATTAAAATTTAAAATACATGGGAATACAACATAATTATTATATATAAGCCAAAGACATTTAGCGACACTGAAAGCATGTTCACATTGTAATAAAATCATTCTAATACCTTTTAAAAAGAACTATTAATCTAAAGAAGTTGGCATTGATAATTTATGAGTATAGAGATATTATAAACATGAATTGAGGATTTCTAAACAATTCAGTAAGGCTTCAGAATCAAAGAGATTAGTTTTGTTAAAGAGAATAACTATAACAATGTTTAAAAGACTTGTGTTATTTAACAGTGAACACATTGCAGCTTTCATTATATCTGGATAATTTTTAAGTTCTTTAGCTTTCATTTCTAATAGAATAGCTTTTATTAAAACATTATATCCTGGTAATTATTGATATGGTACATTCTATTTAACAACAACTGAGATATCAATTAAATCACACCATTCTTTTAAAAAAAAGAAGAATGCAATGCCTCTTTTACCTATTCTCTTTTACCATTCTTCTTAATTAATTATTTCCATAAGTTTATTGATATTTGCATTATATTTTGGTTATTTAATAAGATATTCATAAAAGTGTCTATTCCAATCAAATAAATCATTAAACTCTTTATTAGTAACTTCATCAGTCTATTTAGTAAGAGATCTCCATTCTGGAAGTTAAGGATCATCCGATCTTTAAACACTTTCAATTATTTTAGTTCTAAATTCAGGAATTTTAAAATATGCACTTGCAAAAAAATGTTCGACAAATGCTCTTTCATTTTCAGCCAATGATTTTTGTTTCAATTTTTATAATACAATACCAAGACATTTATATAAAAATGATTAATAATTGAGACCAATTTCAGTTTTAAATTTTAGCAGTTTTTCACTTGTTTTTTCTGTTTCATCAGAGAATCCAACTTGATTTAAACTTAATTCTCCTCTATTAATAATCAGTTTAAGTAATATATAATATTCTTCTCTTATAGATTCCTCTTATAAATCTGCAGATTCTAATAATTTTGAAGCAATTTCAATTAATAATTTTTAGGCATTGAATAAATCTTATTAAGATTTATATTCAAAACATATGATAGATTATTTATCAGTCCTTTTTAATATTTCTTAAATAGTACGAAGATATAATGATTAAGAATTTTTTAATTCTGATTTGTTAAATAACTAAAATAATTAATATTAATTTACATCTTTAGAAGAGCAATTTTATAGCTTATATTAAACATCTAATAATTATTAGCCAGCCTAACTTAATGATTAAATTTCTTTAACTGGCATTTTTCCTGAATTTACAACACTACTTCCTTATTATATACCTTTATCTGTTCTAACCCCAACTATTTATTAATTTAGATATGCAGGAATAATAACTTATAGATTGCAATTTAAATTGCCTTCAAGTACTCCATGATTCCACAATCTTCTATTAGTTTGTTAATATACAATCTTATAAACTTTTAAATCATTCTCACAAATCTTAACTAATAATTTAGATAAATACTTGCTCACTATTTAATGCTTAAGTAAATATTTGATTCAGATTAAAATAGGTTTCAGCTAAAAGAGAATAGTGGTGCTTACTAAATTCTGAGGTTGCATTTGTTGCTTAATTGGCTAATTCATTGTACCATAAACAAACTTATATACTGGATGATGATATTTCTATAAGTGGCACTTCAACTGTCATTTCAACTCCAGATTGTTTGTAAATTATTTATTTAATAACTTATTATTTGGCTTACGCACTATTATTTGTGGATACCTAATTCTTCTTATAAGCAGGATTAAAAAATGCATCTGAGTATTCACTTTAAAAACATAAAACTGAAGTCACCATTTTTAAAGAATAGTAATACTCAGAATGTATTAACGGTTCATTCATATTAAATTCCATAAACTATGGTATGATGCTTACTTTAATTATTTATGCAATTTTAAAATCAAAGCTTATTTTACCTTATTATTACTTCTTATTAATTAATCCAGTATATTCATAATCTATATGTTATGGTCCTGTTGCTATTAAAAATAAATTTATTTATATCGAAGCAATATTTTCATTATTTGGTGTAAGTAAAGTTACAGTTAGATACTGCTTCTTCAGTTGCTCCTCTGTTATAGACATTTAAAATGCATGAGTTTGCTTAAACTATATAATAACATGAAATCTTTATTTTTACATATAATTTTCCGTAAAGTTCTTTTGAACATTCTGTTTCAAATTAACCAAATTCACCAATTTTCATTAATATTTTGCCAGCTGGCTATAATACTATAATCACTAAATTAAAAATACCAGATTATCCATCTTCACCTTGATACCTGAAATTTTCACATTAAACTCTAATATTCCTTAAGTTTGAATTGGTATTGATTCTATATCAGTCACTAAATTCTCTTTTGCTTAAGACTTTCCTGCACAAATTCCCATCAAATTTTAATATGTTTCAAATATATTATATTTAATATTATTCATGAATCTTCATTTATTATTTATTCATTTAAACTATCTATCCAAATTATTTACGAATTTACATATGTAATTCTTGTTCTAGAATTCTTTTTGAATTGTTTGGATCATTTCAAAATTAAATTATTACTAAGTATCATCATTTAAATTTTTACATAACTTAGCTATTTATTATAATTTCTTAATTATTTTAATTTCATTCCTTTCAAAGTAAATCAAATCAATTTAAAATATAAAACCTTAATCTACAGACCCAAAGAAATTTAGTTCAAATTTTTTGCATTTACATTTGAATCATTCTTATAGAATAACTATGATATTTTATATTATTGAAAATTCAAGTTTATTTCAAGTAATGTGAAATTATCATATTAATAAATCTAATTAGCCTCTTCCAATTCATCTGAAGTGATATCCTTAAGTTGTATTTTACTCTATTCGAATTATCACTTCCATCTAATTATTTTAATATAAAAACATTTATTTTTATAGATTGAGTCCCATTACTTTTACCATCTCATAAACTGAGTACATTCTTAATTCCATTATTTAATCTGTATTTGAAATTTAGTTGATATTCTTTTTTCTTTTATCATTAAATTATTACAATATATTTTTATTTTTCTTTTTGAGAAATTTACTTATAATTGTAATTCAGCAATTATGTTAAATTTATATGCTTTTATCTTTATTGAGGATCTAATTTGAATTTTTCATATTCTTATTTAATAATTTTCGTAAGATGAGTCTTAAGGAGGGATTGGAATAAGATTTTTTTTCTCATTTACTTTAGAGTATTATATACTTTTTCATCAGTTTATTTATAATTATTAATAAAATTAATATTTTTTATATTCACAATATAAAATTAATTTATTTTTTAAGAGTAGTTTTCTGCTTTTTTGATATAAGCAATCATAATTTATAAATTAAATTTTAATTAGCTCAACTTTCTTAAATCAAAGGAGTATTTCTATTATACTCTTTTGTTTTATTTTAAACAAAAGTTAAATTTTTTCTAATTCTTCTAGTTGTTGGTTCTACTCCTTTTTTTTGATTAACAAATTAAGTCGTTAAACAATTTAAACTACTAATTCTATGTAAATTTTTATGATTTCCTTCATTTCTTTAATAAAAGTTCTCAATTCTCTCTGATTCAAATCTAAATCTTTATTATTTAATTGATTCAAAGTCATCTAAATCTCTATGATAAAAGTAATCTGTATTAAGTTTTTTGCTATTTGTGTGATTAGCCTTTTCCCATAATTTTTACAGCTACTATTGTTTTTATTTTTCTTCTTCTTATTTCTTAGTCTCTCTCATCTTAATAATAGAATCTAATAATTTCTTTCTTTATTATTGAGTTTATAAGTTTCTAAGGGCAATTGAAATCTAAGAAATATTAAAGGGATCATTTAGATTTCTCATTTGTTTTTTCACTTTTGATAGACATAGTTATTTTTGTTATAATATCAATTGTTTAGAGAAATTTGGTGGTGACAAGGAACTAGGAAATTTGTATGAAGATAATGAATTAGATTTCATAAAAATTGATTGAAATTAAAAATATTGATGATCACTGATACAATATATTGATTTCGAATTATAATAGGAATTACAAAAATATTGATTTAAAGTATTGAAATATTTAACTATATCACAAATCTTCATTTATCATTTCTTCTTCCAACCATTATCTATCAATCATTCCTTCACTATCAATTTTAGGTCTTAAAGGATATGATGTAGATGGTCTTCTCTTCCTAGATTTACTTTTTCGACTATTTTATTAAATCAATTAAGCAAGTAAAGCATCAACATAATCTCCTTTTAATGGAGATTTTGGTGTTTAAACCATAGATTAAGACCATCGTAAAGTACTCTTTTTTGTCCTTTCTATATTTCATAATTTACTTGTACTTGTAGATGGATCCTTTTTTTTTGGACTTTTAGTTTTAGAAGGTGATATTTTTTTAGAATGACTTTATTTTTATCCAATTGGTTTATTTTCTTTCCCGGACTTTCTCTTTTTAGGACTAACTGTATCATCTTCTTCTGTTATTGTTTCTAATTAAGGTTTTTTACCCATTAAAACATTATCTAATGATTTTTCTGCCACTACAAAATTATTCATATATGACACCCAAACCATATCATCTCCAGGATATACTAAACATTGAAGCATAAATCGCTTCTTTATTGAATCTAATTAAAGTAACACTTCTTAGGTTTGAATTTTCAGAGCAAATACTTCATTTAGCTTAAATTAAACAATCACTTCTGCTTTGTTTGAAAAACTTGTAAACTCTAAATCTATTAAAGTACAGAAGTTTAATTGAATCTCTCCTGGTTCTGGGTATGTTATTCTTAAATCCTTAGAAGCTCCTTCTACTCTCACTAAAATACTCATATACGTTAAAAATTAATAATTAAATATGCAAACTAATTATTTGTTGACAATAATAATTTTTATTTTTTTATTATATAATTCACATATCTACAATCCTTAATTAAATTATACTATATATCATATTATTCTATCTTATTAAAAAAACTCTTCCTATCTATTTTAAATTTAAAATTTTATTTAGTGTAAATTTGATAGACTAAAGCTAAGGTTCCAAATTAGAAAAAAAATAACAATTTATTTATTATTATTTTTGTTACCATTTATATTTGGACTATTAGTATTACCATTCAAAATAAATTATTATTATTTTAAATACGTTTCATCTTTAAATGAAAAAGCAAAATTTAGTCAACAAAAGAGCCAAAGAACGCTCTATAATTGAAGCTAAACAAAAAGTTGATTAATGGAGGCACTTTTTTATAAATGGTGAAATTGATGAGAATGGTAATAAAATAAAATATAGTTTACAAAAAGCTGCTGATAAAGTAGGAATTCCAAGAAAATCTTTAGAGGACTATCGTTTTTTATTCAGGTATATAATTATATGAAAATAGAAAAGCCCAATCCTTCATTGACTTAAAGTAAGTAAGTGATAAGAGAATGGGATATTTGCGTTTCTTAATAAAATAACAATAATTGAAATAACAATATCAATAATCTCATTTAGAAAGCTTGATAAGTTAAAAAGAAAAGAGTAAAATTTTAAAGCCAGATAATAATATATTTATTGAAGACATGATTGTAGAAGGTTAAACTAATAGATAAAATTGGGATTAGGAATTATCAGAATACTTTGATTATGCATAAAATGAAAAAGTTAGTTTAAAACAATAGGAAAGGAATTTTAAAAAAAATTTTGAAATCCCAAATACTCATTTGGATTAACAAGTCTTTCATGAATTTCAAATTGAATGATAGTTAATATATATATTTAAAGAAACTATAAACTTAAAGATACATTCTTTAATTTGTTTGACTTCTAAAATTTTTGTCTTCTATAATTGCTTATTTATTTAAATATTATATGGTTTATTGAAACGATGTAAATTTTTGAACTTTTTTTGATAATTATTATGCTCATTTTATTGGTCTTAATCATCTTTTTTGAAAGATAAAAAATAAAAAATACTTGAAAAATAANTCTTAAATCCTTAGAAGCTCCTTCTACTCTCACTAAAATACTCATATACGTTAAAAATTAATAATTAAATATGCAAACTAATTATTTGTTGACAATAATAATTTTTATTTTTTTATTATATAATTCACATATCTACAATCCTTAATTAAATTATACTATATATCATATTATTCTATCTTATTAAAAAAACTCTTCCTATCTATTTTAAATTTAAAATTTTATTTAGTGTAAATTTGATAGACTAAAGCTAAGGTTCCAAATTAGAAAAAAAATAACAATTTATTTATTATTATTTTTGTTACCATTTATATTTGGACTATTAGTATTACCATTCAAAATAAATTATTATTATTTTAAATACGTTTCATCTTTAAATGAAAAAGCAAAATTTAGTCAACAAAAGAGCCAAAGAACGCTCTATAATTGAAGCTAAACAAAAAGTTGATTAATGGAGGCACTTTTTTATAAATGGTGAAATTGATGAGAATGGTAATAAAATAAAATATAGTTTACAAAAAGCTGCTGATAAAGTAGGAATTCCAAGAAAATCTTTAGAGGACTATCGTTTTTTATTCAGGTATATAATTATATGAAAATAGAAAAGCCCAATCCTTCATTGACTTAAAGTAAGTAAGTGATAAGAGAATGGGATATTTGCGTTTCTTAATAAAATAACAATAATTGAAATAACAATATCAATAATCTCATTTAGAAAGCTTGATAAGTTAAAAAGAAAAGAGTAAAATTTTAAAGCCAGATAATAATATATTTATTGAAGACATGATTGTAGAAGGTTAAACTAATAGATAAAATTGGGATTAGGAATTATCAGAATACTTTGATTATGCATAAAATGAAAAAGTTAGTTTAAAACAATAGGAAAGGAATTTTAAAAAAAATTTTGAAATCCCAAATACTCATTTGGATTAACAAGTCTTTCATGAATTTCAAATTGAATGATAGTTAATATATATATTTAAAGAAACTATAAACTTAAAGATACATTCTTTAATTTGTTTGACTTCTAAAATTTTTGTCTTCTATAATTGCTTATTTATTTAAATATTATATGGTTTATTGAAACGATGTAAATTTTTGAACTTTTTTTGATAATTATTATGCTCATTTTATTGGTCTTAATCATCTTTTTTGAAAGATAAAAAATAAAAAATACTTGAAAAATAATTATAGAAAGTTACAATTTTATTTATATATAATTATTAATAAATTTGATATATAAGAATTAAATAATATATTTCAAAATAAGAGAATTTATATATATTTTGGAAAGAACTAACTAAAGCAGGTGTCATATAGATTCTTAAGATTGGTAAATTAAATAATATAAAAATATTCTTAACGTTTCTCGATCTAATCAATTAAATGTAAATTTTGATAATTCCGATTTCATTTATTCAGATTCAAATTTAATTTTTCAATAAGATTTGTATTTTTATTCATTTAAGTTTTCATATGCTTTTTAATATATTTTCAAGAACTCATATTTTATGCTAAAAAAAGATTTTAGGAAGACAAATTTCAATTTTTGATTAAAAATATAGATATTCAATAAGATGGGTTTTAATTTATAAATTTCTTTGCTTAATTATTTCATAAACAAAAATTGTTTTAGTTGATTAATAAAAGTTCGACTAATAGTGCTTTAAAAAATAATAAAATTAAAGAAATAAGCCTAATAAAGATGAAGAGAATAAATAAATAATTATAATAAAAAATAGAAAATAATGGGAAATACATGTTAATGTTTAGAGAGTGAATAAAATATGAAGGAAATAAATACTCAATAATTAAATGATGAATAAGAGCAAGCTTTAAGAAACATTAATGATTAGGAACATCAAATACAAATTCTTGATTAGCCTTTTATTGCTCCTCCTATAACACCTGATAAGCCATAACCTGGAACATAAAGATATTTTGATAAGATATAGGAATTAATGGTTGAGGTTTAGAAAGAAAACTAGTAAAGGCAATCATTTGATAAAAGTTAGCATAAATATGAGTTTGAAAGTGGAGCTGTGTATAATGGGGAATGGGTAAAATCAATATTTATAAAGATAAGCTTGGAGATATAAGAGAAGGTTTTGGAGAATAGATTTGGAAAGATGGAGCAAGATATGTAGGATAATGGAAAAATAATAAAGCTGATGGTTAAGGTATATTTTATCATGTTGATGGAGATATATGTAAATATTGAATTGATTGTTAGATGAAGGAGAATGGAAAGATGATAAGGCTCATGGAAAAGGGAAATATATTCATGTAAATGGAGCTTAGTATGAAGGTGATTGGAATGAAGATTAATAACATGGAAAAGGAATGGAAACATGGACTGATGGGAGTAAATATGATGGAGAATATAAAAATGGATAAAAAGAAGGATTTGGGAAATATTAATGGCCAGATGGAAGTAGTTATGAAGGATAATGGGTAAATAATAAAATAAATGGATTTGGAAAATATATTTGGGCAGATGGAAGAAGCTTTGAGGGGGATTGGTTGGCTAATTAAATGCATGGTTAAGGAAAATATAAATGGCCAGATGGAAGAATGTATGAAGGAGAATATATTTATGATAAAAAACATGGATAAGGAACTTATGTTTGGAATGATGGTAAAAAGTATGTTGGAAATTGGTATCAAGGAAAATAACATGGAAAAGGTTAATTGATTTTAGCAGATGGGTAAATAATCTAAGGAGAATGGCATGAAGGCAAAAAAATTAAATGAAAAATTAATTCACTATTTTTCACATTATAACACCTGAATCTACTATTTTTACTAATTTTTTAGGTGCACCATTTGTTGATGAAACTAAATAATATAAATTTAATATAACTTTTCTCTAACTCATCTAATATACTATAATCTTCAACAATTTTTCCGAAAACCGAATGCAATCCATCAACCCATGAGCAATCTGTAAAAGTAAAAAAGAACTATGATCCTATATTACCATTTCCATCATTAAACATTGAAACCAATCCTCTTTCATCATGTTTGAATCTTTTTGGTTCAGCTTTGAAAGTTGGTCCATATATACTACATTAACCTGTACCATCTTTATTCAAGATATCTCCACCTACAGCCATAAAATTACTATATATCTTATGAAAAGGAACGTCCTTAAAATTTAATTTTACATCTAGCTTATTTAGTTAACATAGTACATGGATTCAATTTATCACCTGTACATAATGCTCGAAAATTTTCACAAGTTTTTGGCATTTCATCATAAAAAAGTTTTATAATTACTCGCTTTGGTTTATCAGTACCAATTTTTATATCCAAAAATACCAATTAAACTTTTACAGCAGTTTGCTTGCTGAAACTGTAAAATAATGATGAATCAGTAAGCATTATATATTATTGATAATAATTATTTTTCAATCAATATTTTTAGCTTTAATTGGAAACACACAAAATATCTTAATTTTCTAGAATTATTATTTTTATTATCGGTTTTAAATTATGATGATGAAGCTTAATAATTTTATTTCATTCTTTCTTTACAATTATTTAGGTCATGGTATCTATGCCTAAATCTAAGAGCTATTACGAAACATCTAGAAGTTGTAATTTTTGAATTGGACTAACCAATGTGAATCTCATAGGGGATTGTCTACTTTCAAAAAATATAAAATCATAAAGATCCTTTATCTATAATAATAATAAATACTTCAACAGTTGCATCATAACTAAATGTGTATTATTTATTTTTTCCATCTGGCAATTAAAATAGAATAGATAAACCTTCTTCTAATTACATACTAAATTTCTAAATAAAATGATAATAATAATATTATTTTACTTATTCAAGTGTCATGAGAATAATTGATCTATATTCAGCATCTAAAGGATCAATATTAAAATTTGGATAATTAACAAGTGATTGTTAAAATTCAAATTATATTCCTTATCCTTAAAATTTTGGAGTGGATTACTTTTTAACTGGATTTTATTAACCTTCTTCTTCAAATTCTTCTTCTGATGATTCCTAAGAATAATGAAACGATTAATTAATTACATATTTTTCTCCTTTACTTGCTTTTAATGCCTTTTCCATTTCAACTTCATCAGAACCACCAATATTTAATTTATAATTTTTATTTTTAACTCTTCTATCATGAATCTATTTAATTTATTAAGCAGTAAGAACTTTTTAACGATTATTTTAATCGACATTCTATAAAGAAAATATATGATAATAATAACATCTAATTATGGAGGTGGATATACTCCTTTAACAACAAAGATTTAATATCCATTTTCTTTAACTGATAAAAGAAAAGCTGATAGATAAAAGTCACTAATTATTTCTGGTCCTCGTTTGTTAGTTGAATTTAAATTGTACCAAACATTTTCAATTTTTCTAATTGAAAACCAATGAGCTGAAGAATTACATATAAATCCAGTTTCTTGACTTTATTTATATAAATGAAAAAATATACCTCAAATCTTAATTTTAATTAATTTTTGAATCAACAGATTCAATAAATAATTCACCTAATTTTTTTAAGGCTTCTGCTAAGACTTAAATAGAAAAGTTGCCATCTTCAGCAACATTATGAGATTTATAACGATGATTTGTTTTTCCTAACAATTCTTTTTCCTATCTATCTAATTCTTAAGCTATTGCAGCTAAATCAACTTCATTAAAATAAGGTCCTTATAAAAGTGAGTTTATGCAATGAACACCACATAATTGATCATAACCTTATTTTTCCCAGTAGATGAGTTGTTTATAATTCATTAAATAAATAACATTAATTTATAGTGTATGATTTTATTTATTATTTAATAAGTAACATTTTATTGTTATTCTATAGTAATTAAAATTAATGTAATATGAATACAATATAACAATAAATAATAATTATCTTTATTATTATCACCTTAAGTTTAAGCTTCAGCAGCTAATTTTTCTTCTTCTATAGCTTTATCACAAAATTAAATTCTAATCATAGTATAATCAGCCTCTAATTGAATAATTTATTATTACATTAAGAAATTATGTATTCAAATTAAACTTTACTTCTGATTCGAATTATTTCAAGGTCATTTTAATAATATTTAATATTAATACATCTTAACTACTTAATTCTCTTTGAATACATTTTTAGTAACATTCCATAAATCAGAAACCAGAATAGACAAATGTACTGCTTTTTCATAGTTGATATTCTTTTTTGATGATTTTATTGAATATCTAAAATAGTTGAAAATATTTCATACAATCTTCATTGAAAATTACATAACCATTAACTAGTTCAACTGCTAAATACCCTTTGAGTACTTCATTAACATTAATAATCATTAATTGATTATTTTTTGAATCTTGTTAGAAAATTACCATTTCAAAATAAATAGGAATTTATTAATAATAATTATAAATCACATATATCTAAAAACATCACATTGAAGTAACTAAGAATAAAAGTAATAAATAATTACCTATTTGGCAGTGGCTCTATGATGAGGATCCAAGACAAAGATTTAACCTAGAAATACTCTTACATCTTTATCCTAACTATTAATAGTATATTCATTATTTCTTATTTTTTAAAAGAGTTCTTTTTCACTCTAACCCTTATATGGAAAGCTACCTTATAACAACCCTACAAAAAGTACTCCTAAGGCCCATATATCAGTGGTTCTGCCATCATACTTTAGTTTTGTCACAACTTCAGGTGACATATAGCTAGGAGTACCACAATGACAAGTAATACAATTGTATACAGTACTGAATCCAAAATCAATTAACTTGATTTTTTTATTGTTTATCAGAATGTTTTCAAGTTTTATGTCTCTATGACATATATTCTTTTCATGTATATATACTAATATCTTAAGTAATTGATGTATTATATTAAATGCATAATCTTTGGATAAAGCTCTGTGTTATTTGACTAAAGTAAAGAGACTTTCACTTCCACAATATTCTAATACTAAATTAATTGTGGTTCCAGTATGATATACATCTAATAATTTAACAATCTAATCATGAGACAATGCTTTTAATGCACTGATTTCTTTTACTAGATTATTTAGTCGCTCGCCTTTTAAGAATAACTTTTCATATACTTTTATTGCTACTTTTAATCCTTACTTATTAGTTCCAAGTCTTACAGTAGCATAGCTTCCCTTACCTATTGATTATCCAATTGAGTAAGTACTACCATCACATGTAGGAGGTATAAATTTTAGTAAATTATCATTCACCAAATTTTCAATAGTATTTACATATGTTCTTAACCTAATCTTATGTGTACCATCCACTTTTGTAGTTAATGGTTCTCTTGAACTTATATGTTAATCCATTTGTAATGGCTACAATAGTTTTGGTGTAGTTTTCCTCAACAGTTTACGATTCTGTATTGGAGTGTCTGAAGTATGTTGATTCTCTTTATTGTCTAAAGATTTCAGCTTAGGTCTCCTTTATTGCATGTGTTCGTTAAAAATTTATTTATAGGTTTATTAATTTATTTGGCGCAATTGATCTCTTAATTTATGCATATTCTCTACTTCCTTATTCTAATTCTTCATTTAATTCAACATACTACTTATATTAAAAATCATATACAATCAGTAAGATTTCTTAAACTATCCATATTAATAATAAAATAATGTCAAAAGAGCAAAATAAATTTAAGCATATTCTCCTTGTTCCTAACATCGTCTCTGATTAAGCATTCTTGCAAAGACATAAAACTTTTCAAACCTATGTGAAAAAAGCTCATTCAGATCTTTATTATTTGTAACTGAAGAAAATTGGAGGATTGAAAAAATCAATCTCTGAAAAAGCTGATTATGGATAAGTCTTACAATAAATCAAAAGTAATAGACTTCAAAATGAATATTTGAATCAATAGAAAAAGAATCAAGGGTTTATGTACAATAATTAACTTTGGTCAGATAAATATTATAATCAAATCTATTAAATGACTAGATTATCTTTATTGTCTGAAGTTCTTAGTAAACAAAAAACAAAAGGCAGAGATCAATTAATCAAAGATTTCGAAATATATTTTAATAAACATGTTCATCCTAATAATGATGAATTTACTGAAATCTAAAAAGTTATTCCACTATCAACTTGTACTACTAAGTGTAGTTCAAGGATTAACTCATAAAAACTTTTATTAGGAACTACTGAAAGGAAAACAAATTCTAAATAAGAAACTTAAGAAGATGATGTATATAGGGTCAAATCTTTATAAAATTCATTTCATAAAACAGTTAATGATAAAATGGTCAACCTTTTAGATGAAGCTACCAATTTACATAATTAAAATCTAGAAACAATCAAGTAATATATTAAAGATTTTTAAATAGAAAAACTAAACTTTTCTAAAATGAATAGATCTCCTCTCGATAAATCATCTATTCTCAGATTTAATAAAGAAATGAACACATTAACATTCAAACTACCATGAGAAATAGATAAATACATTTTAGAAATAAATTTGTGTAAGAAAGATTTTAGAAAGAAATAGAAAAATTATCTGCTTAGAACCTTTGAGATTTATTTATAATCATATTTTGATTAACCCTTATCCCTATATAATTGTGATTTCTTTATAGATAGGTTCCTTGTATAATTCAAATGATAGCTATCTAGTCAATGACTCAGTTTGTTCATCTGTTTTTTTGGATTCAGATTTGTAAAGATGAAATGATGATTCCATGTTTATTTAGATATCTTAGCCTTTTATAAAGAAATTCAATCTCTTTAGTAACAACTTCTTCACTCTTTTAATTAACTTTTTGATCCTTTATAATACACTAGATAATGGGCTGAATGGAAAATTTCTTTTGATTGTTTATTTTCTTACTAATATGATTTAGTAAAGACTATAAAGAATCTAAGGACCTTTTGGAATTTATACTATTAGTGAGCCAGATAATCTTTTTAACAAGTTAAGAACCTTTAAATAAATAAAATGAAGTACTTATGAAATTGTATTCTCACATAATTTAGACTCAATCAACTAAAATAAAAGTTTCTAGAACTCTAAGTCTATCTAAATGACTTTTTGATAGAGGTCTTAGTTCTCTCCACATTTATCAATTATTTAATCCTTATGAGAATCATTCTTTAAATTATTTAAATGTTCTGTGCTCTCTACCATCATTTCCATCTCAATTGCAGTGTCACTCTTAGCTTACATAATAATAAATATATTATTTAATCAACCAAAAATAGAAGCTATTAGAACTTCTTTATCAATAAATAAGTAATTATCTAATTATCTAATTATCTATATTTAAATTATTCACACATTTTCACATGTTATTAAATCTCAGTAAATTTAAATAAATTAAACAAATTGAATGCAATTACTTCATTTTGGGGTGATGAAAATAATGATTGAACATTTATTTTTGCTTAGATTTTTGGATAAATCATCAATCTTAATTGGTATTTAATTAATTTAAAATTATTTATATTCTTTTTTGTAATAAGATTAATTTGAATGAAATCATTCAAGAACATAAGTTAAAAATATCCTTCCTTAATTATCTCCTTTTAATAACTTTTATTTATTAAGAATTTAAAAAAATTATATTTTGGAAGTAATCAATTAACTTGAAATAGAATTAAAAAGTCTAAATTTTGTTCATTTCAATGAATTTAATAAATTATTATTTTTATAGTGAACCACTTTACCATACTACAAAATTCTAATTGAATTACTTCAAAACTTTTGAATATCGATATCATTAACACCTGATGATATAACTATATATAATTTTAGCATAATAATAAGATTTGAAGATATATAAGAGATTAATATTATTATTTTTACTTTGAAGTAATAAAAATCTATTATATTATTTCAATAAGCTCTATACAGATTTATTAGTCAATTAATATAATCTTATCAATTTTTTATTCACTTTTTGAAATAAATACAAAAGTTTTTAATATTTTCTGTTTATGTATATTTGATCATATTAATATTTAAACTATTCGGTTAAAAAATGAACGATGAATCACCTCATAGATCAAAAAGCATTGAAATCAACCTCACTAAGATGCTTGATAGAATGAAGAACAATTCTTTTCATATGTAGAAAGTAAGTGTTGGTGATTTAGTCAATAAAAGTCAAACTTCTGTAATTACTAAACCAATAAGATAATCAATGACTCCTACACCAGATGAAAAGGAGAATAAAGAACTTACATTCAAACCCTAAATTAATGTATTCTTTTATTTTTAATAAGAAATATCCGAATTATTTGAAATAAACATCATTCTTAGAAAGAAATGAATAATGGTAAAAAAATAAATTACAAAAATAATAAGAAACAAACAAAGCTTATTTAGAAGAAAAAGAAAAGATCATTAATAAAGAGTGTTCTTTTAAGCCCAAAATCACTCCTCACTAATCTGCAAGGATTCCTAGACAATAAAAACAATAGTAACCATAAAATACAAATACTACCAAATAATAATAAAACACCATTTCAGCCATCTCAATGCAAGCTTTATAATATGAACTAAGAAAATAGTTACATGGACTTCAATTATGATAAAAGCATTAATTAATTATATACATTTTCATATTATTATTTATGAGCTCAAAAATAATTAGAACAAGCAATACATTAAGAGATCTCTACAATGTAAATGGATAATGAAACAGTTTCTATGATATCTATTATATATATTTACAACAATGTGATGGAGATGGTTCTGATTTTGAATAATTTTACTTAAAATGCTTAGGTAGAAAATCTAGTTCAAACAATCAATATAAATGCTTCTAAATAAAAAATTTAAGAAGTTATTTAAATAAATAAACATAAATTAATGGAGATAAAAGAAGGTGTAATTGATAACTAAACAATGTTCTATATTAACTATTTCAAATTAGTGGTAGAGAAATAATTTTTAAAGAAATTCTCACATTCTAAATATTGTAATATTTTTTATGTTCATTCAAATTGACATATTTTAGACTAAAGTAAAATTCAGAGCTGAATATAGAAATATTAATAATTTACCAGAATAATTATCAATTACAATTTTGAAAAACTATCTATTTTGTACTAATACAGTTATTCCTAAATATAAAAATGTTTGTTTCTTTAATTGTTGAAAGTAGTAATAAATTTTGGTAATGAAATTTTATTGATGTGCTCAAAGGATACTATAGTTATATTAAAAATTTAGTAGCATCAATAAAAAGAAAAAATATTAATAATTTTCCTCATTTTCTTTGAGTACAATTTTTTGCCATTTTTAAATATATAGATTTTTAATAAATAGCAAAAAGTTATGTAAAGAAATAAAATTTATTGCTTTTGATTAATTAAAATTATTTTAAGCAAATTTAAATTGATTATCATTTCTATTACTATTAATCATTTTTAAATATATCTCAAAACTCATAATATTTAAACAAAATAGTGAAATGAAAATTATTAGAATTAAAGTTAATTTTACATACTTCTCAATTCTGTTTTAACTCATATTTAACATATAAATTAAAGGTTCACACACAATATTATTTTAGCCTTAAGAGATTTAGATCTTTTGTAAAAATATGAGTGTATATGTCGAAATCTTTTACTTTTATTTTTTTTATAAAAAGAATAATATTTAATCATTGATATTGATTTGTTCGATTTAATTTAAGTAAGAGTAATGTAATTTAAGAATTCATCATTGATAAAAGATTTTAAAGAAGCAATATAAAGAAATATTTGTGAGCATTATAAATTTAATAATTCAATTTTTTTCTTTTTCCAAACATTATAATAAGTCTTTATACAAGTAGTTAATGGCATATTTAATTTATTCTTCATCGGATTCTCTATCATCATCAGATTTCTTATTTTATATTTAATATAATATTTACATGTTTTTATAGGATTGATTGGTATTCCTATGGAATATTTAAATCTTTATCATCATAGCAGATAAATTATCTTTAAGATTTGTGTTTTTTCAAATTAATGATTGTCTTATAATTATTATCATTAATACCTATTTAGGTTTCTTATGTATTGGTCCTCTTCTCTTAATTGGTGTTTAGAATTCACTAGGAAGAGGGTAATCACTCAGAGATACATTCTATTTAATAGTGTATAAATAAATTATATAAAGGAAGACATATTTATGAGAATTTTGTGGTTAATACCTCTTAACAAGTGACAGACAAGTCTTCTCTCTGCTTTTATCTATTAGAATTCCTAGTCTTCATTTTTTATTAAATATTTTAATCTATAGATCACTATTTTACTTTGCGCAACAATCAGAATAATATTACTATAATAAATAATTAGTTTTCATTTTTTTTCAAAAAAATATCCTTTTTTCATTTTCAATATAAATACTTATTTTTATCGTCAAATGTGACAAAATCGTTGAATCTTTTGTATATATTCCTATTTTCATTTATAAATAATTATATCTTTTATCAATACAATGAAACTATTAATAGAAAAACTTAGAAAGAAATCTCACAAAACTATGCTACCATTTAATTTGATTGAATATAAATTAAATCCAAGTTAGGTTCTGCCCTTATCCAAAATTAAAGTTTGATATAGGGAAATTCTTTAAGAAAAATAATTATGATATTTGTCATTCAGAAAAATAATTATGCAAATTATTAGCAATGTTTTCTGTTATTGAAACTTAAACTCGAAAGTTAAAAATTATCTATTTCAATATCCAATAAATAAATCACATTAGATTTTATACTTTATACTAAATTAGATATAAAAAAAATTATTTCTTTTTGTGAAATCAAATTAATTTGAGTAAAAAATGTATTTCTTTGGGTTTAGAAGATAGTTCTCAAAAAGTGGATAATATATGTTGATATTATTTTTATTGAATATAAAAAAAATTGTCAAAATTTACTAAAATTAAATAATAAATATGATGTGTTGCTCTATTAATTTTTAAATGCTAAATAATTGTAAAAAAATAAATTACTAATTATAATACTTAAACTACCTAAGTTATTGATTGAAATATAATCTAAAAATAATAAATTAAAATATAATCTAAAATACTGATATTTCAATAAATTGATGAAAATAATAAAAATAAATGGAGTGATATATCTATGAATTAGAGATAAATCATTTTTTTTCTTCTTGAAAATATTTGACTATAATTTTAGAAGTAGTTTGATCATCTTCTAAACGATAAGGATAACCTAATTTCATTTATCCAGAGTCTATTTTTTTTTATTTATATTAATCCATAAATCTAGATCTAGTTCCTCCTTATGAGGCTAAGGATTCCCGACTGAAAGGATTATTTGAATGATGACTTTAAATTTAAATTTAAGAGACTTCTTGAATTTAAGTTAACTTTTATTTAGGAATAAATAAATCTGCAGTCAACATTTATTAAGTTGGTTAATCTTCTTAAGAAATGAAATTATTTTAAGGAATTGTAGTTAATTAAGGTGGTTATTTAGTAATTACTTTTTGATTTAGATAATTGACAGATTACCTATACAATTTATTTGGTTGTTAAGGTCTTAGATTATGTAAAGAATGACCTTTATAACTAAAATAGTAGTGTTTTGATACTTATTGCTGTGTTAGTGTGGTGTAACATGATCTATACTTTTAGTCTGTAAAAGAGTAGTTTTATAATGTTCAATTTATTTATTGGTTGAATATTCATCATAATTTGATTGCATATTGAGTATTTTATCTTATTTCATTGTTCTTAATGATCTAGATATATTAATAGTAGTTCCAATTTGATCTTCTTTAACAGTAGAAATAAATTCAGTTCTTTTATGCTGAAATTATAAATAATGAATACCTCTTTTTCTTTGAATCTCTATCTTGAAAGATCTCCAATAACATCATAACCATCAATATATTAATTATTTTGATTATCCAGATTAATAGGATGTTATTCCCAAGGTTAATCACTCCTATGACCATCATATAAACATGGATATATATTAAATGTATGATTATCTAACCATTTTTCTTTTTGTTCATTTTTCCAACTAGGTCTGATTAACATTTTTAAGTCTTTATCCTTTGAAATTGTAAATAATATAAAATACTTAAACATCTAGTTATTCACTAATTTTTTTAATTTCTTAATTAGCTTTTTCAACCTCAGTTCTTTAACCCATTCCAAATCTCATAGGTTCTCCCTATTTTGATAAATCTTTTGGTTTCAACCATTTTTCATGATTCTTAGTTGGAATATTTGGATCAAATTCTCCAGTTGCTAAATGACCAGATCTAAATTCTTATTATGCTGTTTATGCTCTTATTTTAGGTATTTATTATCTAATATATTTTTAATACTTAATTACGTTCTCAAGTAAATTCCTCCAATTTTTTCCATTTCTTACTCTTTCTCTCTATCACGAAATGAATGTTTGCTTATTGGTAATAATGGATATGATCCATTTTTTAAACTATCTACATATTATTTAGACATCATAGTTTCTTAAAATGTTTCAATTCTCTAAGATGCACGAGCTTTCAATTATACAGATTATATATTGCGTTTTTAATCTAGTTACTCTTTCTTTTGTTATCTTCATTTACTTATTTATTATACTTATCATTTTCCTCTTTCTCTTTTTGCAGTTACTACTTTTATTTAAAGAAGTTATTAAGTGACATTTACTTTAATTATAATTTTATATCTAATCAAAATCTAAACAAATTACATGAAATAACATATTTTTGTTAATTCTATTCTTTTACTCTTCTATTATTTAAATATATCATACTAATTATTAATCATTATCATTACAATAATAAATACCCATTAAATTTAATATTAACATCTTTTTATCAGTTATTAATATTATTTTCAATAGTAAAAATATTTTGGAAAAAATGAAAATAACTTATATAATTATCTTGTTAATCGCATTAGCAACTACAAAAAAAGTTGATATTAATAGTAGGACTTAAATAAACCATACTCAAGTAATAAATATATAGTATATGATCAACAGAAACAATTAATATAAAATGAAGAAATAACTTATGAAACTTCTCTATTAACACCAGAAGAATAGAAAAAAGCAGATGAAGCCAAAAAAGCAGAAGAAGCCAAAAAAGCAGAAGAAGCTAAGAAAAAAGCAGAAGAAGCTAAAAAAGCAGAAGAAGCAAAAAAAGCAGAAGAAGCTAAAAAGGCAGAAGAAGCAAAAAAAGCAGAAGAAGCCAAGAAAAAAGAAGAAGAAGCTAAGAAAAAAGCAGAAGAAGCAAAAAAAAAAGAAGAGGAAGCTAAGAAAAAAGAAGAAGAAGCTAAGAAAAAAGAAGAAGAAGCTAAAAAGGCAGAGGAAAAAAAGAAAAAAGAAGAAGAAGCTAAAAAGGCAGAAGAAAAAAAGAAAAAAGAAGAAGAAGCTAAAAAAAAGGAAGAGGAAGCCAAGAAAAAAAAAAAAGAAGAAAATATTAGATAATAAGATGAAAAAGAAAGAAATAAAAGAGCTGAATATGAAGAGTGCATTAGAGATAAATGTGAAGACAATTTTGATGAATGCAATTCAGACTGCGTTTAAAAATTAAAAGACTGTAAAAAAAATGCTATTTATGAAGGAATTGATGCTGTAAAAATATTATTTTTATTGTAGTATAATAAATGTGTTAAAAATAATGAAAAGGCCAATTCTTTAATAAAATGCATTCAAACTAATTGCTAAGAATGAATATCATAAAATAAAATTTTATATTTAGTATCTGTTAGAAATTGTTTCCTTAATTTACTATTAATTTTATTCAATAAATTTTTTTTAGTTTTCAATTAATTAGCAAATTATTCAAATTTTAATATTGTTTTTTTATAGATCTATTCATCATTTAAATAAAAGTTTTTACTTCAATTAATAATTTTATTTCGTTTATAAACTATTAAAAGTTAATAATTACTTTATTAATTAATAAAATTAATTAAAGTTATAAAATAAATTACGATGATTTAGGTCATAATGAAATTATTGTATAATTATAAGATCATTAACTTACTAATCCAGCAGGCATAGAACTTGTAATTGTTGCTAAGGGCTAGAAACCAAGTTCCTCTGGTGGAATACCAAATTCTACTAATTTTGCCTCATAGACTCTTATTGAATCATTATATGCTTTAGTAGCATGATGAATAGAATATCTAAGGTTTTTGATTAATTAATTTTTAGCTCTATAATTAGAATAAATATTACTCAATAGATTCCTTTATTTTTGTGGTTAATTATTAATACATTTATGGATCCATATTAGTTCTGTCAACAATTGTTTTTAATTAGACTTCCTAATAATATTTTTTCAATGATTACTTTTTCTTCCAATCCATCTTGCATATTTTATAATTGTTAACTTAATACATTGTTTTATAAATCTGTATGTTTTTTAACTTCCATTGCAATTCTTTCAAATTTTTCTTCCAATTCTTATTTTTCCCTTAATAATTTATCATATTTGAAATTCAAATCATTGCTGTTATGTTTTAATTCTGCATATTTCTCGGTTAAAGTAGTATTTTTTGATTATAAATTTTATAGAGACATTTTATGCTAAAATTATAATTAATAGCTTTACCTTAGAAAATTATTTAAGTGCATTTTTTAATATATCTCTTTCTTCTGTTGCTTATTTTAATGGTATTCTTATATTATTATTTGCAGCCTTCATATCAGCAATAATTTTGCTATTTTTTTGTAATTTAGCATTAATGCTGGCTATCTCTTCTTTTTAATTTTTAATAAGCTCTAAATTTTCTCTTGTAATAGTATTGTAATATTATTTAAGTTCAGCAAATGCTGTTTCATGATTGTTAATCAATTCATTTATATGAAGATTTTTTCTTTCTTCAAGTTCATGGATTTCAACTTTAAGTCTTAACTCTAATTCTTCTTTAAGTTTTTAAAGTCTCATTTTATACTTTTCTTCCATATTTTGTAGAGTTTCATCAAAAACTTATTTTGATTTGTCGAGTGTTTTCTTATTATTTTTTTCTTCCTTTTCAATTGCATGAATATATGAATTTTCATATTCTTCTTATAATTTTTTTAAATGTGTTTTTTATCTTTTTTATTCATCACTTCTCTTAGAAAAGTGATCATTTTCTAAATTATGTGCTTCTTTTCCATCTTTTTCTATTTCATCATTTGCTTTTTCTTATTCATACTCAAGATGTTTAACCTGATCTAATTGATAGTTATACTTTTTATAAATAGCTTTTTAATTGGATTCTATGTGTTTCCTCTAATTATTCAGCTTCAGTTTCTTTGTTAACAATTTTGATATTTAACTCTTAAATTTCAGATAAGCAATTTGAGAAAAAATTTTAAACCATGTCTCTATCCATTTAGATATAATTTCTTTTCTGTTTCAATTCAGTTAATTTATCTCTGAATATTTATAAATTTTATGTTAGCTCTTAAGCAGTCATCTTAGTAAATTCATCTTCTGGTTCTTATGGTGCTTTCTTAGCTTTAGGCTTAGGAGGCATTCCGAATAATTAAATATATATAAAATTTATAAAGTTTTTTATAATTTAAATTCATAATTTATCACCATATAAATAAATAACCTTCTTATAGATACAAACAAATATTAATAAATAATTTTAGGATATTATCATTAAATTTTTATTTATTATTATATATGTTTGTATTAAAATTATATTTAATAATTACTAATAAAACTTATGTTTATGTTTTAATTGTAAAATTGAGACTTTTTCTATAAGTTTTGAAGATTAAAAACAATGAATAATTAATATATCTTAAATCACAAAATTTATAAAATAATTATCAGAAATAAATAAACTTAAAAATAAATAAATCTCTTATAAATGATTCCAACTTGCTCTAATGATTATGATTACAATAATTTCAAATCTAACAATGGATATCCTTAAATCTTAATAAATCATATTTCTCCTCTTAAGAATATATTAGCACCGAGCAGGTAGGAAATATTAATAGATATTCTACAAAGCAAGTTTAATGGATTTATCAAAGAAGTAGAGATTGCAAAATAAAAGATTATTAAGGTGATTAAAGATTGTTCAGAAAATAATATATTTACAATATTAGATAAACCCATGAATTTTGATGATTATATCAATTTTATAGAAAACAACACCAAAAATTATCTAAATGAGATTAAAAACCATCATAAGTTAACTATAAATTTAATAACTCAAGAAAGTTCAGAAATTACGCATTAATCATCTTCTTTTGATATGCAATAAATGTGTGATAAATGTTAATTGATGGTTGAAAAAGACTTAGTGTCATTAAATTGTTTTCATTGCTATCATTAAAAATGTGTTGGAGATTATATTAAGATATAAATTAACAATAATTGTAAAACATTAAGATGTCTAAATTGTTAATAAAAAATTAATACATCCATTCTAAGAAAATTTGTTCCATTTTAGTTAATAGATAAAATGTTTAAGGAACAATTAAAATCAATTAAAAATAGTTTCTTGTAAAATTAGATTTTCAGTTGTAAAAAACCTGGATGCAATTACTTTTGCATTCGACATCATGGAATAAAAGGATTGATAAGATGCTAAATATGCGAAAGCATTATAAATAACTGAATATATATATATATATATATAACTAAATAATATCAAGCATTTGTTAATTCAACAACCAATTCACTTCTTCTATCTATTAAAACATTAATATCCAAAACATTAGCAGGCCTATAATTGAATTACAACCTTTGTTTATAATAAAGAATATAATAAATAGCAATTGGAGATATCATTAATGTTAATACTTTCATAATAAATATTACAAAAATCTAATTATTAAAATTAAATTAATACGCTAGTTATAGATGATGCTTCATAATAAGATTTACAATCTGTTATTGTAAAAGCACTCATATTAGCCCAATAATCCCATCCAAATTAAATAAGACCAGATAATAAATCACATCCCAAAAATAATTTAATTTCTTATGCTTATTCATCCATTTTATTCTAATCAGAAGGCTTTAATTCTTATTTAGATATATTTAATTAATCTAGTGCATAAAATCCAAAACCACAAGCCAAAAGTGTTAAAATTACTGTAGTTCCAGATAAATATACTAAATCCATTTTCAAACAATAATAGCTTATATTTATCTAATATTTTACTCATATTCTTCATTAGATATAATTGCAGTCCAAAACCATTCTATAAATACAAACCCACTTAAGACCTTTAAAAATATTTCTAATTTTTCTAAAAAGTTTTTTTCAAATCCGATTTCTGCAAGCAAAGAACATAATAAAATTTCATTCAAAATTCTCAAACATCTAATTGTTGAAATAACAAAATCAGATCCTACATTTTTATTAATAACTTACCCCAAAAAATAAAATAGGTACTAAGCAATATTAATTAACTCATAGATATCCCATAAATAATTTTATTTAATTTCGATAGCAATTTGTTACGATCTCTAAATATTATTCGAAATCCATCAATTGCCATTATAGAAGCTGTTGTGGAAATGGCTACTTCAAGAAAAGCTTCAATGCAGTTTGCACCATCACATTAAAATAATGTTGCCATTGTATTTTTATTATTATTTTATAATTCAATTATTTCATAACAATGTAGTTTTTTAAATTAGCATAATCTGACTTATTAATTAGAAATTTTGTTATATGTATCCAAATTTTCTTATAACGAAAAAAAATGCTTCATTTTCAAGTTTCTAATTAACTAATATATATCAAAAAAATCTTTTTATTAATATCCATTTTAAAATGTTTCTATTAAATAATAAAATTCAATAAATAAAACTGAATTGACTGTTACTTTAGATAAACATTCTTCCCTTAATATAATGCATTTATATTAAACGGAGAATAGGATTTTAAAATATTCTATTCTAATGAGGATAACATAAAAATAATTGTTGAGAGCTCGTCTTTTTATTTTAATTCAAAAAACTATTATTGCCTAGATTATTTTGTTAGTTATCTTTTATTTGGTAATTAGTGATATCAAATTTTAAGAAAAATTATTAATTAAACTCACTAAGATATTTATTAATATAATAGATCAAATAGTTTTTTTTTCAAGCTATAATATAAAATTATATTTATTAAAATTTTATTTACTCTGGGATTATCTGGCGGGATCTTAAGAAAATTTTTAAAATTTGATACTTACTTGAAATATCCTTTAAATAGATGATAATTAAAATATTGAATTTAAAATAAAAACCTTTTTTGGCTAGAGATTTAATTTTTTATAAAATTGGATAATTCAAATATAGATTTAATTTGGAAAATTGGCAATTAATAAAGAAAATTAATTTAGAAGTTAAAAGTAGATTATACCTAATATAAGAACTTAAAAAAAAAATTGGAGTTATATCTTTTATTGAGTAAATCAATTAAATGTATTTCATAAAGTAATTATATAGATAATTGTAATAAAAAGATAAAAAATGAAATCAATTGTAAATAAAAGAAAAGAGGACTAATTTTGATAAGTGATTGGATTCTACTTAATTTAATTAATAAAATCAAGAAAAATTAAAATTAAAAAATAGATAAATATAAAAGATAAAAGATGAAACAAATTTTAAATATAAAAATGATACATCATGCTTTAGACAAAACTGATTATTAGAAATAAATTGAATGAGTTTTATTAATTATATTTGAAAGGAATATACATATTGTAAAGAAATGAGTAGAATTGATTAATTTAATGTTAAAAAAGTATTAAAATGATTTAATAATAATGGTTTGCAACTAAGTGTGAGTATTTAAGAGTAGAAAAAGAGTTTATAAATATATTAAATAATTAAATATGGATCCCAGATCATAAAACAATTCTGAGAATTAAATTCATGGTGATGATAATGAAGATTAAAGATCAGGGGATGAAGCAGTATTAATTAAATAAATTTTAAGGATAAGTTAAACAATTTCAAACACAATATTAATGAAGGTGGAGAAGTAATCCATGAAAACGTCAAAAAAATAGATATGAAAAAAACATTAAATGATACAACTTTCATATTAACATGTTTAAAAAATCATTTTGTATTTTACAATCTAAGTGAAGCAGAACTGTAATATAAAATGTTCATATTTTTAATAGTGAGAATATTGTAAACAAAATGTTTTATTGTGAGGCAGCTGCATAAACATATATCTTCAAATAATAGGATCATGCAACCTGTTTTTTTATATTATAGAGAGGAAGTTTAGAAGTAATTGTTAATGAGAAGGTATTCTATATATTTAAATTTTAAAGGCTAAGAGAGAATTAAAAACAGGGGATGGATTTGGAGAATTGGCATTATTATATAATGCTCCTCGTTCTGCATCTGTAAAATGCTTTGAGAATTGTAATCTATGGGGAATAGATAGAAATACTTTTAGAAGAGCAGTTGAAGAAATGATAACAAAAGAATATGAAGAAAATAGAAAGTTTATGGAAGTAGTTAGATTTTTCCGTAAGTTCTTTATAATATGTAATTAGATAATTTAACAAATGAATAGAAGGATGCAATTGCTGCAGTTTTAATAGTATAGAAATTTTATAAAAATTAAATTATTGTAAATGAAGGTGATCCAGGATCTTCATTTTATATAATCAAAGAGGTATATAGATATCTGATATATGACTTTTAGGGAACTGTTTCAGTTTTGAAAGGGAATAAAGAAGTTAGAAAATTATATAAGGGAGATTCCTTTGGAGAATAAGCTTTATATTATAATACAGTAAGATAAATGACTGTTAGAGCAGAAGATGATGTTAAATGTTTAGCATTGGGAAGAGATTCATTAACTAAAATATTAGGAGATTAAGTTCATGTTGTAACATTTAGGAATTTATAAAAATGGGCATTTGAAAAGAATGCTTTATTAAGCAAATTAACTAAGGCTTAGATTGATAAAGTTTTAGATGTTATGAAAATATCTTCATGTAAAGCTGGTGATGTGATTTTGAAAAAAGGAACATAGGCAAATTAAAAGATTATTGTTATAATAGAAGGTAGTTTAAAAAAGAGTAAATCTGGAATTACTGTTGCTACTAAAGCATAAGCATGGGGAGAGGAATATTTCTTATAAACTAATAAAGCTAAAATGTAATTATATAATTTATAATAATTTAGTTTAGATGATGATATAGTTATGGAAACTGATGGAGTTATTGCAGAAATTACAGCTGATAATTTTATAGATTGTATTGGAGGAGAATTAGAAGAAATTATTAAAAAAAATGAAAAAATCTTAGAAAAAAAATTATAAAAGTCAGATCAAACTAAAAAAAAGGAAGCTTAAAATATAAAAAAATCTGAACTCAGTCATATTAAAACTATTGCTTATGGTTAATTTGGTCCTGTTTATTTAGTTAAAGCTAAATTTAATTAATAATTATATGTTTTAAAAGCATTTAATAAAAATTAGATTAATGAACAAACTCTTGAAAAGTATTTTTATTTCATATTTTTATGTACCTTCAATAAGAGAAGCAAGTATTAGAAATTGTAAATTTTCCATTTATCATTTCATTTATGAAAACATTTAAAGATGCTTTGGATGTTTATTTCCTTCTTGAATATGTTCGAGGAATGGAATTATTTGATGTTATAAGAGATATTGGTAATTATTATTATTATCTTTAGGTCTCTTATCAACATATGATTCTCAATTTTATGTAGCCTCAATGATTTTGATTACAGAATATCTTCATCATTAAAACATTATTTATAGAGATATCAAACCTGAAAATTTCATGGTTGATGATAAAGGATTCTTAAAACTTATTGATTTAGGAACTGCTAAAATAATTAAAGGAAAACAAGGAATTATTAGAACATATACAATTATTGGAACTCCTCATTGTAAAATTATAAAATATATTACTATATAGATATGGCACCAGAAATCATTTGTGGTAAAGGTTATAATTGTCTGGTTGATTTATGGTCTATTGGTATATGCTTGTATGAATTTATGTGTGGTATGGTTCCATTTGGAGAAGAAGCTGAAGATCCATATGAAATTTATGAAGAAATCATCAAAAAAGATATAACTTATCCTAATTATTTAAAAGATAAGAAAGCCAAAAAACTTATGGATTAGTAAATTATTAGCTATTTTTATTTTAGGTTGTTATCTAGAGTTCCTGAAGTAAGATTAGGAGGTTCTTATGCAAGTCTTAAAGGAAATCCTTGGTTTGAAAATTTTGATTGGGTATCTTTTATTTTTATATACAATAGGAAAAATTATTAGAAAAAGAGATTAAAACTCCTTATTTACCTCCAGCTGATAAATTACTTCCAGAAAATGAAATCAAATAGTTTGAACAAAATGGTAGAATGATAGAAGATGAAATTAAAGTAATTATAATAAATTATTCATAAGTAAGAATAATCTGTTAGATAAATGGATGGTAATAATTAAGGAGACCAAGGTTGGGAAAAAGACTTTTGATATTTAATATTAAATAGGAAAACCAAATTTATCTAATATAATAACAATAATACACTATCTACTTACTATTAAAATATATGCTATAATATTATTCACCAATCTTGTTCTTGTTTTACTTCTGGCTATTTTTTTTACAAATCTTATTCAATTAATTTTTTTCCTTCATTTGTTATTTCCAATTTGGCAATCAATTTTATTTTTTTTCCACCTTATTCTGGTGTATATGTTTAGGTTTCAATTTTCTTAATAGTAGCATATTGCTTATATTTTTAATCTATTTTTACCTTTCTTTAAAGACTTTCAGCAACTCCAGCTACCATCTTTGTTGCTTCACCTAAACCATGCAATTCAACCTATCCAAATTTATTCAAGAAAATTTTTGATAAGAAAAAAAATTGCCCTGATGATTTCTTTAATGAAATATTCAAAACACAATCTTTTGGATCTAAGGGTTGTTTTTATTAACTCATAATAATTTAAAAAAAAAAATATTTAAAAAGAATTCCAATAGATACTTATTGATATGCTGATAAAAACATGCTTAAAAAACTATACTTAATTATAAAATTAACGTGCTTCATTAATACTTAAAAATATCTTGATTCTATATTATTTAGATTTGTTATATATTATAAATTATTTACTATTACTGAGCTTTACTTTTTATTTAATTTTCCAATTATTGAAAAATGAATATTTTTTAAAAAATTGAGTATGGATTTTTTGTAGAATTTAAAGTAAATTAATATTTTGTAATTGAAATATGGATTTTTAGATGTTATATATTTAATTGATACCATTGATGGGAATCAAAATATATTTTTTTATTAGTAATAAAATTAAGAAAATAATTATTATATATTCTTAATGAATCGGAAGAATTAAATGGCTATAAGAGTTTCTCTATAAAATGCTTTGTTTAATGGGAAGAAGAAAAATGAAGGATGGAAGTAAGGTCGTTTAAATTAATCTCCTTCAATTCCAAATAATTAGCCAAAAGCTACGAATTAATAATTTAGACATTTTAGTGATATTTATGAATATGGTAATGAATAAATAGGTAAATTGATAATTAAAGATAAGGTGAGGGAGCTCATGGGATTGTAAAGAAATGTTATAGAAGAGATACTAATACAAATAACGAAGCTTTGGATAGAATGGGATATGCTGTGAAAGTATTCAGAACTGGTGATACAGAAGTAATTAATACAATAAGAGAAACATTTCACTTAAATCGAGGACTTAATGATCTTAATTGTGTTATTAAAGCTCTTGATTTGTTTATAAATTCAAAAAAGGAAGAGCATCATCTTGTTATGGAATATTGTCCCTTTCCTAGTTTAGAATAAAGGATAGGTTCTCTTTGTGAAGAAGACATTCAATAGATTACATTAAATTTAGCATAATCTTTATTTTCTATACATTAAAGAGGAGTTTGTCATAGAGATTTAAAACCTGATAATATTTTGATAGGAGATTCTTTTACAATTAAATTGATAGATTTTGGAGTCTCTAAAAGATTTTTAGTAAAAGGAAAAGTAACTAAAAAAATAGATATGTGGACTAGAACAGGTTCATTATTTTATTAAGCTCCTGAAATATTTATGGGAGGTGGATATGATGAAAAAAGTATCAATTTATAATTAATATTTTAGTTGATATATGGTCAGCTGGTATTATATTGTATCAACTATTATTTGGATCATTGCCTTTTTAATCAGAAACAATATTAGATACAATTGATATGATTACAGATTCTAAATTAAATCATAATACTCTTAGTTAATTAAATCCGTTAATTTAAGATTTAATCAAAAGATTATTAGAAAAANTATTATTTAGATTTGTTATATATTATAAATTATTTACTATTACTGAGCTTTACTTTTTATTTAATTTTCCAATTATTGAAAAATGAATATTTTTTAAAAAATTGAGTATGGATTTTTTGTAGAATTTAAAGTAAATTAATATTTTGTAATTGAAATATGGATTTTTAGATGTTATATATTTAATTGATACCATTGATGGGAATCAAAATATATTTTTTTATTAGTAATAAAATTAAGAAAATAATTATTATATATTCTTAATGAATCGGAAGAATTAAATGGCTATAAGAGTTTCTCTATAAAATGCTTTGTTTAATGGGAAGAAGAAAAATGAAGGATGGAAGTAAGGTCGTTTAAATTAATCTCCTTCAATTCCAAATAATTAGCCAAAAGCTACGAATTAATAATTTAGACATTTTAGTGATATTTATGAATATGGTAATGAATAAATAGGTAAATTGATAATTAAAGATAAGGTGAGGGAGCTCATGGGATTGTAAAGAAATGTTATAGAAGAGATACTAATACAAATAACGAAGCTTTGGATAGAATGGGATATGCTGTGAAAGTATTCAGAACTGGTGATACAGAAGTAATTAATACAATAAGAGAAACATTTCACTTAAATCGAGGACTTAATGATCTTAATTGTGTTATTAAAGCTCTTGATTTGTTTATAAATTCAAAAAAGGAAGAGCATCATCTTGTTATGGAATATTGTCCCTTTCCTAGTTTAGAATAAAGGATAGGTTCTCTTTGTGAAGAAGACATTCAATAGATTACATTAAATTTAGCATAATCTTTATTTTCTATACATTAAAGAGGAGTTTGTCATAGAGATTTAAAACCTGATAATATTTTGATAGGAGATTCTTTTACAATTAAATTGATAGATTTTGGAGTCTCTAAAAGATTTTTAGTAAAAGGAAAAGTAACTAAAAAAATAGATATGTGGACTAGAACAGGTTCATTATTTTATTAAGCTCCTGAAATATTTATGGGAGGTGGATATGATGAAAAAAGTATCAATTTATAATTAATATTTTAGTTGATATATGGTCAGCTGGTATTATATTGTATCAACTATTATTTGGATCATTGCCTTTTTAATCAGAAACAATATTAGATACAATTGATATGATTACAGATTCTAAATTAAATCATAATACTCTTAGTTAATTAAATCCGTTAATTTAAGATTTAATCAAAAGATTATTAGAAAAAGATCCTAATAAAAGATTATCTGCAGAAGGTATAAAGATTTAATTTTATATATAGGATTTGTTTTACATCCTTGGCTACATACAACTTAACAAAAAAAATCAAATAAGAGTTTTGATGATTGTGATATCATAGAAACAAGAAATAATGAAAACATTTTATAAACTTCTTAGATTACAATTCAAAGACAATATTAGAGATATTAAAATCAATTAATTATACCTATATAAGAAGAAAGGGAATAAAGTTCTTTAAAAAATAGTTGGAATTGTTGGGAAAACCATGTTCATTATGTTCCTTAAGATATAGTCCGAATGATAAATCTTGATAATGGCTACATTAATTAAGCTGGAACATCTTAAGAATTGATAAATGATTAGAAGAAATGTGATGATTTATCAGATTTTTAAATTGGATTAGTAAGAACTAATTCAGAGTAATTTGATTAACTATGACTAAAAACACTAGATTCATCTTTTTTATTTAATATTAATCTCCACTTTATAATTTTCATTAATATACAAAAATATTCTACTTATCTTGATTCATAATATCAATTTATATAAATCAAAGGTTTTTATTAAATAATAAAGATTAAGATTATAAGAAAAAAATAAATTCTTATTATTATTAATATTCTCGAATTTTATTTATAATTAAGTAAGAATTTTGGTTGGTTAAATATGTATTAGTTGTATATTCATAGAAATTCATTTATTTTTGTTTTTACTTTAAGACATTGACTTAGTAATGGATTTATAGAAATTAGTATTTTATGAAATAAGGCCAGCTGAACTTTTACGATTAACAGGAGCATAATAATTAGTTTCAAACTAATCCTAAGTTTGTTGGAAATGATTCGCTCTTTATGATTTAGGTATTGGTGGTTGAGCAATTTTAGTTGTGTATGACATTAATTAATTAGTAAAACCCTTGTTAGGATTAATTTAAGGTCGTTTAGACTTAACAAAAGTAAAAGCTTAATAATATGTCATTTTTTTCTTCTCTATTAAATAAGCAATTACTATGGCTGCAGATCGCGAGATACCAGCCATGCAATGAACTTAGCTTTTTATAATAGATTCATACTACCTAATACACCTCCTATATTAAATCCTCTCTCTATCCAATCATTAGCTATTTAAAAATATTAAGATATATTGGTTGATTCTATATCTAATATTTCTATTTTATGATGGACAATCCCTTCATATTTTAAGTTCAATCCTGCAGCTACTGTTATAACTGTTCTTATTCCTTTACTTTTTAAGAACTCCTTAAAGATTAATATTCATTCTACATAATTTAAAGCAGATTCATAATCTCCCAACCATAGAGCTCCTCGGTCGTTGAGAATCAAATTATAATGTTATTACATAAAAATTAATATCATAAAAATTGAAGAGCATCTCCTTAATACTCAAGACTAAAGAAACTGAAATATTAATCTCCCATCTCTTATAATTCATTTCTATTGAAGCAAAATGTTAAATGTCTTGTTTCATTTGTAATTCTTAAACATTACATGAATGGTAATATTTGAAATCTTATAACATCACCTTCTCCAAAAGTAAAATTCACTTTTCTAATAATATGATATCTATTATCATTTTCCTCCTTTTTTTTTACTTCTCCTAATCTATTTACTATAAAATCAACAGAATTAGATAATTATGATGAACAAACTCCGATTAATAAATTACCTCTCAAACGAATTAAACGAGTTCTCCATTCATAACCTTCCAATCCAGTTGTAAAATGATAATCAACATAAAAATGAAGGAAATCATTTTTTTATTTATTATAGTTGTATGAATTTCTAATAAATATTATTAATAATACCTTACAAGTCTTGCAATGTATAAATTATCATTTGTGAATTGATAATTGGCATTAAAAATAGTAAAAAAATTATATTCATTTAATACAATTAAATCTCCATTTATCATTCTACCAATTTTCTCTTCATAATAATTAATTATGTCATCACAAATTAAATATTAGTTATAAAGATTCTCCAATTTTTAATCTTAAATCTTAAATAGGTTGTCTATACAATTCTTTTATTAAATGATAAATTTATTACATATTTATCGTGTTTAAATTCAAGTTCAATTTTAGGCATAATTTTATGACACTTCTAGCATTCTACAGGAATCTAAGAGCATTCTGTCTCATGTTCCTCTAGTTTATTTTATAAAATGTATTATTAACAACCTCTGCATTATTTCTTTTTTTCTTTACAATTAATAATATGGTTTTCATATTCTTCATATGGTATCACCTAAATACAATCTTATAATTCCTTAAAATACCTTAATGAACGCATTTCAATTCAATTTATGATAATAATACCTTCACTAGAGGTATCTCAGTTTTTATAAAAACTCTCTTACACTTTGGACAATTATTTTCATTTGCAAAAGTTCCCTCTTCCTCTTCTAATGTAGACTATGCACTAAAAATATATCTACATAAATACTTTTTCTAATTTAACCAAGATTCAATACAAAATTAACAAAATGATGAAAAACATCTATCTTATCCACATGCTATTGGTTTCCATAAAATATTAAAACAAATGGGACATTAAAGTAAATCAATATTAACACGAGAATTGCATAATTAAGAAATTGGAATTCCACCTTATTCTAACATTTACTCTACTGCTTCTTCTTATTACATTTCTTATAATGTAAATTTTAATAATAATAAATTTATCTTCAAAAATTTAAAGGCAACTATTAATATTTTTGATAAATTCTAGAAATCTTAATAAGCTTTATTAATATAAAATTATTTAATTATTAAAACATATTTTTAAAGGTACAATATATTATCAAAATTTAACTTCATTAATAATAAATTATTACCAATCACTTTACTAAATACCCAATTATTGTACTTTTTCATACAAATCACAGAGTAATATATTTTTACTTGGATGATTGATAGGTAATTGAAGTTTCCTATTTACAATTAATGAAAACAATTTCTTTTTATCATCCGAAATCTCCTCAGTATTATTATCTGATGTTGTTTATCTAGACAAAATACAATTATTTTTTGGGCTTTGAAGATTATCATTTGAATAACCTTCTTTATTGAATATCATTATTAATTATAACTTTTTTTACTTTTCTTTAGTCAAAGATAATATTTTTTAAATATTGAAGTAAATATAATATTTTTATTCTTTAAATGATTTTGAGTTTGTAAAATCTTTTAGATTAACAAGTTCTCTTTACAAAAGATTACTATTTTCATTTTACTAAATAATTTTATTGATTTATTATTGTATAGATTGTTAAAAAGGACAATTTTTGATTGTTTTAAAGATAAGAATTTTCAATTAATTGATTTTTTAATTTATTTCATCAATTTAGTTTTTTATTATTTATTTAGGATTATATTAAGATTTTGTTCTTCTCTATAATTGATAAATGGTATTTATATCATTTAATTTTTGATTAGAATTAACATCCAAATTTTAGGCACTATAGGGACATGAAGTAATGAGTGAAATTTCAGCTCTTGGACTATGATTGGTAGAAGATCTTTGCTTAAATGATTTTTAATCATTCTCATTCTAATTAGATAAAATTTAATGTTTTTGAGGAAGATCGTTTTTTATTTAATATGTCATTTTGTTGATTTGAGTTTTTTTTGTCTTAGATGAATTCTTAATATTTTTTGATTAATAAATTTGATTAATTATTTACTCCTCTTTAGGTTACTATTGTGATTTATACTTGCTTGTAAGAATTTAAATAATTTATTATAAGTGATTCTTGTCAAGTTAAAAGAATTGTCTCTAATTCTTCTATTATTACGCAGAATTATTTATCTATAGGCACTTTTTATTTTATTATTAAAGTGCCTACTCAGAGTTATAATTATCAAATGGCAATAATAAACTATCATTAAGCGTTTAGGATGTGTCTGACATTGATGAAAAAATTCGCTCATATTCTTTAGGTAATTCTAAACACTAATTAAAATTTGGCTTAGATATTTGAAAAGTTCTTCTTTCTTTTACTACGATATTATTATCAACAGGTTAGAAAATAGGATTCATAAATCCATTCATTTTTTATTATTATTTAAAATCTCATTTATTTATCGTATTAAAACACTTTATAATAATATATATAATTAATTATGAAAATAGAATGAAAATAACTGTATGATAAGTCTTTTTAATTCAAAATTCTTAAACAAATAATGATATCTTAATAATATAAATTTATATATTTATAAATATTTCAGTTAAGTTTTTTATGTAATCTAGATTAGAAATGCTTTATTTTTTGTTTAAGATCTTAATTTTCTTTACTTAATGATATAACTTATTCTTAATATATATCAGCTTTCTCGCATAATAATTATTTTGAAACCAAAAAATCGCTTTCCAAAGTCTAAATATACTCCTTAAGGTTCCTTTAATTGAATTATTATTTCCTTAAAATTTTGAATTAATTTTATAATAGTTATATTTAAGCTCTTTATTCCTTTAATTATTTAGTTGATTAACGAAGACATTCTTCATATTATGTGCATAATTCAGATTTTTCATCTAAAGCCTTTCTAAGATGAATTGTCACATCTTTTTCTTCATAACTTTCTTCAAAAAATTCAAAAGCTGTTATATTTATATCATCTCTTTAATTTTAATCAGTAGAATGAGCTGTCCATTATAATTAATAATTTTCAGAATGCACTTTGTCTTTATTTTCATCATAAGTTTCCAACTTATCTTTCAATTCATTTAATTAAGAAAGTAATTCTTTATTATTTAATGTTAGTTTATTATTTTATAGTTTTAATGCTAAAGCTTATTTCGATATTTAACTTATTTAGATATTTTATTTCTTTTATAATTGTAATGAATACATTAATTTTAATTTCTATACTATTTTTTTCATTTTAATAATGTTCTTTCATTAATTCCATTTATCTTTACATTTTTATTAACTGTTAGTTTAGTTCTTAACTTTCATCCAATAATTATTAATTGATATTTGTCAACTAATTGATTGTGTTCCTGTCAAAAATCTATTAATTCACTTTCATTTCCAACTAGAATTAGTTAATTTTATACTTCTCTATCAAGTGAATATAATTTTTCCTCTAAATAATGCAAAGTTTCTATCATCTCAATTTTTTCCTGTTGCTCATCATTACTACTTTATTAGATTTGATCTAACAAATATGTATTCAATTTTCTCTCCTATTCTTATAATTACTCAAAATGTTTCATCTAGATTGCGTCAATCCTTTAATTTAATTCGTTTATGCAACTATTTTCAAACAGTTCATTTACTTTTTTAGTTGCATTATTTCATCTTCTTTATTATATTGTCTAGATCCATTATTTAATTGACTCATTGCTTCTAACTATTATATTTTTTCATCTTTTTCCATAATTATATCTATTGCACTCTTTTCAAGATCCTAAATCTATAATTACAATTGAGATATAAATTATTTCATGTTATTTAACATTTGGCTTTTCTAATCTTAATCTAAATGCTCAAATTCTTCTATATATTTGTTATCCATAATAATTATTATTAAAATGGACATTATTTACAAATTTAGAGCTGGTTGTTTCTTCTTCAATCTAAAATAACTCAATAATCTTTTATTATTCTATCATTAAAGAACAAATCTCATTAATTAAAGTGACTGGCTTAAGTCAGTTAAGTTTTTATTTATTATGCCCCTAAGAACAAACACCACAAATCTCTAATTTAATTCCCAAATGAATTCATTTTAGATGTTTTCATTGAAGAACCTTGATTTTAAACTATAAGAACATTAAAAAAGATTAAATGACTCATTTTTCAAATTTAATTAATTAATAGTTATTTAAAAATAAAAACCAATATACCTTATTTCAATATTTTATATAGAAATTCTCTTAAAATATTTATTCTTTTTATCTCTAATATTATATTTTTATAATTATTAATTATTATAATTGAAATACTGAATTAAAGTTGTTTATTTTATAAAATATGATATTTATTTTTCGCATAAAACCTAGTTTTTTATTCAAAGTATATTTATAACTCCAATAAAAAGCTTAGTTAGCTTCATTTTTGAAATAAGAAAAATAACAATTAGAAATAATTAAAAAGTTAATATTAATAACTGTCTTTAAATCCCAAAAAAACTGTATGAATTTTAAATTTGTTTTTTTCACATAATTATTCTTAATAAATATATTCGTTAATATATTTGACTAATTAGTTTTATAATTAGTTTATTTTTAAATTAAGCAATTTTATTTATGGAATCTAGAAAGATTTATTTTAAATATAGAAAATAAAACAATGCTAGTGCATATACTAAATATACTATAATTACAGTATAAGATTTATAATTTAATTTGACATTTTTTTTATGTATTTCTTATCAACGATCTGCTGTTAGTAAAAATAAAAAAATTCAAAAAAAGTAGAACTAATGATTTAACAACACTGTTTTAAAAAAGTTCTAATAAAATAAAATTTAGAAGCTATAATAAAAAGGAGATGAGATAAACAATTTGATTAAGTACAAATTTGATTGATTATTTTATTTGAATTATGGGTTGTTGTATTAATAGTCCTTATATCTATCCTGATGGAGGAGTATATGATGGTGAACTAAAAAATGGTCTTCCTGTATGTCATTATTTTAATATAGAATGGAAAAGGTAAAATATAGTGGAAAAATGGAGATTATTTTGAAGGAAATTTTGAAGGAGGTTAGAAAATTGGTAAAGGTATATTTAAATGGAATGATTAATCATATTATGATGGAGAATTTTAAAATGAAAATTTTCATGGCTATGGTGAATATTAATGGTATGGAGGAAAACTGTACAAAGGATAATGGGTAAATGGGAAAATGGATGGACAAGGAATATTAATAGATGATGGAAAACAATATCAAGGTACAATAATTTATTTATCTGATAAGGTTAATTTAAAAATGACAAGAAAGAAGGTCAAGGTGAAATGAAATGGTCCAATGGTTAAAAATATATTGGAGAATGGAAAAATGGAAAATAACATGGTAAAGGTTAATTGATTGATGCTCATGGTCATGTTATAGATGGTTAGTGGATTAAAGGCAAGAAATAATGATAATTATTTGTTTATTTTCGAATGTTTCTGTTTATATTTTTTTGTTATTATCAATGTCCGTTTGTCAATTCTAATATTCTTATATTTATTTTTTAGATTTCAATATCACTCAAACTATTTGAGATCAAATAATAATTCCATTAAAATCATAATAAAGTATTCCAAAAAAATAAAAATCAACGTTGAAATATTAGATTATTCAAATTTAAATTAAAAATTTAACTAACATTCATAATGTACCTTAAATTATTTTGTTTAAAATTTCTTATTGATTGAAGTTCTTTAAATGATGAAATTATAGATATACCTGAGTTGCTCATTTTATCATTCATTCGAAATTTTTATTTATAATAGTATATGCATTAAATTAATATTATTAAGTTATGTCAATTTATAATTATTTTAATCTCAGTATCTTAAAATTTTAAAAAATATAAGATAACCTTTATTATAAATAATAAAACATTAGTCTCGTATACAAACATACGATTAAATAGAGATAATTGTTACAGAATATTAAGGATTTTAATAAAAAAAGAGCACTTTATTTTATTTTTATGTATTATTCATCTAAAAAATTAATACTCTCATAATTCAGACTCATTATTAGATATAATTATGAATACTTGATTTATTATTAAATTTTAATATTACAGTTGTTAAAATTAAAAATTACAAAAATCGATTAATTTTATTTTTTAAATTTAATCATATTACTTCTCTTAATGAACCATAAGATTAATAAATTATTACTTACATCGAATAATCATTGTCTTGAATAATTTATAGATTAACTTAATGTTTTTTGAATTATTTCCACGATAAATAATTAAATTAAAGTAATTTTTATAAATATTGATTTTTAGGAGGCCTTAATATCTTTTATTATTTTTAAATCCTATAAGATAAAATAATTAATTAGATTCAAGGTTGGATTTAATCTTTCCTTAATTTAAATTAATCCAAATCAATTTTTTTTATCCAAACTCATTTAAATTAAATAATTCAGTTGAAAGAAAAAAATCTTATTAATTTAAAGAATCACATTGAATGATCTTTAATTCTGATCTATACACATATAAAGTTAAGTTATGAATTAGCATATTAAAATTATATTCATTCACATTCACTCCAGTTCTATTAAGTAAGTCTTTCATTTAAACCAATTAGATTTCTGTTATCACTTGATCTGGCAGTGAATAAATGAAAACCTTTAGCGCTGATAGTAACATCTGTATCTCTTTAATATAACTTTAACATCATACTTTCTTAAATTGATAGTGAATGTCTTTTTGGGTAATTACATTTTAGCAGGTCTTTTGCCCTTAAATTTACTATGACTTCCAATCGATATGTCGTCTGAAAAATTATTAAAACTTTAAGGAGAATATTCTTCGCCAGAGTAATTATGAAAATTTTCTAAAAGTCGGAACTCATCTCTATCTTCAAGATATTAATTCATTGCAATCTCAATTCTTTCATCTCTTAAGATTGCAAGATCTAGTTATTGGTAAAATTTTAAAAATACCTTTTAATTTTCCTTTTTATTCTTCATTTATCTATTTTTTCTAACAAAGTGTGTATATTTTGTAAAATAGTTTTCCTTCAAAGCTGTCTATGCTCTCCATTTAATTATATTAATATAATAAATATAAACAATTTATTGAGAAATATTACAATATTGTAAAACATTATTACGTTCTTAATTAGAAAGGACTGCCAAATAAAATTTTATTATGAAAAATAAATAATATAATTTTCATAAAATTTTGACATTTTAGAGTTGGTTAGTCAATTTGAATTATTATAACTAAAATTCATAGTAGTTTTACAATTTACTTTATCTTTATCAATATTCCACACTTTAAAAAAAAGTTGTAAGTTTTATATAGATTATGTTTTAAATTGTGAAAATATATTGATTCTTATCTAGTCATCATAAAAATTTTATCAAGTATATAGAAATCTATTTTTAAAAACAAAGCATCAATAAAAACATTACGGTACATATTCTTTGCAAATGTAAAAATTTATTAAATAACAATAAATTGTTAAAATTTTGACATAAACGTAAAAAATTTGATTTCAGCTTTTTTATTTGATTCAAAATGATATTCAATAACCATGAACTGTATGAAAAAAATAAATTAATATGTTCTAAAGGCATTTGGTTAAAGGAATTATAATATTTCAAAATTACAATTTTTTATCGAAATTAAAATAAATTAGTTATAAGGAAACAATAATTAATAATTTTTTAGATTTACAGAAATCTGTTTGAAATTGCTTTATCGGCTGTTTAAAATATTAAAAATATAACCCTAAAAATGAGAAAATTAATTAGAAATAGGCTAAAGATTGTCATATTTTACCTTATATATTGTGTTATTTTCAGCAATTAGAATAAAGTAGTAAATTTTGATGAAAAGATATAATTTTAGATTATTGTTAAATTGTGTATTTTTATGACTGAAGAAGAATTGTTTTCAAAATTATGAAAAGAAAAATTAAGTTCAGTTTAAAAATAGAAAATTTTGTTTTTAATTTGATGTTTGTAATAAACAAATTAGGTTACTTTAATTTTTTGTATTTATTTTTTAAACAAAAAGAAACAAATCAAACCTTAAACGTTAATAAAAATTAATTAAATTTCTAATTTATATTTATAAATTTGATAAACAAGAATAGGTAATATTAAATCTTAGAAGAAGTGTATTTTAATTTGAAATGAATTTTAAAATATTAGATTTATTGAACGATAGATTAAAATAATATTATTATAAGATAAACTGAGATTACTTCTCTTTGTAATTTAATAAGAATCAATATGAATTACAAAATATAATTTAATTTTTATTGATATAATTAGTCAAATGAAAATTGTTCATTTTTTATAAAAGGGAGCTGATAGCTTTCTTATTCTTTTATAAGGATCTTCAGATTTTCTAGGAACATTTAATCTTTGAATTAAATCACCTTACTAAGTAGCTAATTATTAAGTTTTTAAGTATTATTTAAAAGATTATGCACTTGGTGTTTAAGCCATTCTAAAACAATCTTATTAAGGTATTGGTGGACAAGGTTCATAATCTCTTAAAGATGTGAAAAAGTTAGTTTTTCTTTGAAACTTTTTGGATGAAGGAGCTAATCCTCCTTCATCAGCACTTGAAGATATAAAATGTAAATTACATTACATAATTATCTCTTCCTGATCCGTCACTTTGATAATGTCTAAATTTAGGGACCATCATAGGAGCAGGAGGTCTCCATTATTTTTGTTTACTAAAAGTTCCTAATTCAGGATGAACACATTAAATTTAAATTTCTTTCCAAATTCCTCCACTTTATAAAGTAACATAAGAATCTCTACCTTATAAATTAATTCTTTAAATATACCTGTTCCATCTGGTGGGTAGTGAATCATTTTAGATTCAAGAGCTCCTACAGTTGTACATCTTTACAATTTTGACATTGATATTAATTAATATATAAAAAAATAATTGATATAATACTACTAATTATATTATCTAATACCATTTAAGTCAATTACCTATTTCATTTCTCATTATACATATAGTATTTTACAATTTGAATAAATTATATGATCTAAATATTTTTTACTTAGAAAAAACAATTAAATTGTGTTGTGTAATTTTTTTTATTCATTTGATTATGAATTAAATATTATCAGAATAATATGAAAGAATTGCTTTATTCCACAAGATTATTATTAATATAAATATAATATTATTAATGAGATATGAATAAAAGAGTTAAAGTGAGTTTGTTTTAGGAATAGCTTTTTTGGTTTTGAGTATGATTTACACAACAATTTTTTGTTTTGGAACAATCAAATATTGTAAGATTGGAAGGAAAGCAAAATACTTGGGAAAAATATTTTATCTTTCTATTGTATTTTCTTGTTTAGCCTATATGTTGAATATGGCTTTATATTTATATGACGTATATTTAGACATGTAAAATAGGTTTTTGATTAAAATTCAGCTGATGATTATATTTTGAGCATAGAAAAATAGCTGTTAAATACAATATACGTTCCTGATGGATTATTTTGGATAGTTTATTAATCATTATTTTGGACAGTGATTTGTTAGCATTATGATTCACATTTACAAATAGGTTAAGGTGACGAACTTCCATATAATCCAAATACTTTGATTCATGCAATGAAAGATGTTTTATTAGTATATGGAATAGCTTAATTAATTGTAGTATTGTTGTATAACTTTGATTACATATTAGCAGGAGTATTATTTTATATAAATATCGTTATCAATGTATCGATACCTATTTAATTTATGATTACATCATTTTATTTACAATGTAAATATAGAGGATCCCCATTTAAATCATCTAAATAAGAAAATATTTCAAATAGATTATAGAAGTTAATCTTTTATTGGACAATCTTAAGAATAGTTTAGATAATTAGCAATATTTTATTAATGGAAAATTAAGATAAGATAAAACAATTCTTTTAATCAGAACTGAGTTAAAATTAACTGCTGCTATATATTTTAATATTGATAGTTGATTTATTATTAGCAAATATTTTCCCATTTATTTTAGCATTAAAATAAGAGACTTTTTCTATATTTTTGGGAAATAGAAATGTTACTATGAGTACTGTATCAGAGCATCCAATAAATTAATAATTTTTGAATAATGATAGTTCTGTTGATGAAAAAAAACAAATATAATTTGATTATAAAGAGCTAATGAAATAAAATTAGACTCAATAAATAAAAAGATAAAAGACAAATGGTTTAGGTTATATAATGATTTGTCAGATTTAATAAAAGAGTTATGGAATGAGAATAATAGAATTTAAATAATTATAGCCATATTTGATTGAATAAATAAAGTAAGAAATAGAATAAGTAAATTAATTAAATAATGAATATCTTTATCATATTTATGGATTGAATATTTAAGATAATAATGTAGTGTATTTAATAAAGTTTTATTAATATTCATTGCATAATTATTTAATCTAATATTAGATTTCAATAGAATAGAAGATAAAAATATTAATTTAAATATTACAAGGACTTAGTTATTTACATAAGCAAAGACTTTGTCATGGTAGTTTAACAAGTGAAAATGTTATGATAAAATAAAATGGTCAAGTGAAAATAGGTAATAACAGATTTAATTTTTAGTTGATTTTGGTCTTTTTGGAATAAAGAAATATTAATCACTTTTACATTTTTATACAAATAAATCTGGTTTTACATCACCAGAATTAATAACACAAAGAGGTTAGGTTATTAGTGGATCATAAGAAGGAGATATTTATAGTGTAGGTATGATAATGTATGAGATGTTTGAGAAGAAAGTACCTTTTGAAGGATTATAATTATAAAATGTTTAGGAATGTCTTAATAAGGCTGTAAGACCTAAGATTGAATCAAAATCATTAATGGATGATATAATTAGATGGTGTTGGTAATAAGATTTTGATAAGAGACCAAAAGTTGATTAGTTATTAAATGTTATTGAAAATATATAAATAAAATGAGTGGTATAATAGTTGTTTGTTCAAATATTTTTGAGACAGAATTCTTAGATCAAATATTTATCTATTATGAAAACAAGACTATGGACACTATTAATTTTAAGGATAGAATAATTATAACTCCAACCAAATTACATTTATCAGAATATCCAATTAATAGAATCAAAGAGGATATGTCATATCCTTCACTCAAATTATAACTAATTGAAAGAGAATAACTTTCAGTATTAATGAATGTTCGTAAATCCTATTTCATTAATCATAATCGTTATTCAAATTATAAACACTTTAAATATTGACCCAACTAAATACTTTAAGAATAAGTGGGTTTTATTGAAATATCCTTTAAAGAAGATGATTGTATAAATCAAATCAGTTATTTTTGATTAAGAATTTACTTACAAAGGTTTCTCTTTAGAAGAAATTTCAAAATTAAATACTAATTAAAAAGCAAAACAATGTCTATTATTGGAATAGAATTGTCAATAATAGTTCATATAATACTTAAATTAATTTAATAATTTATTATTAGAAATAAATAACTTTAATTCAAATAATAATATCTAGAACCATGTAATTGAGTATTCAATAATTTAACCATGATTTTAAATTGTAGCATCCAGAACATCAATTAAATTTGAATATTACTATTTTGATTTTTTCTTTAAAAATCTACTAGATTTACAACATCTTTTACTATAAATGAGCTATTGATTTTTGAAATAAGAGAAATCATTGAATTTAAGGACAAGTTTAAATAATTTTTAGATAAATTTGATTCCTTCATCAAATCTAGATTATATAAATATACTAATCATAAATAAACGATATTAATAATAGTTTAAAGGAAATTTTAGAAAATATGTTTCTGATGATATTTAAGATTAAGAAATTGATGGATTATTATCCATGTTGACTAAAAATTTAGGAAGTATTAATGGATTTATAAATAATAAGAAGAGTGCAGAATTAGTTATTTGAAAGAGTGATATGATAATAGCTTTTCTGCATATCTTAGTATTAACAAATATCTTAATAAATATAAAGCTTCTTATGGAGATTTAGACCAGATTCTCACTCTTCTTTTACCAAATTATTATGAATCTCATGGAATTTTAGCTGCTTAAATTATTGTATTTGCAGTATATGATTATACTTAGATTATGAAATAGAGAATTTAAGGAGTTATTTAATTAATATAGAGATCAAAGATTAGCTTAATAAATCTTAAATCGAAATTGTTAAGGTCTAAATTAAAGATGTCAATTCAGAAAGATATTTCACTTATTATGAATAGAATCTATACTTGATTATCTCTATCTTTTTATTTAGGGAATCTTACTATTCCAAAAATCCATAAGTAGGTTTTATAATAATTATTAATGAAAAGTAGGGTAGATTATAAAGAAGTGAATAAGAATGTTTATAAGCATAATAATTACACATTATCATTTGATTTTCTTCAATTTCAATTTGAGCTTTATGACTTATTTACCTACATCTCTTCATTATGCTAAAAAATTATCATAATATCAATTTCAGAGTGAATTGTACAAAAAAGCTATAGAAAAAAGGATTTTTGTTGTTTGTTTGATTATGATTACAAGTATCAGAAAAATAACGCACNTCTATTATTGGAATAGAATTGTCAATAATAGTTCATATAATACTTAAATTAATTTAATAATTTATTATTAGAAATAAATAACTTTAATTCAAATAATAATATCTAGAACCATGTAATTGAGTATTCAATAATTTAACCATGATTTTAAATTGTAGCATCCAGAACATCAATTAAATTTGAATATTACTATTTTGATTTTTTCTTTAAAAATCTACTAGATTTACAACATCTTTTACTATAAATGAGCTATTGATTTTTGAAATAAGAGAAATCATTGAATTTAAGGACAAGTTTAAATAATTTTTAGATAAATTTGATTCCTTCATCAAATCTAGATTATATAAATATACTAATCATAAATAAACGATATTAATAATAGTTTAAAGGAAATTTTAGAAAATATGTTTCTGATGATATTTAAGATTAAGAAATTGATGGATTATTATCCATGTTGACTAAAAATTTAGGAAGTATTAATGGATTTATAAATAATAAGAAGAGTGCAGAATTAGTTATTTGAAAGAGTGATATGATAATAGCTTTTCTGCATATCTTAGTATTAACAAATATCTTAATAAATATAAAGCTTCTTATGGAGATTTAGACCAGATTCTCACTCTTCTTTTACCAAATTATTATGAATCTCATGGAATTTTAGCTGCTTAAATTATTGTATTTGCAGTATATGATTATACTTAGATTATGAAATAGAGAATTTAAGGAGTTATTTAATTAATATAGAGATCAAAGATTAGCTTAATAAATCTTAAATCGAAATTGTTAAGGTCTAAATTAAAGATGTCAATTCAGAAAGATATTTCACTTATTATGAATAGAATCTATACTTGATTATCTCTATCTTTTTATTTAGGGAATCTTACTATTCCAAAAATCCATAAGTAGGTTTTATAATAATTATTAATGAAAAGTAGGGTAGATTATAAAGAAGTGAATAAGAATGTTTATAAGCATAATAATTACACATTATCATTTGATTTTCTTCAATTTCAATTTGAGCTTTATGACTTATTTACCTACATCTCTTCATTATGCTAAAAAATTATCATAATATCAATTTCAGAGTGAATTGTACAAAAAAGCTATAGAAAAAAGGATTTTTGTTGTTTGTTTGATTATGATTACAAGTATCAGAAAAATAACGCACTATATTAACAAAAAAATAAATAGTAATAAACAGAATAATGACCTTTATTTACTGTATGACTAATATTTTAATATTTTTCATTATTATAATCTCACAATTGAGTCACCGTATTTGGTACTGTTCTTTAATATAGCAATACTTATTTTGAATAGAAATCTGGTACTGCTTGATATTCAACTTTTTACTATTAAATGTTTTTAATTAATTTTTACTTTCCTATATAAATATGGGAATGTGATTCCATTAAATGTATTGAGATAGATTATTAGAGTTCCACCAACCAATATTCCTAAGTATGCTTAAATTCCAACTCTAGCTCCATAATACACTGGATTTAATGAAAACTTTAATGATTTTGGGAAATGTTTGCTCATTTGCTCAAACTTACTATTGTCCATAGCCATTTTTATTTATTAAAATTATATATTATATATATTTCTAAATTTATATTCATTTATATTTCCTCATTAGGTAGCTTAATTTTTTTGGTATTCCTTTCTAAAATATTATATCTAAAGGAATCTATCTAATACTTTCTCTTCCTAATTCAAATTTCTATATAAAGTTCATTGCTACAAATATTTCTATAAATAGAGTAATAAATAACATGAAGATACCAAAAATTAAAATGTAAATAATGTTAGATTCAGTTAATTGATTTAAAGTAACTTTTGTTAAATTTTAAAAGTATTAGCAAAACTAAGAAATCTAATATTAGGTAGCATCAAGACCATAAAACATATATAATAAATAATGATTGGAATTGTGCATTTAAAATATCCCTTTCATTCGTTGATCATTCATTAATTGATCATCAGTTATTAAGTAATTATATTCAATAATCACTTAAAATGTATTTTTTATTAATTATATTAGACCAACTTAAAAATAATCTTTCAATTTATCATTAAATAATCTATTTAATAATAGATCTTAACTCATATTACATCCTGTCAGTATGCAAATATCCTATCCTATTAAAATTTATTTATGTTTTTCTGATATTTATAAATTTTTATTTTGTTCTATCGAATTACCATACAAAAAATCAGTTATATCATATTTTTACAATAGTTGAATTTAATTCAATAAAAATGTTTTATTAATTTCCATCAAACTAAAAAGCTGTTAATTATTTTTAATATTCTAATTTGAATAATTAGAATAATTATATTGATCAGATGAATCTTTTGACATCATATAAAATTATTTTAACATATAGGTGTCCCACATGTTAATTGTAAGAATGAAATTAAATCTCATCAATTAAGCATAAATTTCTCTCTTTGCTGCAGGAGCTACACCAGAACCTACATAATCATAATAAATCTAGAAAACAGCAGAGAAGATAATTTTTAGGATTATCAATATAAGATATAAAATAATGAACTTTTTTAGTGACAAAGTTGGTGATTTGAAAAATATTTTTTTTACTTCTATCGCTAATCTGCTCCTTTTATTCTATCTTAAATTGCTATCTATCAAAACTGAAATTGAATTAGTTTCTTAAAATTATATTAGTGTAAGGATGCTTGTAGGAATTTATTTAATTTAGTCAAAATGATTTTATTTTAACAAAAGATTATCTAAATTGATATTTTCTTATAATCTTTCATAATGATTTATAATAAATTCACTTTCATTAAACTCAATAGAAACAAATTAATTTAAATAAATTTAAATTACTTTTTTTAATCTTAAAATTGCTAAAACATGAAAAACACCAAATACTAATGCTATGCAATATAACAATAAGAAAATAATTAATACCAATTAATCATATTATTCATTTACTTTATCATTATATTCATCACAATTAATAAGAGATGAATTTACTTATGATAAAATTTCTAAATAATTAAAATATAAGAAATATCTGTTTCTTAATCTAAAAATAAAATATTTTAATACTCTAAATTGCTTTCATTATTATTAAATAAATATTTGTTAAGGGATAAGTCATTTTAAAATGAAAGATAAAGTTCTTAATATAATGTCGTATAATGAATAGCAAAACTATTTAATTTTTCACTCATAATTATTTAATTTGAGAAATCTGGATAATATAAATTAACTGGTTCATCTTCATAGGATAATAGAATTTTAGAATACTTTGAATATTTTCCTAACACTCCTTACATACTTTAAACTAATATGTGCCATGATATATTTATTCTATCTCTACTTGAAATACTTATAATTCCATCATCAGCTTATATTTAAATAGGATTTAAGGATGTCTAAAAATTTGAATGAAATAAAATTTGCCTAGATCCAGATAGTATCAAAGAGTAGCCGTTAAAATAATTAACATCTTCAGTGCTATTTACAACGCAATTTTATTATATTTCTTTTTTATAAAAATAAACAATGCAGATCATTCCAATAGAAAATATTGTTATCAATATATGTATAGATATTATTCCATAAGTTGCCATAAAAACAGAGGGATGGCGATTTTCTTCAAGAAATTCAAAAAATTTGTGTACTTTATTTGGAATATTAAGAATAGATGAATTTTAGCTTTAAATTTCTTAAAGATGATGTTAAAATTCTTTGAATTTTATTTAAGATTGTCTTCTATTTTTATTTAGAGGAACATCCTAAATAATCTATTATTCTTCTCCATTATAAGAGATCATCTTATCACTACTTATAAAGTTGATACTTTCAAATTAATATTACTAATATGTTGACCTTCTTTACAATTCAATATTTTTCTTTGTAATTTACTACCATTTTAAATATTACTTACTTTTTATTTTTTGTTCTATGTTTTTTTTAAAATCTTCTAAAAATTCTATTTCTATCAAATAATATAAAAATGGTTCCAAAATTTATTCACTGCTATAAGGATGTAGAATCTTTTAAATAACCGTTAATTCTATTGGATAGTATTTTGTATTATCATCCATATTTTAGTTATTTTAAATTTTCATTGTTTTTTCAATTAAATTGAGAAGTAATTTTTTATTTGTAAGTTTAATTGAAGATAACTTTTTAAAATTTGATTTTTATTCAGATTATTATTATTTAATGTATTGATAATCTATTTTCATAAGACTCTTCTCTTTAAAAAATATAACTTCATTTTCTTTTAATAAACCTCCTTACATTTTTTCATAATAATTCTATAAATTTGATTATAATTAAGGAATTAAACAAAATATATTGAAATTCTTGTAAATTTCTTCAGGAGTAATTAATTTTGCATCTTAACTTTATTTAAAATAGAATTTGTAATTAAGTTTTTCATAAATGTTTTATGTAATTCCAAGTATTTTGAATTCTTTGTCTAATATTATATGTCCTTTTAAATTTTAATCCTAAAAATTTTATTAAATTTTAGAGGTTTTTTAAATATGAGCGATCATGTAAAATGATAGGTCTCTTAAATTTACTGGGAAAAAATAACTTAAGCATAACTTAACTTATTCAATAAGATTCTTTTTATTTAGAATAAATGCAAGTGAAGAATTATTTATTCTTTCACTCTATCCTTTAAAAAAGAAATTTTCAACTAATCCAGAATGTACATCACCTAATTTGTTTGGCATTAAATATTTTATATGAGTCAATGATTATCCTTCTTCTTCATTGTATCCGAAAAACTACTTAAATTCATTAGTGAGTTTTTATTCTAATCTACCTTAATGTTCTGGACTAATATTTGAAATAATAGATAGAGCTTAACCTGTAAGAAAAGATAAATTATTAAATTCATTTAAATTAATCTCATAATGAGAAGCTTATTCAAATTCATTTAATTGTTATTAAATTTTAAATGTTATTTTAAGATCCTAATAGATTATTAAATAAAATAGAAATTTAATTTTTAAAGAGTATATTGTTTCTTTACTTTAATTTCTATATTTTTAGTATTCTTCAAATTATCTTTTGGATTATTTTTTTAATTTCTAAACTTAATCAACAGCTCTTAATAGATGATCAAAATTTAATAATTAATTTTTTTAGTAGTCTTCCCATAATTATTTTTATGAAAGAAGCACTTCTTAAAGACTTTAAATTATTTAATCCCCCAATATTTATAAAATGTTTATATCAGTAATAATAAAATATTCTTATTATGTTATTTTAATTTGTTTTAATGATTGATTCATCAATTTTAATCTACATTTTTACCATATCAAAAACAAAATGGTTTTAGTCACATCAAATATCTTTTCTTTTTTTTAAATCTATTATTTAACATCAATACACTAATATATTGTTTTACAAGTTAAAACATGATTTTCTAAGTAATATTTTTAAAAAGATAAATAATTAAGAATTATCAATTCCTATTATTTTTTATTATGCTTATCTTATTTATTTCTTAGTTAGCTTTTATAAAGATAAAGAATCCAATTTTTTAAAATAAAGTTTTTTTGTTTTGGGTTTTTTTCTAATGTTATTCTATCTATTTCAAGAATTTCAAATTCCTTGCAAGGACACAAAACATCAACACAATTATTTTTATGAATTAATAATTGAATTACTAATTCAATTCCTTAAGACTCTTCAGAAATAAAATAATCAATTGATTCAACTAAATAGCAAAGACTAGACCCCATACAAAATTATTATATAGTTTTTTTGATTTATCTATTGAGTAGAGATTCAACAGTATACCATAATAACTAAAATAAAAAAAATATTACTTGACTTGTAATAAAAAAAGTAAAGAAAAAAAATTTATCATCTTTAGTTATAACTTTCCAAATAATTAAAAGCAAATTAAAAAGAATGCTTAATATTGAAATTTAGTTAAATAAAATGGATAATTGATTTAAACCAAAAACAAATTTATGTCCAATTCTTAAATGCATGATAATAATAACAAAATGAATTCCATGGATAAATATTATATTTGATTCTTATTCTTAATAAATAATAGATAGAGCAATATAACAAACAATAAGTGGAGGTATAAAAAAAGATTCAATATAATCATATTTTAGTAAATCCTTTTAATGGATTTCCCTTTTTGTAAAAAAAAAGTTTGAAACAATAGAACTAATTATTACTAAAATGGTACCCATAATACTAATGAGTAAAATGAGATAATTATTTTGATTATTTAATTAGTTTTAATCTTAATAAAATATTTTCCTTTTAGTTAAAGCTTGAATAAAAACAATTTATAATGGACATAAAAGGATCCAATTAAAGTATACAAAATAAACTTTAATTATTCTAATTTACTATTTATAAATTGTTGATATTTTACTTCGTGTGTTATAATTGAACAGATAATTACTATTACAAAAATTATAATTAAGAATATTAGTGTAGCGCATGATAGAAAGTCAAGGCCAAAATATTTAATAGCTTCTACTATAGTATTGGCATATTATAAAATAGTAAACAAATATTGATTTTCTTATAATATACTTGAATTTTGATTCTCATTCATTACTAAAAATCCATTTATTTAAAAAAAATAGATCCACAAGATAAGTTGATCAGCAATAGAGAATTTTTTCTTAGTCTAATAGCTTTCCATTAATGATATCTGTAGCAAATATTCAAAAATCCTATAAATCATTTGATGTATTCTAATATAATGATATCAATTTTTAATTAATGAAACATAAAAATTAGAAATCATAAAATCATTTTTCATATTTTCTTCGAAAGCTTTCTAAATGCTTTGGAATATTTCTTGAAAACAAGATTGGTAATGGTATAGATTTAATTATTGCTTTAGAAAGTACATATCGTTTGAATTAATAATATCCAAAAAAGATTTGAAATGTTGAAACAAAGATTAATATAAGCATTCCAATTAATAGAATAAAAGCTTAGTTATACCTTGTTAATCTATCTATTGTTTATTAAGATATATCTAAAAAGTATTAACTAAATTCGCTTATTTGAAATTAAATAATATCGATTCCCCATAATATATAAATAAGATATTCACTATCATCAAGAATACTCTGTATTGCAAGTGCTTTCTATAAATAAGATTAATTATTTTTGAAAATTAAATAAGATGCTCCTTCTACAAAAGATAATACCTTAGATTACAAATTAACAATTCCTGCTTAAAAAAGTGGAATTAATTCTTTTTAATGTAACCTATCATAAAATAATTGACTTTGCATATCACAACCTGTTAAAAGACAAACATCTTATCCTAAAAGTTATTTCCATTATATATCACTAAGTTCTGAATTTGATTATTCATTATTTAGTATTAAACTAGTAAAATCTATCATTTTTAATCTTGAAATATCTTATTAAATTAATTCTTCATCTAAATTTAATAAATTCAATATAAAAGTATCTGTTTGAATGTTTCTACTCATAATTTGATGACCTGGGTCAGATCCATTAATAAGAGCATAAGTTTCAAAATATTGTTTTATTAAAAATAAATCGATTCGATTTGTAGCAACAATAAAATTCAACCTATTATTTTAGGCTAAAATTGCCCTATTACTTATTGGCCCTATAGAATTAGTTATTTATAGATAATACAAATGAAAAGCAAATATATATGCAATTATAATTATTGAAAATAAGAAAATTATAGCTATTGAACAATAGCTTGAATAGTTAGAATTTTCTTAAAATTGTTTATTGTTAATTCTTTTTTTTTTAACAAATACCACCGTTGCTCTATTTGAACTTTTTCTAACATCATCCAATATGAATTAAGGTAAATTCAAAATTAATTTATAATCTTTCTACCTTAAAAAGATTCTGTTATATGATACCATACTTATTAATTAATCACATGAATGTAAAATTTGAATACAATCTTCTTTATCTAACATTTTAAATAGCTTCAAATAAACTTTGATTGTATGAACTACTTTTAGATAATTAATTATTTAGAATATTAATTAGAGAATAATTGTTAAGTACATTCCTAAAAAATAATAATTGACAATCTAATCAAAATAATCATTCATTTCTATATTATAAATTTGACAATCTTCTAGAGTTTTATTAGCACTTTCGCTAACATCAAAAAAGTTATAATAAACCTATGATCTAGCAATTTAAGTCATGTAAGAATCGTTTCTTCCTGATAAATAGGTTTGAGGGGAGGAAGCAAATGATTAATAAGACATATAAAATAATTGTTGCATAATTTGATAATAAGTTGAGTAATCATAGAGAGTTTGAGATATTTTACTTTTTAAATCAAAGTTTATAAAATAGAAAGTAATGTTTTTGATGTCACTTTATTAAGCAATTTTTGAATAATTTAAATACATATTATTAAGTCTAATACTTCCTTTTGCAATATGTTGCCAAGCTATATAAATTTTATCATATCTACTTACATTAATTTAAATATTATTAAATGGTATAATTGTATCATTTTAAATAGGATAAAAATCTCTATAATAAATTACATGCCGAGATCCTGACATAGTTTAACTATATGCATCTAAAAAATTCAAATCTAATGTTATTTATTAGATGCAATTAGATTAAATACTCTTTTTATGTAAAAAGAGATTAGATATTATAATTATGATTAGTATTAATACTAAAAATTATAAGAGAAAATGAGCAATTAAATCTTTGATTGGTTTAGGTAGAACTGTATCATTCATATAAACAATAATTTTCTCTAATTATTCATTAATTTCATTTGAACTATGCTTTGTAGCAGTATTAGTCATTTCAGCTACTAATTCTATTTATTCAATTGCCTCTTCTCCATCATTTGATAGTAAAATGTTATTTTAATATGGCCTTGTTTATTCTAATACAGCTTATTATCTCCTTAAAATATCAGAAAGAGCTGGTGTTTTTGCAATTTATTAAGATGGTGAGGAATTTAGTTTTGGATCTTCTAAAAAATCAATTTCAATTACAAAATACAAAAATTCAGAGTTAGTATCTTTTGAGAAATAAGATAAAACTTTTTAAACTACACTGAATTCTATTGGATATAATTTTGAATGTTAAGTTTTCATGTTAGATATATTACCATTAACATCTTTCAAATTATTCAAAATTTATTTGCTTGAAAATTTTTTGGTTGAAATTAATTGAGAAGATTTACATTAATTTTTTTTTTAAGAGGGAACTGATAACACTCCTATTTCTCTCTGACAAATAATATCTTATTTAAAAACCCTTTTTTCATTTTTTATTGTTAATAATCTATAATGCTCTTCTAAAATTGTAGCCAGAGATGGAATAAATTCTTATATTGTAATTTATTCATAAATTTCTTCTGGTAAAATGAATTCAGTATTTTAATTATTTTTGTAATAATATTTATAGTTAATTCTTTCATAAATATTTCTAGTTATTCCAAAAACGAGAAAATCAGAGTCAACCAAAATATATCCTCTTTTACTTTAATCAATATCTTTTTTATCATATTTAACCATTTTTAATAAATGTCCTATTATCAAAAATTAAAACTAATCATTAGAATATGGAAATAAAGCACTCAGACAAATATTAACTTTTTCAATCAAATTATCAGCATTTAGTATAAATTATTCTGAATTTGCATATAAACGATTTGTTTTTCCTTATTATAAGTAAGATTCAATTAAACCATTATGTATTTATCCCAATTTTATCGGTAATAATTAGTCTATTTTTGTTAAAGGAATATTTAGATTTTAATATCCAAAAAAACCACAAAATTAATCATTTATGTTTTAAGTGATGTAGCCAAGGGTTTAAGATGAAACATTAGAGACAATTGATAAAGCTTATCCGTTTATAAATTATAAATTATTGAATTATTAGCTTTTAGTATTAGTTTGTTCTTTAACAAGATATTCAATTTATTATGCTATTTTTAAACAAGTATTTATATCTTCCATACAGACTATTGAAATTACTAATTTGATTCGAAGAACTAAAATTGAATCAATAGCTGGAAGTTCTCTCTAAGCTTAAAAATTTAGAAATTCATTTTTCACTTTTAATGTTTTTTTTCTGATTAGTTCTGAAAATTAAATCATTCTATCATATGAAATAAGATGATTCATTTTTTATAACCATAAAGATTTAAGACATTATAACAAATTAATCATAAGTTTAACAATTTCATCTTCAAAATTATAAAATAAATTAAAGTCTTACAAAGTACGAAATTCTAATGATCCTATTTTTATTCCAGCTCTATTATTATTTTCAATTTCAATTTTATTTTAATGTTGTATTTACTTTGTTAAATTTATAAAAAAATATGGCATTTGACCTGTATATATTTTTTTAAATGTTTAAACAACATCTTGTATAATTTTATAAGATAAAACAGAGTTTTCTCTATATTTTTATAAGAATGTGATAAATTTTATTGTAATTTATTCAAAATATTTTAAAGAATTTTGATTTTACACAATTTATTTTATCATTTTTTAAAATTAATATTAAATCCAAATATAAATTTGTTATGTATTAGGTTATTTTTAGCCATAAATAAATTTATTTATCTTTTATTTACAAGGACAATTTAAATCATTACAATATTAACAATGTAAACCTATATATTTAAGCATTAGAAAGTAATCTTTTTAATTAAAATTTTCTAAATGACATATTTAACAAATAAATTCTAATGGATGCTCACTAATTTTATTAGAATTAGATTTAAAAAACAATTAGCATTCTTTATCAATATATATATCATAAATAGCTTAATTGATACCGAATATCAACTAGAATAAATAAATGATTTACAGGAATACAAATCCAAAATGTTAAGAATATATGTCGATCATCTAGATCTGAAAAAATCCAAATAGCCACTAAAATTTCAAAAAACCATGTACTCCACAAACATTTGCTAAAAAAAATGGTTTCCTATTAAAAACCAAAAGGTAGATTAAAATATATATCCAAAGCAATAACAATAGTTATTAGATTGAATATTGTATGAATTACAAAATTGTAATTATAATACATTTCCTTCCAAAAAGAGGAGATTTATAATGCCATATGTAGTAGAATGGTTATAAAATTAAAGTAGCTAAATTTTCTCATTAAATCTCCTTAGACAAATTCATAATTTCTGAAACAGTATAAGGATAAAAAACCTGTAAGGATTACTAGAATTTAACCCATGAAACTAATAACCAAATAATGAGGTGAAATTTAAAAAAGACATTATTCAGGATTGAGGTTGCTATGTTATGCTAAGTATGCTAAACGACCACAGGTTATTACTCCAATCATACATTCATGAAAAGGTGTTAGGAAATACCACTAAAAGTTCTTAAAATAAAACCTTATAAATCTGTTTAAAAAATTATTTGAAGATATTGGCTATAGAATAAGATTATCATAATACTTAGAATGTAATTTAAAATATTACTGCTGCATATATGAAACACATAATCCCAAAAATACAATAGTAAACAAATTTTGTAAGTGGGTCATGATGGATGACTATCATCATAAATGGGATAGAGGAATATTATCCTATTTAAGCCAAATAATCATTCTCTTAAAATACAATGGATTTGCTTTGAAATTAACTAAAAAAATAACCAAGCAATTAGATAAAATAAAAGACAATCATACCTAAATTGCCATAATCTATTTATGCTTTTCTTCTTTCTGTAGTAGAGCCTATTCTTAAAAAGTAGTAAATAAGCTTAGAAAAATATTTCATTAATCCAAAAATTTATTATTTTTATTTATAATCATATCAATAATCTTGAATTAAAGTGATACAACAATATACAACAACTTGAATAGAATTCAATTTTCTTTGCTTTTAATTAAAAAAATATGAATTCATAAAAATGAATTTTCTTTTAAAGACTAAATTTTATCATAATTATTTTGATTATTGAATTTTTTATCAAAATTAACAAAAAAAACAATAAATTATAATATTTATTTGATTTGAAATAATTCTAAATCGAATTGAATTTAGTAATTCTTAGACATAAGATAACTTTGTTAAAAGGATTATTTTTTATTAATCAATTTAAATATAATTAGTTCAGTATATAATCATCATTCATCTTCGTTGAACTACATTAATTCAGAATGGTCAGATTCAGAGTCAATTAACTATTCAAAATAATTGTCATCTTTGCTTTTAACTTCACAACTAGCAGCAGTGATTGTATGACATTATTTTTATATAGACATTAATTTAGAAGTGTCTCTTTAATTGATAGAAATTTGTTGATATTTCATTTTCTAAAGCATTTCTCTAAAATCTTTAATTTTGTTGTTCATATCTTTAAAATATCGATCAGCCATAGAAATAATATCTTCAGTATCAATAGATCGATAATTTCTTGAATAATAAATATCTCTTACCTTATAAGTGATGTGCTTTCTTATAAAGATGATTAGATTTGATTAATTCTAATTGTAGATGCAGGATCATTTATAATATTTACTTGATGATTTTTGAGATACATATGAAGTTTATAGCAATTTAATAGAGCATTTTCAGCAGCCTATCTAATTTGAAATTTTAAGTTAGTTTTATCTAATAATGTAATAGATTTTAATTCGGAAACAAATGGTTGCAAATCTGCATATAATATAGCTGTAAAAAGTGATGTTAAGGCTACTCCATAAAATAAACCTAATGTCATAGAAAGTCTTCCAAGTTCAGTAGTTGGATAAATATCTCCATAGCCGACTGTGAAAATAGTTATCATGCAAACCCATAATGAATTTTTAGTGTAATAATTACCAATTTCAATTGATGTTCTTAATAACGATCTTTCTGATATTTCTAATTAGTAAGAAAACATAAATATTCCTAGAGAAAATAATCCACAAAGAGTTGAATATGGATTCTCTCTAATAGCAACTTTAAATATGAAATGAGGACCAAATTCTACTTAATATATACCACTAAAATAAAATAAAATAAATACCATAATCTATTTACTCTATTTGAATAAAATGATTGGAACTTAAATGCTATATTTAAAATAAGTAATGATCTAAAAAGCATTATAAAAGTTAATATCTCATTTATGAAATAGAATCTTGGTTAATCATCATATCGTTGAGTGAATGAAACTTTATATCCCCTAGTAAAAGGCGTTGGACAAGGTAGAAGTATAGCAGTTTCTATTAACAAAAGAGGAATAAGATTTGTTTAAAATATATTGGAATCTTTTGGAACTCTAAGAGATCGTTTCTAAAATTCAAGTTCTGCTAAATATGCCATAAAAGTCATAAGAACTATATAAATGAAAATAATATACTAGATATAATAGTTAAGAATAGAATCAGGTATAATAATGTTTTTATTTCTTCTTCATATCTATCCGTTAACTGATATCCAAATGAAACCTCATACTATTTATTATTTATCAATAATTAACTTCAAGAACTGTAAGCACAATGCTAGCACAAATAGTCAACATTCTTCCTAATTCTAACACTCTATATCTTTCAAAATATAGTCTTGTAGTGCTGCTATCTTCAAAAGCATTTTTTTTTGATCTCCCAATAATTGTTGACTTCTTTTTCCCAATCTTTGAATTTGCTGAAAGAGTTTAAAATAAATGTGAAAGTCTTCCATGTTATCTTACAAGATCATCATCATCCATTCTAGAAGCAGGATTACCTTACAATTCTATCGTTTCTAAATTTTATGATTTCATTATATATAATTAACACTTTTTCTAAATTATAGAAAAAATCATCATCACTTCTATGTTTTATTTATAATCATGAGAACTAAAATAAAAATTTAATCATCATATCTCTGTTCTTTTTTATTTTATAATCAGTTTTATGATACTTTATTATTTTATTAACTAATTAATATTTATATTAAAATCTTACAAGATACTTAAAATGTTTTTATATTCTAAAACTTTAAAATAAACAAATCAATTTACTGTAATTATGAAAGAATAGTTAGGATAACTATTTATTTTTTAACCGAAATACTATAATTGTTATCTGAATTCTTTTAACTTCCTATTGACGTTGAAAAATTTCTTAAATTGCTCCCTTATCATATCTCATTCCCTTAGATAATAAAATAATTTATTACCTTTTCAAATTAAAAATAGATTTCTCCTCATTTATATTGGCAATTTTCATTTTTGCAACTTACTTTCTTTTTTTAATTTATTTAAGTATTAAAATTATCTTGAACTTGATTCTTAATATTATTTGTTATCCTTCTTACAATTGTTTTCTGAAACATAGCTAAAGACTAAAACTTTCTTTAAGTAAACTAAAGCGTACAATAGCCTATTTTTAAGAATTATTTTAAACATAGATATAATTATTATGTTGCCATAAAATAACTCTAAAGTAATTGCTATTCAACTTAAATTCATATTTTGAAAGAAATCTCAAATAACCATCTACAGTTTTTGTTATCATTGGAACTCAAAATTTTTTATATAGTCTAAATTATTCTATGGACTCAAAGTTTTTTAGAGACCTCTCCTTATTTATTTAATTAAAATATGTAGATATAACCCAAATTATGCTATCGTATGAATTAATTTAGCATCAAATAAGTTCCAAACTAGTTTGATATAAGCGACTAATGAAAACTATCTAAAAATTTGTATTATACTATTTCCATTCATTTAAGATGAATAATATACTTAATATGTAAACCACATATTGAGAATCAAATCGAATCTTAAAAAAAAATAAATATATGAGAATTTCAATAACAAACATAAAATAATTTTTTTTTTTATTCTTTCTATCCAAAGCTCCCTCGTCAAAATATTTGATTTCATAATTATTCTCAAAATTTTAAATAGAAATCCCAACACTAATTAGGCTTAATAAAGGGATACTTGGAAATTAAATTTGAACATCTTCTATAAAAATTTCAACCAAATATTTATATTTTAAAATCCTTAGCATTAAGCATAATATAATAAACCAAATACTAATTAAATCATATTTTGCTTATTCTAAATTTATTTTTGTTATTCCGATGTCTTTAGAAGATCCTGAAAAAATTTTTAATCAGATTTTCAATTAATTATATTTTTTTCCAAATATTAGAAAATCTATCTTAATTAGAATAAAATTTAATATGTTCTCTCTTGATGAATTCAGAATAAGAAAATTAAAAATACGAAGGAAAGATTGATGAAAATGAACAAAAATTAATTCATTTATATTTTAATAACTTTTCTATACAAAAATCATGTTACTGAACAACTGAATTACAAAATAGAATTTAATAATGTATAAGTCAAAATTAAGAAAAAGATGATTGCTGTAATTTAATAATTAAATAGAGAAATTAAACTGAAATTAGTATAGAGTATTTTCTATAGCTATTATAATTTTTATTAGTATTAATTATTAATGAAACAGCATAAAAAAAATGTATTAATTCGTTCAAGTATGCATTCTCCGTCAAATTATGATTCGAAACCGTCAACCTAAATTCCTAGATAAAGATCTGTAAATTAATTTGAGGAAGCGGATCCTATTTCTAAAGGTATTAGGAAAACTATATTTATGAGATAGAAAAATTATAAAAATGAGGAATGTTGTAGATTTAGGAGATGCAACTGAATCTGTACATAAGTCATCCTCTAAATAAAAGAGGAGATAGAGCAAGGAGGAATAAGATAAAGAACTTGAATAATTAGATTAATGGCATGAATAGATAGTTTCAAAGAAAAAAACATTTGCTTTTGAATAAATAAAATAAAATGACAATAAATATATGGAGAACATGTTTACCAATGATGGAGGACCATATATAAATTAAGCCATTATTAATTCAATTCTTAAACCATAAGAAAAATAGTAATTAAAGAATTTATCACAGGAAGAAGAACAGGATTTGAATGTTTAAGTGAAATTTTAATTATTGAGATCAATTAAGGATTCGAATAATCCTGTTTTAAAAACTTTAGATTAAGTTAGAATGGAAATGAATAAACATATAATGAATTCATTGTTATTATAAAAAGTTACAAAGAAATTAGATGATTTATAAATAAATAGAAGAGTCAAATCAAATTGGAATCATTAAAAAATGGATGAAGAAACAACTTAAGTGGTTCGAGATTAATCTTAAGCATTAAAAAATTCTACTTTAAATAATTTCAAAGGATTAACTGAATACTTTAGTAATCCAGCATAATATATTGATTATGATATCGTTTTATCTAAGGCAAAATATTACAGTAATAAACCTCCAAATTAATTTGAAATGGAAATAATATAAACTGGACAATAAACATCAACTTCTGCTAAATAATTAATAGAGTCATTTTAATAATTTTAAATTTAAATAAAAGAAAATAAATTAGTCCTTTATGAGATGAGATTAGAAAATAATAAATTAGTATAGAAAACAACAATTAAAGAGGAAGAAATTAGTGAAATAAAAAGGAAGTATTTTTAAAAAGAAGAAAAAACTAGATAAGGATATATACCTGATTAAGAGGGAAAAAAAAAGAATATGATGGAGATTATAGAAAAAATTCGACAATAGAGAGATTTAGAAATTAAAAATATTTAAAAGTTTATAACACAAATAAAAGATGAAATGCATAGAAATATTGATAAATAAGAAGTTATTTAAAAGGATTTAGATGAATTAAGATAAAAAAAGAGAAGATGTAAAATGTTACTAAAAGATATTTTTTTAAAATAATTATAAGAAGCCAATGAATCATTGATGCCTGAAGGATTAATTCCAATAATAAAATAAATGAAAAAAATAAATGAAAATGCTAAAATTGAACAATTTCCCCGATATTTAGATGATTAATCAAGATAATATCTGCTTAAAGCTGCATAATTAGAAATAGAAATAGATGATGCTAGATAATAATCTTAGAAATTGAATCATAATTAAACTAATTTCAGAAGTACTTAATCATAATAATGTTTATTTTAAACTTAACCTGTAAGTGTTTCATAATTGAAAAGTTAAGTAAAGACAATGCTTAAAAGAAGTAAAGTATCTATAAAAAAACCTATATTTGTTTAAGGAATAGATCCTTTAAATCCTTAATCTTTTGCTCATGTACTTAAATGGGAAAATTAAGATTTAGAATCTGGACATTTTTTAGAAAAAGAAGAGGCAACCTTTAAATTATAAAATATGCCTAGTGAAGGAAATTTATTTATTAAAGATTTTAATTAAAAACTTGTACATTTTTAATAACAACTCGAATCGATTTAGAAAGAAGAATAGGAAAGAATACTAAAATTATATTAAAATAAAAGACATTTATCTGATATCTAAGAATTGAAATTAGTTTTATATTCATTATTTGGATAAGTGATTGGAGATTAAATATGGTATGAGTTTGTTATTGAATGGACTGATCAAAAATAATTAAATCCCTAGTAAATTTTAAAGAAAGATATAGAATTAAAAGCAAACGATAAAGGATAGAGTTAAAAATAAATAAATGAAAAAATTAAATTAAGAATGGCAAATACTTATCGTAAATTACAATAAAGTAATGAGATTGAATATAATTTTAATATGCTAGAATGATTTTTATATTATTTTTCAAATAATTAATAAAAATGGTCTGATTTTTTATAGAGCAACTTTCTCATCAACCAAAACAACTTCTTTATGTTATCCATTATGAGTTATTTCAGCTTTAATTTAATTATTAAATGATACCTCTTAAATCATAGAAATAGAATGGTTCACCAATTTAATATCTATATTTTCCTGGTACAGGCATAGTCTTAAATTTCAAATTCATAACTGCACCTGTTTCAACATCAGCCATTTTAAAATAACCAGTTGTCATAGAAGTGTCAGTATTGAAGAATTACCAAAACTTGAAATATTTTTAATCCTTACTTTATTTTTGAATTCTGGGAATTTTTCAGGACATGGATATCCACGATCATATTCACAATCATAATCTAATACATGAATAGTTTCATCTTTGAATAGAGCATTAATTTCACTATTCTTGTATAACATATCTCTAAGATAAGTTTCTTTAAAATCAGGATCACCACATTTATCTCTTGCTCTTACATATAACATAGCTAATGGTAAAACAGTTAAAACCTAATTTTGTATTAAGCATTATTACTTTGAATCCAAAAGCTAAAGGATAAAATTAATAAAAGAAGAGACTAAATGCAGGTAAAAAGTAAACATTGAATTTATCAAATAATCTATGTCTTCTTTCAATTAAACATGAGAAATTAGGTACCTAAATTTTAATTTAAAAATCTTACATGTCTATGCAATAAATCTTAAATCCATGCCCATCCAAGTGGTACTGATTCCCAATTATCTTTTGGTGTTTTTACGTATGTATGCTCTTGATTAATATCTCTTGGGTAAGTATAATAAGCATTCTTAAATTTGTATTGCCATCTCTTATTGTATGGGTTCGATGATTACCACACAATTTTATTGTATTGTGAACGATGCACTAATTACTATACTGCTTTGCTCTTAATAATTTACATTATTAATATCTTTTAATTAGTAATATAAACTTAAAATATAATCATTCTTCTATTTATTTTCTCTCATCTCTAATCTAATTATCACTAAACAGTATACATCTGAGGTTTGCGAACAATATGTTTAAAATAACATAATTTAAAAACATATATAAAATATATATATAAATACACATATATATATGTAAAACTTTAATTGTATTTCAACTGTTTGTTCGATAGTATATTATTGGTTATGTTTAGATGATTTTTGTGACTTATCTTCCAGTGATCTAACGATTGAAAACATTTAAAGGAGATGCAGATCCCATAACTAATTTTGTTTACAATTGTTTTTTTGTCTGTAAAGGGGATTAATGAGAACAACAAGTCATTGAATTATTTGGTTTAAGAATAGACTCTTTATTTGAATCTCTATTATTCTATATAAATTATTGTAATAGTTCAGTATCATCATTTTATTCTTTATTCTCTTTTTATTTATTTGGATAAAAGATTGACATTATGAATGATTCAATTTATTTGTTAATCGAATCAAAATTAATATTTATTTTTATCTTTTCAGACATACTATTTAAAATACGTGTATATTCTTCAATAATATCTTCTGGTATCAATGTATTCATTAATTTATAAGCTTCAAATTTTGAATTATAATTTTAAATAATTTCTATGTCATTATTAATAATTTTTTATATTTAATCCTTATTAATTTATAACAGTTTTTATTGAAGATCATTAATAAGTGCGATTATTTAATTTTTGATTTAGAGAAAATAATTTTCATAAGGTTTTTGAATTACTTTAAATAATTCTTAACTTTAATCCATTAATTCATCAGCCTTTTTAATATTTTATTCAATTAATTGTTCATAATTTTAAATTTCTTTCATTTGACTAACATGCTTAGTATGCATTTTGATAACACAATGTGCACATGCTTTTTATAATTTATATGGACAATCATTATCTATACAAATAAATTTGTATTAATTATTTTCATGTCCTGGTAATTTGCAAATATTATTTTTTTCAATATTTATTTAGAATGATTATTGTTAAATAACAGATTATTCTTCATTTTTAAGTCTATTAATTGGAGAAAAGGTTTAATCATTGGAATGTTTTTTATTTATAGGTGAAAGATGAGATTTTTCATTAATCTATGCTAATTGTAACCACTCATCTTTATCTTAATTTCCTTTTTCAATTTAATCTTCTAAAAAGGTTTTCGTAAAAGGTTTTTCTTTATTTTTGATAAAAGAATTATGTTGGTCTTTTAATTTTTATGTTATAGCATATTCTGAGATGGATCTTTGGCTCTGAGAATAGTTTAATGAATTACTAGGTTTTTCTTATTGGAATCAACGATTTAACCCCAATTAGATTCTTTTTCTTCAAATGCTTGTTTAATGTGGTTTCGTAAACCCAATTAATTCCATAGTTCACGCGAGGACTTTTTTGGCTTAATCATATTCGTTAAATTAATATAATACTAATAGAAACTATTCATCAGAATATTATTCATAATATAGTTTTTAATTTTTATGGGAATATTTTTATGATTAGATGATCATACTTAACTATAAAGTCTAATGGTACGTAAATAAATTTATTTAATAAGAAATTGGAAAAGAGTGAATGTAAATTTTAATAATGAAATGATAAAGGGTTAAAAAGTGTAATTAATTAATTCTGGAAGTAGAAGATGTTTATAATATGGATTATCTACTGAGAATAATATCATGAAATTAAGCTTTATTAGATATTAGCATAAAAGAGTTATTTGGATTCTCTAATATGAGATATCAAAAAATGGAATGACAAATATCCATTAAATTTGGAGATAAAAAATCCATTTATGAGGNGAATTATAATTTTAAATAATTTCTATGTCATTATTAATAATTTTTTATATTTAATCCTTATTAATTTATAACAGTTTTTATTGAAGATCATTAATAAGTGCGATTATTTAATTTTTGATTTAGAGAAAATAATTTTCATAAGGTTTTTGAATTACTTTAAATAATTCTTAACTTTAATCCATTAATTCATCAGCCTTTTTAATATTTTATTCAATTAATTGTTCATAATTTTAAATTTCTTTCATTTGACTAACATGCTTAGTATGCATTTTGATAACACAATGTGCACATGCTTTTTATAATTTATATGGACAATCATTATCTATACAAATAAATTTGTATTAATTATTTTCATGTCCTGGTAATTTGCAAATATTATTTTTTTCAATATTTATTTAGAATGATTATTGTTAAATAACAGATTATTCTTCATTTTTAAGTCTATTAATTGGAGAAAAGGTTTAATCATTGGAATGTTTTTTATTTATAGGTGAAAGATGAGATTTTTCATTAATCTATGCTAATTGTAACCACTCATCTTTATCTTAATTTCCTTTTTCAATTTAATCTTCTAAAAAGGTTTTCGTAAAAGGTTTTTCTTTATTTTTGATAAAAGAATTATGTTGGTCTTTTAATTTTTATGTTATAGCATATTCTGAGATGGATCTTTGGCTCTGAGAATAGTTTAATGAATTACTAGGTTTTTCTTATTGGAATCAACGATTTAACCCCAATTAGATTCTTTTTCTTCAAATGCTTGTTTAATGTGGTTTCGTAAACCCAATTAATTCCATAGTTCACGCGAGGACTTTTTTGGCTTAATCATATTCGTTAAATTAATATAATACTAATAGAAACTATTCATCAGAATATTATTCATAATATAGTTTTTAATTTTTATGGGAATATTTTTATGATTAGATGATCATACTTAACTATAAAGTCTAATGGTACGTAAATAAATTTATTTAATAAGAAATTGGAAAAGAGTGAATGTAAATTTTAATAATGAAATGATAAAGGGTTAAAAAGTGTAATTAATTAATTCTGGAAGTAGAAGATGTTTATAATATGGATTATCTACTGAGAATAATATCATGAAATTAAGCTTTATTAGATATTAGCATAAAAGAGTTATTTGGATTCTCTAATATGAGATATCAAAAAATGGAATGACAAATATCCATTAAATTTGGAGATAAAAAATCCATTTATGAGGTACAATCACTTTCATTTGATATTAACTTCTAATGCTGAAATTGTCAAAATATGGTTGATTAAAATTTTTAAGCAAAAAATAATGAGATTGTTTACTATCAATAGTTGAGACCAAGCTACTATTTTATAATTAGTATAATGAATAACTTGGCTTAGTTATTTTGAAAAAGATTGATGTAAATTAAAATATAATCAAGAGGTCAGAATTTATTAAAATAAAATTAGAGGTGATATAGAAACATTTTATAAAGAATAGATTGATTTGTTGAGGTAATATTATGATAATAGTTAAAATTGAATTTATATTTCTTAATGAGAGTTTGCTGATAAAACTTATAAAGACTATACCATAAATATAAAAAATCATTTTTTTGTTACTTTTTTCTTAGGTATAGTGAGTGATGTTCTTCTTTCTAAATATTCGAATGTGAGTACTCCTCGACGTAATTATTCTTTGATTGAAAATATATATTTTCTAACTTTTGGAGGGATTCCCTTTTCTTTCATTGAATGCTAGATTGTAATACAAAGAATATACTCTATCTGCTTCGAAAAGTTCATTTAGTTTTTCAAATTTATCAGAGTAATCTGAACAACCTTTTCCAATTCTTAACATAAATTATTCAACTGGCCAATCTGGAATGAGTAAGTTATATCCTGGAGATGGAAATATTGGTGTAATTGTTCTTTTTCTCATTACAGGTTATTATAGTAATGTTGTCTTAAAGAATCTGCTAACAAAATTTAATTGCTAATTTTTCAATATAGAAATCATAATTAATATATTTTTGATTTTATTTCTAAAAATCTCTTAATCTTAAATTCTTTATGTTCTTCTTCTTATTTTTTTGTATTGTGTTCTAATCTCAATGAATAAGATCTGTTCTTTTAGATAACCTATTTCTTTTAGATTCTTTGACTTCTCATTCTATATATGTTCTCAATTAAGTCTGAAGCTTCATTAGCATACTTCATATTAATAATTTTTCCAAAAGGTGTTGAAGGTCTATATCATTATAATTTGTTTACTTGTTTTTAAGTCCATAAACAAAGTTATCTTCAGGTAATTTTATAGTTTTTTCTTTTTTATGAAATGAACTGTTTCCATATTACCAATCAGAAGTAATTTCTTTCATACCAATTCCATCTCTATTAACTTTTTTACCATAGCAATAAGTAGGATCAGGTAGATCTGATACTGATGGTTTAGGTTTTCCAATATCTCCTCTTAACAATAAAATGTTATTGGTTTTATTTATCAAATAAGGTAAAATAGTTGACATAAAATAATAAAATTTTCATTATCAAATAATCAAAAAGTATTAAATTTAAATAATTCATTAATATTTGATTTAACTCTTTTTGTATTAGTATCTTTATAATTTTTCATCAGCATATGATAATGATCAATGACTACGTCTACATTATATTGAGGATAGAAAGTATTAAATATTTAATATTTATCTATTTCAATTGGACTCCATTATAATTCATTACAAATAGGAGGATGCTTTTATATTCATAATCAATCTATACATGTTAGGGGAATGCAACAAAAGGAGACATTTCGTAATTTAATTAAGATAAAGGATTTATTAAACTTCTTTTAGATGGAACCTATAACATATTATTATTGCCTCCAGGTATTGTCAATGTATTTTAACGATCCTCTTTATCTCTTAAATGTAAAGTACTAATCATTTTCTATGAACCATGATTAGTTCCTCCACTTAATTAAACATTGTTATTCATATCTGATTTTAGAGTAAAAGTATTTAATATTGATAACTATGAATGTTTTGGTGTATTATTAATAGATATACTACTTACACCACTTCTATATTATGAATATTTTTCAGATCTATTATTATTACTTGATTTCATTGGTCTTAGTTTTTAATCCAATGTCTATTTAGAAGTTCTTGATATTTAATCATCTGAAAATGAAGAACTTTATACGCTTGAATCTTCACTTGGCTATTCATCTATAATATTATTAATATTCTCTGTCTTAGGACTCTTTTAAGAAGACTATTCTTTATAACCAAATCCTGCTGTTGATGTTGTACCTTTTGGATTACTTGCCCTTATAAATATTTAATCAATTTCTCTAAACTATTATTCCTTTTACTATTCCTATATATCTAATGCTTATAAATTTTCTATTGTTGATGGTCTTAATGATAATTTCTATCCTAAAATTTTTGATGGATAATTAATTGATGATTATGTTATCGTATAATGAGATTGATTCTATTAATAATTTGTATGATCTGTCTCTCCCAAAGATGATGCATATCCCTAATCTTCTTAAAACTCTTAACATTTCACTTAAGTATTCAATGCACTAAATTTTGTATTCGAACTCTTTGCATCTCTTCTTTTAACTTATTTAAATTCTCATAAATACACTTATGTCTTTTTTAATCAGATGGAGCCAATAAATCCAATATTACTAATTCTTTCTAAACTTCCAAATGTAATTATGGACAATTTTATATCAAATGATTTGAACATTAACAATTATAACATTTCATTCCAACTATTCCATATTCATTTGAAAATATTATTTCATTTCTTATCACATTTACTAATTCCTATTATTATTTAATCAATTTACTTTATCATTATTATTATTCTATATTATTTATTAAAAATTTGATCTCTCTAATTTATAAATACATGATTCTCCTATACTTCTTACTGAAGCACTTCTAGCTAAACCAGTCAAAAATCCTATCTATCCAAAACATTCATTAATTCCTAAAAGCTTTATTCCAATCATCCCATTTTTAGAATTCTTAAAACTTATTTCCACTTAACCACTTTTTATTATATAAATTGAACAATCATCTAATTCATCTTAGTTTATTATTATCTCTTCATTTCGATAATACTATATTTCAATTATATTTGTTAAATTACTTAAACTTTATCTTGATAATTTATTAAATAAATTAAATTATCTCAAATGTTTCATCTTATCTTAATAAATTATTTATTATCTTAATGATTCCTTTATCCCATATAAATTTAATAAAAAATTATAATTCTTTATTTTACCAACTGATCTTTATTAAACTTGCTATTATTAAATTTTATTAAACAATTTTCTTATCTTTGAACTACTAATATTTAAAGATTTTAAAAAGTTTAAAAAGTCAATCATATTCTTTCTATCCTTAAAATTTGTCTTCTAAACCTAAACCAGTAAATAAAGTTGAATCACAAATTTATATTTAATTATCAAAAATATAATCCAAGTGTATAATATAAATATTATTATTTCAATATTTGAATCAATATTTTATAATGAAAGATCTATACCAACCATATAACCAAAGAATCTTAAGTATATTGTCAAGTATAAATGTAATTGTTCGTCAAAATTATAAAAATTGAAATCTTCACTAACTAAAATTAGATAAGCACAACAATATAAATGACATTATTAAAATGACAACAAAATCAATTTAATCATACTTTCTTAAACCAACATATATTAGGTTTAACTTAATTATTCTATAGTAATCATATTTAACAATATCAAGCATATTATCAAATATTCTTAAATAATCTAAAAATGTATTATTAATCCCAAAAGAACTATAAGTATAATTTAAATGATATTAAATATAATATTTCGATATTATTATTGTTTATTGAATTAAAGCTTATCATATAAATCATTTCTATATTTTTACCAATTATAAATGCAATTTATTGATAAAGTTATTATTTACAATAACTCAATAAATAAAATATTAAAATTGTTTTTAAATAAGCAAAACATGGAATTCAAAAGCAAAATTGAAATATTGTTTATGTGTAAAATAATAGTGAAAAAATACAAAATATTTACATTTTTACTTAAGTAAGATGGAAAATTTATATTATTTCCCTTATTTTTATCTTAAAGTAATTTGTTTGTTAATTTACCTAAATTCTTGCTATTTTTATCTTACTTGAATAATTTCATTGATTGCAAAAAGTATAAGGTTAAATCATTGAAATTAATATCTGTATTTGCTCTTTTTAAATATTTGGTGTCATATATTGAAAATCCCATTTCTTATTTTAAATCACAAATCAGTGCTTAGTTTCTTTCAACACTTTAATTGATTTGAATTGCCTCTTGGTATCCTCTGAATTCTTCAGGTATTATTGTCATATCATTTTATTAATTATCTTAAGGTTATTGTGGATGTATAAGTTTTACACTTCTCATTGGGACATATTAAGTATTATCATCATTTCCTTTTTTAAGGATTTTGTCATTTACTTTTGATTTTTTCGTTATTACCTAAAGTATTTTATAATCTGTAATCTTTTATGAACTCATAATTTTTATTTAGAATAATATAAATTGTAATTAATCAATTTTACTAATGCTAAACTCATTATTGTAATATTGATGTAAATAATTGATTTTGATATGAAAATATATTATTAAGATTTAAAAATAGTATTCTAAATATACTCAAGCATTAATCAAAATTATAAAGCAAAATCAACACGATTTCTCCTTTCATTTAGTTACAATTATTTATAAATGTTTTTCTTGAAAATAATCTCAAGAGGTATTAACTTTAAAAGTGACTTGGATAAATGATATCTCTAGATTTATTATTTAACAAAAAGCAATTATATAATTATAATAATTAATATTGTTCCAATACCAAAAATAATAATGTTTTACTTTGAGTATATTGTTAAATTTGTTATGGCATCCAAAGACACATTCACAAAATATTAACAAAATTAAGCAATTTAAAATTATATCGCATCAAGTCCCCACAATACATAAATCACATAATCTTATTCATTCAAAAAATTATGAATTTATTTCACCCTATCTAAATTTGTTTATGGTTTTTATAGATATACATCAATTTCAAAAAATATTTAAGACAATATCTAATGTAAATTAACTATTCCTTAATAAAAATAAGGATTCAAGACTTCATGGAACAATCTTTCGTTTAGCAGATCATTATGCATATCACAACCTGTTAAAACACATGTATCATAGGACAAAATTTCTTTTTGTTAGATTCCATTAATAGCATTAAAGGTTCTTGAATTAAATAAGAAATCAGTAAAATTTAAGTGTTAAAATTCTTTAATCTCTTAACTCAAGAGAGTATTATTAAATTCTAATTGATTTAAAATAAAAAAATCAGATTTTAAATTTCTTGATACTTCAAATTAAGGATTAATTAAAGTTAAATTATAATATGATTCAAATACAGTTTTTATTAGATACTAATCATATTTATTAACTGTGGTAATTAGAGTTAGTCTTTATTATTATGATTTAATAGCTTCGTCATTAAAAGGTTGAATATTTTAAGAAATGAAATTGTAATATATTTAAAAGCCCATACCATAACTGAGACCAAAAATACAAATCAATGTTAAAGTGAGTATATAATTAATTTGAGAAAGATGTTTTTTTAACACTATTTTTTAATCTTATGATTAATAGGTTTTTCCATTAGCCTGTAATTAATTTTAATTCTTAAATCGCATCTAATCATATTCAACAAATGGTTTTTCTTATATTTTAACAAAGCCTTTCTTACTTAAAATAACTGATTTTTTATTTATGATATTTCTTAAAAAATCATTATTTCTTAAAAATAAATTCCCATCGGAAGAATCACATTTGACAAACACATCAAAATTGAGTCTGATCTATTTATTTAATCTATTATAGAATAAAAGTTATAAGAAGGTTATTAAAATTGAAATACAGTAAAATCCTATAAGTAAATAATTTGAAATAGTATCTAAATATTCGTTAATAAAATCATTATAACTTTTACAAGCATCAATTTTCATTTAGAAAATCTAGACAACTTCAAAATAATTATAATAAACCAAAGATCTACTGATTTAAGTTGAATACGGGTCTTCTGAATCTTCTAAATAATTTATTATGTTTTGACTTTAGGTCTTTTAAGATATAAAAAAAATTTAAAACATTATTTAAAAATAGGTTGATAGTTCTGATACAGTTTGAGTTATTTTATTCTAAAGATTCCCATTTATTATATATATATTTAACGAATCTTCAGAACTTTATTAGAAAATATTGATATTTTATTAATAAATAGTTATTAATCTATTCAACCCTAAATTTAAATGATTCCATGATATATATAATTTATCATAATTACTAAAGTTCAATTCTTGATTGTCGATTTATAATGTAGTATCATTTATTATTTAATAAAAATCTCGAATATATATTGTATGCCTAGATCCACTCATAATCTGAGAATATGCATCTAAAAAATCCAAATCTAAAGTGATGATTTTAATACATTCTGATTACATTGAAGATTTTTTACCAAACAAAATTAATAGTGATATAATTATGCCAATTATAAAAATAATCTATAATGATAAAAAGCATAATAAATACTACATTTAATGAGGCAATTTTGATTTTGTCATTATTGATTGAAGTAATGTTATTTAATTATTTAAATTATTACTGCTTTTCTTTTCTGTTGCGGTAGAAGAGGCTCCAAATTAGTGATGGCCCAAGAATTCTTTTTTCTCTGATTCAAATGAATATATTGCTATTTGGGTATGATTTTATGTTTAATTTTATATTTTTTATTAAGAAATAACTTTCTTGATGTTATTATCTGATTAAGAGGGAAGCCTTTAAAACGTACATTTACTTTGTTTTTCGTCATCTGAAAATTAAATATCTATTAAGTAGTATAGAAAAGTTTTAATAATACCATTAATTTATGGATGTAATATTTTTTAAATGATTGTTAATTCTACCTGAAAAGAATAGGATGTATTTTAGTATAAATAACCCTTTTTTTCAAATTCATTTAAATCGTTTAGTATGTATCTAATTTTTCTTTCAAAATCAATTTTATTTGTAGTTGTTTACATTTATGTTTTGAATAAATTTTCTAGATTGGGAATAACAAAATTTAAATTTTCTTTTTGAATTATTATTTCCTCTTCTAAAATTCTATCATTTTTTATTTATTTTTATTTATAAAATTCTTTCAATTTTACTAAAAGATCTGGAAAAATGTGGAATATAGTTAATTTATTTTAAATTTCAGAAAAGTTGATTTCACATTAAGAAAATTAATTAGTTTTATTTTAGATACTTTAAGTCATTCCTATAACATTGAAATTGTTATCAACTAATATTGAGCCTGATTAATTAAACACTTCATTATTTCTATAGAACCCTTACTTCTTTAATAAATGAGAAAATATATAAAAATAATAATCGCTTCCTTAATATGGTAATAATACTGTCAAGCTCATAGATACTTTTTCAATAAATTAATTTTTATTTACTATGAAGGTTTCTTAACTGGAATTTATTTTTGAACTGTTTCCCAAAAACAAAAATTAATCAATAAGACCATTATGAATTGATCTAATTTTATGAGGTATTAAATCTTTTAAAGTAGGAGTTTCATCTGAATGTTCATAACCAAAAAATTTTTTGTAATTTTCTTTTATTTTAATATTTTTTATATCAAAATCTTAAAATGCTATTAATTATTGTAATGAAATTGCTGCACCTTTTATGTAATTTAAAATGTGAAATTGTTATGATGATTAAGCTGATTCTTCTTATTGCAATATCTATAATTTCTTTGAAAGTCTCATTTGTTTATTAAGATCATCTAAGAAAACAACTGAGATTAATAATTACAATCTAATAAGTAAAATATTTTCATATTTTTAATCCTCTCTTTAAGAAATAAAATTATTGTAATCTTACTAGACTATTGTGAATTAAATTGAAATCTTTTTCGATTATTCCAATAAATCATCATAATTCTTAAAGCTTCCATTAATATAATTAGTCCAAAAATCTTTTTATAGATTAAGTGCTATTTTAATATTTTACATAACTTGAATTTCATAAAATAAAAACAAATTTAAATCAATTAATGTTTTAAATTCATTTTTACTTAAAAAATTTTCATTTCTATTTTATTATTCAATATCAAGTTTGCAATCAAATTAAATTTTTCTTGTTAAATGTAGAAAAAATTATATTTAATTAGTCTAATTATTTTTTTATTGTTTATAGCTTAAAACAACATCTTGAATATTTTTAAATGATAAGTATTAATTACTGCGATATTTTTTTAAAAAGGTTACAAATTTAATTGTTAATTGTTCAAAAATGTTTATAGGATACTCTTTATTGATAGAGATTTTGATTAACTTTTAAAACTGATATTGTATCCAAATATAAAGAGGTTCACAATCTAATTTTTAATTTTATGTAACAAATGTTTTTAATAGTTTATTGCAAGGGCAATTAATGTCATTACAGGTTGAGCAATGAATATTTAAATATCTTATAAATTAAAAATAGCTTTATTTTGTCATAGTAACAGGATGGGAGAGAAGAACAAAATATTCTAAAGTAAATTCGCTCAAAACAAAGTTAGCATTCGAACAAAATCTTAAGCTTTCTAAGTCAAATTGATTCTAAAAATAAGCTTAGTTTAGAGAAACAATTAACTAAAATTTATATTTTTATATACTGGAATAATTATACAGCTAGTTAAGAAAATAACACCATCATCTAAATTAGTAAATATCCAACAAGCTACTAAAGCTCCAAAAAAAATAGAACTAATTAAAATTTATGAATAAAATATCGTTTCAGTAGTGAATCCAAATGGGTATTTTGTAAATACATCTAACAATAAGCAAAACATGATAAAGAAATAACAAGTATAGATAATTATGTAATGATTTTGATACATTTCTTTCCAAAATGATAAAGTTATTAAAAGTTGATGCAAAAATATTGTAATAAAATTGATATAGGAAAACTTCTTTAATAATCCTGCTTACAAAAAATCGTAATTCCTAAAACAAAAAACAGACACTATCCCAGATAATGAAACTAAAATAACTCCAAAAAAGCTTATAATTACATAATGTAAAGAAATTTATGATAAACATTCTTATGGTTTTATTTCTGAATGCTGAATTAAATATGATTATTTGCCACATGTAATCACTCCTATCATACATTCATTAAAAGGAGTCAAAAAAAACCATTAGAAATTCTAAAAGTAGAATTTAATAAATTGATTTAAAGGAGATGATAAGGGCAGGGTCTAGAACTAGTTTATAAAGATTTTACTTTTAAAATGATTTGAAATAATGCAATTAAAAATATGCTTAGCATGGTTAAAAAAATACTGTAGTATGTAAATAGTGTCAAGGGATCATAATGAATTATTATTAGTATAAAAGGAATTGACGATTATTAACTCACTTAAGCTAAAAAGTTATTTTCATAATATTTTATTGTCTTTCGTTCGAACTGGCTAAAAATATACCCAATTAGTTAAATGAAATAATACAAAATCATGGCCATATTACCGTAGTCTCTATATTTTGTTCTTCTTTCTGTATTAGTACCTATCGTAACAAAATAAGATGTCAACTTTTAAATAAATTACATATATTTATAAATAAACTAATTTTGAACAGCTAATTTAATATGCTAATTTCAAAATAATTGTCAAATAAAACTCATAGTTTCTTTAAAAACTTGAAATTACATCTAAACCATAGAATGGCTAAATATTAAGCACTGAAATTTTTTACTTCGATAATAAAAATAATTTATCTTAAAAATAAAGCAATATTTTCGACTATAATTTCAAAGCATGATTTTTAAACTAGCTTCCAATAAAATAGAAAAACATAAAAAGCAGAAATATTTAAATAGTTATTAAGGCAAAGACTTTAGTTTAATTATATTTATATATTTTAATCTTATAATTCCAAGAATTCTTTTATTTTCTATATTGGAATTTGCGATAATAAGAAAGAGTTAATAATTTGATAAAATAAAAATATTGATTGCTTTTATGTACTAAGCTTAAAGTTCTTGATCTTATATTAATGTGATAAAAAGTAAAAATTTTAAATTACTCTAGGAAAAAAATATAATAGTAATTTAGAAAAATATATTAAATTTAATTGGCACTTTTGAGAAAATAAAGTTAAAGGAATTTTAAGTATTTAAGTTAATTTCTTAATTTAAAAAATAAACAATTTTTATTGATCCACTAAAAAATCTAAAAAAATTTAAAAGGGATTATATTTTATATTATAATAAATATCAATATTTTTTTAACTCTGGTATTCCTGTCCAATCAAATTAAGTTCCTTTTTCCATAAATTCATCTAATCTATTAGCTTTATGAGCTCTTTCTAAAAGATCCATAGCTTAATTGTATTGATTGAATCCAAATTGATATTTTTCAGCCATTTCATAAAATAGTTGTTCAGTATCCTAGCAAAAGTATTTACTCGTAATATAAAAAGAAAATAATGGTATTCCTATGTATTTAAAAGAGAAGACTGCAGGTCTAAAAACAGGAATTCTTTCAAAATTTCTGAAAATAGTTTTGTTTGTAATAATAACTACTAAAGGACTTCCAAATAATGCTAGACTAGTTCTAGCTCTATAATTTAGATAAGCTGCTGTGCATTATTAATAATCCTCTTAGTTAATAAATCCAAATTGCCTATTATATTCAAAAAAGAAGTTAAATAGCTTAGCTCTATCATCAGCAATAACATCAAAGTAATCTTATCTAAATTCTTCGAAATTGGTAAGTTTTCTTTACTTATTCATTAAAATAATTAGAATATATTATTATATTCAAAAATATTTGTGATAAACTAAGATAGTAAATAATTAGTATAACTATCAAGGCACTTTATTGGTTTTATTATCGATCTCTAACGCTTTTGAATAGTCAGCTATTGCAAGATCCATTTCCCCGATACTAGAAGAAATTAAAACATAAAATACTTATCATAACAACATCCTCGATTAAAGTATGCATTAGCTCCTTGATCATTTTATAAATGAATGACTTATGTGAAATCATCAATAGCCTATAAAATAAAGATGGAATTTACCTTGTGAAATTCTCCAATTCTTTCATTACAGATTCCTCTATTATAAATAGCATGAATATTAATTGGATCTAGATTAATAGCTCTAGAATAATCACTAATGGCTTCTTCAAATTATCCTAATTTAGCAAGACAATATCCTCTATTGTTAAGTGTTCTTGTGTTTTCAGAAGAATAAATTAATTCTTAAGAGTAGCAATATACTGCAGTTTCAAAATCTTCCATTTTTCTAAGAACTAAACCCATATTAGAATATATGATTGGATTTTTTGAATCTAAAGATAAAGCTTTCTTAAAATCTTCTAATGCTTCATCAAATTTATTCATGCTTCTTTTACAACAACCTCTATTATGAATATATACTGGATTTTATGGTTCTATATCAATCGCTTTATTAAAGTCAATACAAGCTTTTTCATATTCTCCAATTTTATCAAAAACTAATCCTCTTCCATTATAGGCAGGAGCATAATTGGAATCTATCTTTAAAGAACTAGAACAGATCAATTAATATAGATTACGAATTGAAGTATTTTAATGCATCTTCTAATTTTTACTGTCTATCCATTAATATACCTATATGAGTTAAAGTATTTGGATTATTAGGTACTACGTTATTGGCTATCAGATAATCCTATTATGCTTTATCAAATTCTCCTAATTTCTCATAACAATTCGCTCTATTATAATAAGCTTTGAAGTGATTTTTATCTAATCTTAAACATTCATTAAATTCTAATATAGCTTCTTTTATCAAATTTTTTTTCTTCATTGCAAAACCTTTATTGTGATAAAAATCTGCTTTTGACGGATCAAGCTCTATTGCTTTAGCGAAATCTTTAATAGCTAAATTATAATCTCCTTTTTTATCATAAGAAATTCCTCTATTATAGTAAGCGTAAGCATTCTTTGAATCCATTTCTATAGCTTTAGTATAATCATTAATTGCATCGTTATACATTCTTAACTTATCAAATGCAAAACCTTATGTTATCTAAATATATTACCTCTATTAAAAATAGATTTAAAATGATTGCAATTAAACATTAGTGCCATCGTATAAAATTCAATAGCTTTGATGAAATCTTCTTTTTTTCTAGAATCAAATCCTTATTAATGGAACCAATCTGATATTTTCTTATTATCTTATTTAATATTATCTGGAATCATAGAAATTAATTGCTATTGCATAGGTTGAGAAATTTCTTTATCAATAATTTAAGATGGACGTTGTATATGCAATTCATTAGCATCAATACTTGTATAAAGTGGATTTTAACTCATAAAACTATTCTATTATGGTTAAATTTAAATCTATGATTAATCATTTTATAAATATTCTTCATCATTTTGTGGATTCATAAGATCATCTTCTTCAGGTTATTAATATTTATTTGTTTTAGTTTTATATTAAAATGCTTCTGTTTTGGGATAGTTTTAGTTTTCATCTTTTTTCATTGAACTATTTCTAAGTAATGATCTTTTATTTATGGAATTAGAAAGATTAAGTGATTTTGCATTATCTTTCTCTAATGCTCTAGTATAATCTTCTATAGCTCCTGCAAAATCTCCTTTTAGATTAAGACAAGAAGCACGAGCAAAGGCTGCATTTACATGATTCTCATCTAATAGTAATACTTTAGTAAAATCATCAATTGCAAGATCTGTTTATCCTAATTTTTCATTTGCACATCCTTAATTTATTAAATTTTAATACCTCTCAAATAATATCCACCAACATTATCACTATCTGTTTCTAATAGTTTATTACAATCTTATATTGCTATTTCATATTCGCCTTTTTTAATATACGCGGATGCCCTAATATATAATGCTTTTTTATGATTAGGACAATTCTTAAGTTTTCCTGTACATATTGCTATCAAATTATCTATGTTGATTGACTATATAATATTTATTAATTTACAGGACGATATTTAGGAACTTTTTGTTAACTTGGCAATTTCGTTAGATTTGGAGCTTGCATTTAATTATGAAATTATTAATTAATGTTATTTCAGATTTATTTCAAAATGATCATCAATCCTTTCAATATATTAAATATGTCATAAGTAATCTTCAAGAAAAACTAAAATGTTTTAATTAGAATGCATTTTATAATTACTAAGATATATTAGAGCTTGTATAACATAAAATGATATAAATTTAATGGATTAAAAAACAATCAAAATAGTCAGACCCATTTTCTTTGTAGATTAAAATGAAAATTCTTTTTTTTTGGTAAAATATAAGGGCTTTTTGGATTAGGTCCCAATTTCTTATCAAAATCTCCATATGGTTATCTTAAACTCTCAGACATGAACACATTACCTGAGACTAACAATTTATCTTTTGCTATTTCATCAAATTTACTAGGCAGTTAATAAGATCCTTTTATTTTATATATATTATTTTAAATACCTGGTCCTATTTTTTCTGGTTCTTATTCTCTTTCTTATCTTCCAAAGCGATCTTTTCCAGGTTGAATTGCAAAAGATGATAATTCTTTTTTTACAATATAATCTGGATCAAAAGTAGGAAATTTAATTTCATAATCACCAGGTCCTGGTAATATTTTATCATTTTATTTATCTTTATCGTTTAGCATCATTGCTACTATTTGTTATTATGGTGTTATTTCTCTTAGTTAAGCTCCATCAGGATAAAAACCTAAATAAAAATATATTTAACTTGATGTTGGTCCTTTATGTTCAGGTTTTGATAATTAATTTTAGACTTCATATTAACCTGGAGGAGGATTATCTGGTTTATTTTGAAATTAACCTCTTAAGGTTTTAGATGAAAACACATATTTAACTACATTCGCTTTTTTAGGTTGAGGCATATCATATCTAATTTAATACAGTAATTATACTCTCCTGGTCCAGGATTTATCACTTCAACCTTTTCAACACTCTTTTATTATTATTGTCTCATAAAAAATGAAGGATTGTTAGTTGACTATGAAGAATTAAGGCTTTGATTTGAATTATATTATCCAGGTCCAGGACCTGAATTTACATATTTTGGAGCAAAAACATTTCTTTCTTAAGAACATGCTAATCCTCCAGTTCCCTTATTAGAAATTGATTCTGATTGGACTTTACCAAACTAATATAAACCACAATCATATTCTTAAGGACCTGGATTATCAGGCATTTATTATTTAAATCTTGGTTCACTAGATCCAAATGCTTTTGTGCTTTAATCTCTATATATAATAAGTTCCAATTTCGCAGGTATTGATCCTACCGACAATTTACTAGTAGCATCATGTACAAATCCTTTGTATAGTTTACTATTAGCAGAAGGCAACTTTCCTTTTTGCCTATATGAAACTGAAGATGCAGATGTAGATAACATTAATTATAATCATTTTTTGATAACGTTTACAAGGTTTGGTAACAATTATTCTAATTAATAGCTGTTAATACCAAGAGAAGGAATTGCTTTTGGTTAAGACTTAGTAAAAAGACCAGAATCTTAAAGCTTAGCCTTTGATCTATATGTTTAATATTGAAAATACCTTGAAGATAAAATAGATTTCTCCTCTGATTAATTTGTAAGCTTCTATATTAAATTTTAATATATTTCCTCTGTCATTCCTTTAGGTGATTATAAAGTTGGATTGCTCAAAATTCTTCGATGATTTTACTCGCCCAATTTTTTATCAATTTTATTTCCAATTTCTACTAATTTTGTTGCAGATTTCTCAAGTGAATATACTTACTTATCATTCAAATCTTTAATCATACGATGCAATTTGTAATTTTCTTGCTTTAATATATTTAATTCATCGTCATAATGCTACTTTACTTTATCCATTTCTAATTACAGTTCTTCTTCTGTTTATGAATTATTTTTTGCATTTTATGATTATTTTAAAGTAAGAAGAGCTTCTTACAAACAGAAATTATCTCTCTTTAGATTACTCAACTCTTAATTCAGTAAATTCACCATTTCTTAAAGTTTTTTTGATTTATCAATAAAGATTGTTAAATTTGTTATTTATCTATTGAGACTGCAAACAGTTAACTCTAATTTTTAATTTTCTTCAGTAAGCTTTTTATTTTATTCATGAAGATGCTCTCTAGTTAATAAAATCATATAAAATATTATATCAATTAATTATAACCTTGAAACTATTATTTATCACCTATTAATTTATTCAAGATTTTGTTTGAGATTATTGATTTATTCTTAAAAGAATTGGATCTGCTTTGCAAAAATAGAATTTTCAATTAATAATTATTCAATTCTCCTGTTCTTCTAATTTAAATATTCTAATTATTGGTATTTTTGATTTGAAGATGAGTTTTTAGACTATCATAAAATAAGATTAATACTATCAAAGTATCATTAGAATGGAGTGCACTGATTTTATCAATAGAATATCCTCCTTGTTTTGATGGATTAAAATAAATCACATTTAATTGATATTTCTTTTAAAAAGGTTCAAAGATTACTAATTTATCTTCCATTTCATTATCATATTCTAAACAACTTAAATTGAATTTTAAATTACATAGATTATATAGTAATAATGAAGTCATCAAATCTTTTTGTTTTTTCATATTCTTAGTAAGCTTTTTCAAAATTCGTTAAGAATTTTTATTAACTAGCATTAAGAGTGCAATTTTTTAGTTCTTAATGATATTTTAAAAAGCTTACAAATTACTGAATCTCTAATAAACTGCAAATCCCCTAATACAAACTTATTTCTATCTAATTTTTATTTTATGCAATCAAAATCAGATTAATTATCATTAGCTTTTTCATTAGGAGATGCTTAAGTCAATATATTATCCTTGGATTACTTATAAAACTCTTTGACTTTTTGTTAATTAAAATAAAAAAGTTTAGGAAATTCAAACCCCAATTAAATTAATTTATTATATCTTTTTTTAATGAATTTATATACATTCTTTAAAATGAAGACTATTGACCTTCTAAAAGTGGGTGCCAAATATTCCAAACAAACACACATTCACTTACTAATCTTATAAATGTTTTTCCAAGAACCATCAGTTGCTCATCTTATTTGATAATATTTATTCCTACCTAGCTAATCGGTGAAATAATGTTTTGTATTTATTTACTTCTAAATATATTCTAATAATATTTAATAGAAGATTGGAATTATATGAATAGAAACTTTAGTAATTACTAAAGAGATATGATAATCCATCATTTCTTTAACTAGCTGAATACTTGAATTTTTTTTTACTCTTATTGACAATACTTTTTGTATTGGTTATGATATTTTGTTAGTTAAAATTTCGCAGACAGCTTAAACCGCTAAATGGATTGTTTCTCTGATTTAATAAAATAAATCATTACTTATCATTCTCCTAAATTTTATTTTTCAATAGATGAGCCATTTTATAATTTTTTTCAGAAAGGAAGCAGTTTTATATTTCGGCCATATTCATTTTGTTTTAATTTGTTGTAAAACAAATATTAAGAATAAATTAACAATTTGATAAAATTAAATTGCCGATTAAAAAATAGACAAGATTTACTTTTCTGTTTTACAAATTTAATAATCCTAAGAATTCTCTAATCTTTATTTAAATTAATTAATCTAAACAGTTATTGAAATAATATTTTAAAGAAGTATAATGATTGATTAGATGTTAAAGATTGAATGATATTTAGAGAAAAGATTATAGAATGATAAAATTTAAGAATATTTGATATAATATAAATATAATTAAAAGAATGTCAGATTATGGAGCAGTCCCATTTGCACTAATGATAGTGATAGTAATTTACATAGTAATTGGAGAATACTTTAAATCAATTCACGTATTCATGTAGTCGTCATTGCTTAGTTCCATTTGATCCATGAAACAAGTTTTGGGATAATAATGGGAATGATTGTAGGCCTGTTATTGAAATGGATGGATGAGAATGCATATGCATAATTTGTATGAAAAATCTTATTATTTAGTTTTCATTGAATGCAACAATCTTTTTTTATTTGCTTTTACCATTAATAATTTTTTCTGGAGGATACAATTTAAAAAAGAAGCAATTCCTTAAGAATTTCAAATACATTGTTTCTTTTGGATTTCTAAGTACATTAATTAACTTTATAATAACATTGTCGTTGACAATTGCATTTAATTCATGGAGTAAGAATTTACGAATTATTAATATAGAATTGGTTAGATTAGGAACAAATCTGGATTCACATCTTTCATTGAGTTATGATGAGATGATTAAATATAGTGCAACGATATGTGCAACGGATTCTGTTGCAGCTCTAAACTTAATTCCATCTCAATAATATCCTAAATTGTTTAGTGTTGTTTTTGGAGAAGGCATGGTTAATGATGCTGTTTCTATTATAATCTTTCAAGCAGTGACAATATTATAATAAAGTGGAAAATCCTTTGAATGGTACACTCCGTTTGAATTTATTGGTCGATTCTTAGAAAACTGTATAATTTCTTTATTGATTGGTGTTTTTGTTGGATTATTTTCTACTTGGTGTTTTAAGAAATGCAGATTTTTGACAAAAACTACAACTACTGAAACAGTGTTTGCATTCTTAATGGCTTATATGGGTTATTCAATATGTGAGATGCTCAATTTGAGTGGAGTTATAAGTTTATTAATGATAGGAATTATGATGAGTCATTATTAAGGATACAATATTAGTCAGTTAGGTAGAGTCACAACAAGAGTTACGTTTGAATCTTTGTCATTAGGTGCAGAAGCATTTCTTTATGTTTTTTTGGGATTTGCTATGTGGAATCAAACTACTTATTACAGCCCACTTACTTAAGATCTTTATTATGTTGAAGTATCATGGGTTTTCACTCTTTTACAATTGGGTGTGGTTATGCTTGCTAGATATTTAAGCATTTATATTGTATAATGGATATCTGTAGCGTAATATATTATTTCTATTTTTAGTATTTAAGGTCCTAAAGTTTGGAAATTAACTAAATATGAAATGAGCATCTGTTGTTTTGCTGGAATGGTCAGAGGAAGTGTTGCTTTCGCTCTAATTGAAACTCTCTCTGCTTCTCCAACAGATGGCTTATAAATTAACTAAATAAATATACTTCAAAGTTGTGTACTCTACATCGTAATTGTTACTACATTGATTTTTGGCACAGCCATGCCTTTCTTTATAAATATATAGATTAAAAAATAATAAGAGGAGGAGGAACGTAAATCTAATAGTGAGGTTCCTACTCCAGTAATTACAAACTCTCCTAAAAAAAAAGAATTAAGTGAAGCTTAAAAAATTATTAAATATATGGATGAACACTATTTCAAAAGGTGGTTCATTTTTGATTATGAAAAACGTAAAGAATAAATCAATTAAGAAAAAAAATAAATTAAAAAGGAAACCTTATAAGAAATTTATGAGAAAGCCTTTAGTGAAACTAGTGAGGATGAATCAGTCAAGTAAAGAAATGAAGATTTCATATCTTTACCAACCATTGAAGAAAAACCTACATCTCCATTAATCGTTAAAATGTAAGAATTATCATAACAAATTTGAATTATATTTTATTTTGTAACCAAATTTCAAATTTATTGCCAATTATAAATATTCCTTACTAAAACTTCTTCTATTTTAAAATTACGGCATCCAGTTAATCTAATTTCACCAACTGGTTCTATTAAATCATCTTCATATCTACAAATCCCTTTTTATCCAATTATTATTAATCGATTATTTACATTCAACCCACTTTCATCAAATTTAATCCAATTCACTCTTAAACTTGTATTCAATTCTACTCTTGTTGTGAGATTTACTAATTTAAGTTATTCATCCTCTATTTATTTATTTAATTCAATTTTTTTAGATACATAAAATCCAAAACTTGCAAATTTAGTTTTAAATTAAAATGATAAATTCTTCAATCCAATCAATAATTATATGTTTAACTCTGTTCCTCTAAAAATTTCTATAGGCTTGATTTCAAGAGAATTATAAAATGCTCTGTCTTACTCTTTGAATTAACCTTCTGTGGTTGTATCTGAATAATCTTCATCAGATTGAGAAAAGCTTGATATGGTTTTAATTTAGTTTGCTTTGTATTATTTCTCAAATTCAATCAAGATGATTTATTTCTATTCATTTGTAATTTATTCTTTAATTACTACATCACAAAATATTTCTTGTAATTTGATTCTGTCGTAACCGTTACATAAACAATATTCACTTATTAATAAAGCAATTTAAAATTAATCTAAAAATTTATTGCTATCAAAATTTTCTTAAGCTAAATAATTGTGCAAACATAATAACTTCTTAAATAAATTAGTTTAGAGATAGAGATAATGTATAGGAACAAGCCTGTTTTTATTCTTATAGATGTGTTTCCTTACAACCTCTGAATCCACTTTTTTATTAAAAATACCCAAGAATCCATATTCTTTGAAATAATTGAAACAAAAATTAGTTAATTGTTCCTTTTCATATAATTCAGATATTTAATAACTAATTAATATATTTGATTTATCTTAGACAAGAAAGTTCTCAATCTAACTTTAAAGTTCCTGAATCTGAAAGAAATGAAGTATATAGTACATTTCATATATTTCTTATGGTGTATTCAAGATAATTTCTTCGCCATTAAAAGCCTCCATAAGTTTAGAAACTATGTTAACATCTAAATTCTCCTAAACAAAATCAATTTGTCTTTCAGGATCGTTACCTTTTGACCATCTGCCTGAGAATTTTGTATAGGCTTTTTTGATATTGAACTGTTTGTTAGAATGCCGAGATAGGATTATCTTGAAGTATTAGTATTATTGTTATTATTGTTAAACTTGTTTTGTGATTATATCATTAAATTTGAGCACTAGCATAATTCGTTTTTAATTTATTATATATAAAAATGAGAATCATGCTAGTGCTGTTGATTAGCTTGGTATAATAGTCTCTAATGATTTAGGCTTTAAGTAAAATGACTACAGATCCAAAAGTTGTGCTTGCAGAAATAGATGACAATCATATGGGAAAAACATTCTTGAATGCCATCTAAATCAGTCTAGCTACAGGTTCCCCTGTACATGAAATCTAAAGTTATATCAATAATATAAGGTATCAAAGATGTTATACCTAGATTCATGTTAGAACAAGAGCAAAAAGACTCAGATCTTTATATCTAAAATACATAAGCTTCATGCAATAGATTACTTCATGACTTTTCTACTAACTTAGCATATCATTAAAGTTAATTGAAAGCTCATAACAAAATTGTTGATGAGAATACAAATAATTTGTAAAGATCTCTAAACAAAATTGCAGAAGTGTCTGTTGAGATTGAAGAGAATTCAAAGAAAACAAATGCAGGATAAAGTGAAAGAGACTTACAATATGCTGAATTTTAATCTAAAATTAAGGATCACACTGAAGCTATTGCAGCTATTGATGAAGCTTATGCATTGATTGAGCATCTTTCAGGAGGATCTTCATTTATTTAAGTTAAAGGAAGATTTAACAAAGTGTTATCTAGATTATAGAAGTAATATAATATATTTATATTAGTTAATCAACATCAAGTGGATTACTTTTCTAACCTATTCTAACTATGATGACATAATTGTCAGCTAAATCTGATTCTGATACAGCAAAGAAAGTCTTGTAATTGTTGTCCAATTTAAGAGTTCAAATTGTTGAAAGCAAATCAAGTGACGAAGATATTGAAAAATAACAAAGTTTGAATTGGTAATAATTCTTGTCTGACTTAACTAACGAGAGAAATACTTTGTATTTTATTTTATTAAATAAATTAAAGGTCTGATTAAAGATAGAATCTTGAATAAGCCATCTTAAATTATTAGAGTATTATTGAAGAATCATAAGGTAAAGTAGAATATCATTCAGCTGAAGTTGAGAGAAATTAAGTATTTAAATCTAATATCATTTAATAGTCTAATTTAGAAGGATAAGATTAATGGTGCAGATAATAATAAGATATCTATTAGATGGAAACCTAAGCAAGAGTCCAATTACAAGATTTGATTTCCAGAATCTCAGATCACATCTAAGACAAGATTGTTACTCTTAAGGAATATCTTAGAGAAAGACTCTAATTAAGTTGAGATTAACAAATACATTTATTATTATATTATTAATGGATTCAATTACTGGCACGGAAACTCATTAATAAAAGAATAATATAACTTGTAATGAAAAGCTCGTCTAACAAGCAATCATGAATAGTTATCATGAATAAGAATTTAGATAAACTATTTCACTAACTTAAAATTAAAACTAAAAAGTTTCTGATGATAATAAAAATTCACAAGTCTCCTTAATTCTTTGTCCAGTCCAAGGTTCTGATAATAATGATGATATTCATAATGCCAATTTGACATCGATTATTAGAAATAGAATTGAACCATGTTTTGGTGTTTTATTTAAAAAAAGTCCTCACTGGGTTCAAGGTTATAAGGAAAGACAATGTTCAATAGTTAATCGCGTTTTTAGGTATTACTCAAAGGAACAAAAACAATTAGAAGGTGTTCTCAATTTTGATGTTTAATCATATTAACTTATTGAAATTAAAGATAAATATGGGAATATTATTGAATTCATGTACAAATCATCAATTTATTTTATTAGAATCAAACCTGTTGGGAAAATTGAGAAAGTTTTCCAATTTAAAGGTTATTAACAAGAAGATACCCGAAAATGGTTCAATATAATAAAAATTCATTTACACGATTCTCTTGGTTTTCTCAATTAACTAACTTCTTTATGCAAGTATTAAAGATATTGGAGGGTATCTTTTATTCAAAATATTTTAAGCATGAAAGAATTTCAGCCTAATAACTAGAGGAGGAAGGGGATGATGGTGATATCATTTTATTTAGAGGAAAGGATATTAATTGTTATGTCCAAAGAGCACTTACCTAAGATGATTTCGATCATGTGGGCTTACTTCTTAAAATTGAGAATGAATTATTTATATTTGAAGCCTTGCCATCTAGTGGTGTTGCATTATGTAGATGGAGCACCTTTAATCTCAGAAAATGGTATTCTATGTATGAAAAGTATAATTATTTCATCTCTATTTTTAGAGTTGTCTATCGTAAATTGTAAACCAATAGATCTGTTGATTTTAAAGTCAAGCTTTCAGATTTTGTAAAAGAGAACTTAGGAAAAAAGTATTCCTGCACACCATCAAAATTATTAATATAAAAATCTATTGTTGTCACAGAAGAACATTCAAAAAACGAAGAGTATAAAAATAGAACCTATTTTTGCTCTGAATTAGTTGCTAAATGTTATAAACATCTTGGATATTTACCTAAACTAATCTCTTCTACTCAATATTGGCCAGGTTCATTTTCTTAAAAGAATACTAAAATATAACTTTAGTAAGCATCTCTTAGTGATGAATATCTAATTGATTTTTGTATGTGATTAATAATTTTTATTCATTTTTACATAATAACTATAAATCAATCAAATTCCCATTTTTCTTTCTTCTTTTTTTTCTTATCCATTAAATCATGAAGTCCCTTTTTATACATTTGTTTGTTTGCCCAAATGAAATAAAAAGCTAATCCTCCAAATAGAGAAAGAAGCACTGCTATCACAATAAATTAATCAGTTGAAAGACTCATTATTTGTTTAATTAATTATATTTCATAATGATAATCATAAATATTCAAAATAAGATTATGATCAGAAAATTATAACTAGAATTTTGCTATTATAATAAGATCTTTATTCTTTAAAGTGGCTTAGAAATTAAAATTGACTTACATAACATAATTTTTTCCTATCTTATAACTTTGATGTGTGGCTATATTAGATGAGTTAAAAGCTAGAATTAATTAATTTTAATTATAGAACAACTTAAATTAAAGTCTTCAAGGCATTTTTAATGTTTTTAAATCTTTTTAATAAGTGCAGCTATTTATAAGTAAAAATAAACTAAATTGTAGATACTTTATTTATCATAATTATCTCAGACAAAGAGTTAACTAAAGGGTATATTTCGAATGCTGAATAACTCAAAAGTAAATCAATTAGTATATTATTTAATGAAAAAGGACTGTTTATGTATCTATATTCTTAACTAATAAGTAAGAGCATTATTGCCTGAAAAATTGTAAGATTAATTATTTTAATCATGCAATCTATATTAAAGGATTTCGTTATATTACATAATAAAGACTATTGATAATTTAACATTAAAATTAGTCCCTCCCATTTAAATAAGATTTTTCAGATGATTTGTTTTGTGAATTATTTTAACAATTCGACAAGAATTTAAATAAAATTTTTTTATCAGATTCCCAAATAAAATAATTGCTCCAATAAAAAAATTCTAATTCTATTTATGAATTTTACTGAAAGTACAGGAGTTATCTCCTGAGATAAAATTTTGATTATCATAATTTTACGTATTTAATTTTTATTACATTAATTGCTAATTATGAATAATTAAATTTACTAAAATTATCATAAATATAAATATTATCAATATTGAAACATTCATATTAAATAAAAATATTATCAGTTATTAAGAAACCTACATAATTAAACAAATATTGTTGGCCTGATAAATGTAAAGTTAACAAAATGTTTGATAAAATTTTTATTTGATCAATTTATCTAATTTTAATGATTTGCTTTTATTATGAGTTTTGCGATAATATCATCATAATTAAATTTGTTTAAATAATGTAATGGAGAATTTCCATACATATCTTCAGTAAATATTGAAGAATTTAATTTTGGATAAATTAAATTTAAATATTAGGTAAGTTATTTTCTAAAGCAAGAGTGGAATTATTTCCTTAATAACTTCCCTATTCTAACTAAGCTTCTAATTCTATTAAATGCCTAACAGAAAATAAATTGTCAGTTTTTAATGACAAATTTAGAGCTGTATCACCATTTTCATTTTGTATATTAATATCCAAAATTGCTGCCAAGCGACTCAAAACTCTTAAATACTGTGCTAATTATGCATCGATGATTTTATTTTCCAATACTTTCTTACTAAAAATTTTTAAAAAGACTATACAATTTAATATTGGTATGTTAATAAATTAAATATTGGTTAAGTTTAAATTTAAACTAAAGTGGATCAGCGTATTTCTAGTTCTATTTTTTTTATACTTTAAGGTAATTTAGGTAAAATAACAATATATAATTCTTCTAGATTCAACTCTTGTAATTTACTCTAAGAGAGATTTAAAACTTTAAATTTATCACCAGACTTGTAATGCAATCATGTAATGCAATAAGAAGTTATTCTTTAAAGCTTAGACTTTTACATCTATAACAGGGGCTACACTTAAAATTTCTAGCTTTTATTATACTTTTATAAAATTACTTTACAATTTCAAAACCCTTAACTTTTAAATTCTGAAAATTTCGTTAGGCCTCAGTTTTTAATCGGAATTCGTTGAATTCTAAAATTTCACTTATGTATTAATTTTGCAATTCTTTAGTGATTGATTTAACATCAGCTTCTTTCATTTATAGAATATATTTAGTTGATTGATTTAGAGAAGATATAAATCTGATTAACAATTAATATATTCCACTTAAACTTTAGAATACACAATCTTCTATTTCAACCTATAGTTTTTTTTTTTGAAAAAGACTTTTTACTTTGATGTATTAATTGTCTTTGTTTGATTAAAAAATCAGTATTGTTCATACTAGAATAATAATGCTTAGTTTTTATAGTTTAATTATTAGACTTGATGGTATTTTTCAAGAAATAAAAAATATCAAAAGATTGCAAAAAAAAAAAAGCAAGGTGGTATATCTTAAAAATATGTAAATAATTAAGATTTGGCCATCTATGAATATAATATTCTAAATGATTTTGAATGTATAATTTTATATAACAGAATCATTTTAATTGATTCAACAGTTAGTCATATGTTGGTAATCTATTGGCTAACCCGCCCTCTGCAACTAATGATGGTCTGGTCTTTAATAAATCTATAACAGCTTTATTAACTTAATCAGATGTGACTGCATCAATGTAAGAAGCATATTCATTAAGTTTTATTGCTTTGAAAATTTTTAACTAAAAGCAAGAATTTTAAATTTACATTTTTGGCAGCTTCCTCTAATCTATCAGCAGTTCTTTCAAGAGCAAAAAAAAGTTAAGTTTTTAAAATTTATTTGGCTCTAGTCAATTCTGAATTTGAAATTGATCCAGTTAAAGATTTTAATTCATTCAAAACGCTAAGAAGTAATTCTGATCCTTTATCAGCTGATCCAATGACTTTAACTCCAAACAAACCAGCATCAGAAAAAGTAAAGTTTAAACTTTCTACAACATCAGCATAAGAGTTTTTATTTAAAACTATAATATTAATTAAATTGATTACTATTTCTTTATAATCTTGATTGGGAACTGCCTGTTTATCCCAAAAGAGCATTTAATACTTAAAATACTGCTGCTTATGAGCTACTCCAGTTTGCAGAAGGAAATAATAAACCAATAGCAATTTCATTATCATCCGTTAAATTTCTAACCTCCCCACCAATATATTAAGTTTAGGTTCTTGTTTTTGTGCTTTATCCAGCAGAAATAAAACTAAGAGTATCCTAAGCGAGACTTACAAACTCTGAATGGTTGTAAATACCTGCACCAGTTACTATGATTCTGGATGGGTTAATATTTTCAAGTTAGAATTTTTAAATGTTATATGCACTTAGATTACCAATATTATTTTTAAATCCTCTTAATGGCATTCCCAAACCAGTTAATCCAAAAGCAGTTTTGAATATTGCTTCATTAAAAGCTTCACCACCTAAAAAAAATTAACATATGTATGATACTTTTAATAATATTTTCTAAATTATGTGTCCCATAGTTTTTTTCAATAGCAGCATTTGCAGCTACAACTGATCTTGGCTCAAGTGCGCAATCAGCGACCACTTTGAAGACATCAACAACATCATGAGCCAAACAATGTGCTTTGAAGTAAACACTCTCTTAATCATAATCCATTTCAAACTCTCCCCCAGATTATTGAATAACACCACTAAAATTAATAGATGCTTCAATACTAATTAATAGTCTCATTTGTGTTTAAGACTGACTTATAATAGGTATTCTTTATTGATAACAATGATCCTGAAGTTTCATTTGTTTCATCTCTTGTGCCTAAATCTAAAAGAATTCCAACATCCACTCTTGATGGAGATGAGGCAGATTCTGTAAGTACTGTTATACCATTTGAGAGTTTGGATACTTCATATCTTCTCTCTTATTCTCTAATCTCATTTCCTTGTTACCCCACAGCTGTTTTGGGGCAGCCTGCTGCTAATTTATAAAGATCAGAAGATTTATCATCCCTATAAATTAAATCATGTAATTAGGCTCTCAAAGTAGTGAATCTAAATTGAGACTAGTCCAAAGTTAAGAAATATTTACTTTAGTTGTAATTCTTCCAGACACTCTTGATAGCATGATATTTTATTTTAAAAAAATACTTTAGTTTAAAGATGAATCAATTAAAATAGAATATCATTTATTTACAAACAATTGATAACTTTCATCAATTATGATTAATATGATTTCTTATTTCAAACAATATAAAGCATTAAAGATAAGATTTTACAGAATAATTAAATTAATGAGTGATTTAATTATAATTAAGAGAAGAAGAGGGGATTATATTGAAGAGGAAGGGAAACCAATCAATGTTTAATTATCATCTAAAGATCAAACAATCTTGAACCTTAAAAAAGAAATTGCAAAAACTAGTAATATTTAGAATTTATTTAGCTAAAATAAAGCCAATAAGATAATGGTTAACAACAGAAGATAAGTAAAAAGTATTTGAAGATAATGAATTACCATTAAATCTTTCAGGAATCAAGAATGGTTAGACTTTGGTAGTGAAAGATTTGGGGCCTTAAATGTTATGGGGTGCCGTATTTTATGTTGAGTATTTGGGGCCAATTCTCATGTTCTTTTTGCTTTACAAATTTGGTAATTAAGAGAATTACACATTAATGCAAAAGTAAAATTTTGAAATATAAAATATAGAGCCGCTTATTGGATGGTGATTTTACACTTCATCAAAAGAATTCTTGAAACAAAATTTGTTCATGTCTTCAGCAGAGATTCAATGCCATTAAAAAGAGCCTTCATAAATTGCTTGCATTATTGGATATTTTGTGGCTTTTTTCTTGGAATCGAACTATTTTATTTAAGAAAATTTGAAAAATTCTAATCTTGGAAATATATTTTCATAGGATTTTTTGCTCTGTTTGAATTTTTGAATTTAATGTGTCACATAAGACTCTCTAGTTTTAGAAAGAGGCCTTAATAGAAACAAAATGATGGGGATTATGTTGCTTAAAACAAACAAAGATAGATTCCTTTTGGCTGGGGTTTTGGGGCTGTTTCATCTGCTAATTATTTTTGGGAAACGATGGCTTGGGTTAGCTTCTCCATATTTACTTGCTCTTACGCAGGTATTTTTAATGATATTGGATAGCTATGGCATTTACGATATTTTCATTTGGTTAGATGTTGATTTGGGCAAAACAAAAACACAAGAGATACATTAAAGAATTTGGAGATAGATACCCAAAAAATAGAAAAGCTATGGTACCGTATATTATTTGATGAATATAATCAATCATTGATTCAATAAAAATAAATCTTATTTTAAATTTTTATGACTATTAATAACATGTATAGATTTGAAGATGAAATTTATATTTTTCATCATTAATATAATTCTTTATGATTTAAAAAATAGCTAGATAAATCATGAATCGAAGGGCTTTCTTAACTGCTATAGCTAACGAAGCCACATTTTTAGATTAAGACATGGCTTATTTTAAAAAAGCTGCTGGACATGCTAAAATAAGTCAAGACAAATTGGAGTAATAAAATTTGATAGTTTTTAGTATTGATAAGAGCATAGATATTGTTATCAAATTCAATTTGCCTTATGGAACATAGATTTGTGTAAAAATTTCAAAATAAATTAGGTTCCTGTGTATCGAGCTTAACACAAAATTTATAGATTGGCTACTAAAGTTGGAAGTCCGCATGGAATAAACCCAAGAAAATTTTCTAAAAGAGAAATAGAAACTTTGATGAGAAGATATACTCTTGAGTTGGCGAAAAAGAATTTCATTGGGGCTGCTAAAGATGTGCCTGGACCTGATATAGGAGTATCAACTTTTTATTTATATTAAAAAAAGACTAAGATGCCTACAGAAAGTTTAAGGGTCATTAAGATATAAATTCTGTAGGCTGTGTCACTGGAAAGCCAATTATTTAAGGTGAAATTTCTGGTAGATAAGAACCAACAGGAATGGGAGTAAGTTAATTAAAATATTAATTAGATTTTCTTTACAACAAGACAAATTTTAAATGATTCCAAGTTTTGTCAATCTTTAGGTATTGAACCAAATTTAAAAGGAAAATCCCTTATTATCCAAGGTTATGGCAATGCAATAAAAATTTTTCTTTAAAATAAGTAGGCTGATTTTGTGCTAAATACATGTATGATTATGAGGCTAAGATAATTGGAGCAGCAGAACATGATGGATCTATTTTCAATCCTAATGGAATAAATCCTTATGAGATGGCAGCTCATAAAAAAAAGACTGGAGGTGTAAAGAGATTTGCGAATGCTGAATAATATTGGGAGGATGAGTCAGTGATTTATAACTAATGTGATATATTCATACAGGCAACTTTTGAAAAAACAGTCAATGCAAGCAATGCAGAAAAAATAAATTATAAAATTATTGCTGAAGGTGCTAACAACCACCATGGCAGCGAAAGAAAAACTTCTTGCTAAAGGTGTTATCTTTTTACCAGATATTTTGCTTATGCAGGCGGTGTAACAGCAAGCTATTTAGAATGGCTAAAAAATTTGAAACATAGTAATCCAGGAAGAATGACTAGAAGATGGTAAGAATAAGGCAAACACAGAATTCTTGAAGTCATCAAAATGAGACCCGGACTCAATATAAATATTAAAGATAGTAAGTTAGCTAAAACAATGTTAGAAGACCATCGAAGTAAATTTTAGTATAAAACTGATTTAGTTCACACAGCCTTGAAGCCGTCAATAACATTATGGCTATATCTTTAGAATAAAAGGTTAATTTTAGACTAGCTGCTTACATTAGCGCTATCAGCAAGCTAAACGAGCATTTTGAAATGGCTGGAGTTGAAGCATGATCGTGTTTTTACGAATATTATTCATTAAAACATTCTAATAACTATTTAGTAAGATTTATTGCTTTATTTGGCTATGGTATTTTGGTATCTTTGATTATATTTCAGAATGAGGGGTATTAATGGATTCATGATTTATTTTTTTAATTTGACAATATAATTAAATATAGAAATTATTTATATCCATGTCTAATTAAACACGAACGTGGGTTGATTCAGTTACAGATTCTGTTTCGGATGTTACTGGATCTATCAAAACTAATGTCAAGTAGCCAATTTGTGATGCCATAAATCAAATACCTTATTAAGAATGGAAGCAAACATATTTCTTACCATTAAGCAAAGAATATGATAAATGGCCATCAAGCTTTACTTAATTCAAATAGAATTATATATTAATTTAAGCTAATGAAAATATAAGGCTCATTTGCCTTGGATTAAGCACATTAGCTGTAGTATCCATTACAAAGAGATGTAATTTAAGCGTTAAATATTTTAGTTTCCCCTGGGATATCCCCTCTTATAAGAAATTCAGTTATGACCTATTTTGGTTTAGGATTAGTAATAGCCCCAGAAATTTATAATCCCTTGCTAGTCAAGAAAAATGATAATAAATGAATTATCTAAATAAATAAAATAAAACAAAATTTAATTATCTTGAAAAAAAATAAATTATTCTAGATTTAATAGAAATCTTAATTTACTTCTTTTTATTCCAACTCTTGTTAAATCTAGATAATTTCATCATAAATAGAATTTATTATAATTGATTAATAAGGAAATATTGTATATCAAGTTGTTAAAAAAAACATATATTAATCATTTAATTTAACATAATTTTGCTTTACATTAATGAATTTTCAAACCAAATTTTTACTCAAAAAAGGTGTAATAGCATTGCCAAAACATTTAAGAACTAAATCAGTTTTAAGTGATATAAGTAACCTTTAGACTCATAGGGAATAAAGCATAATCTCGAAAAGAAGAAATGCAATAGTTCCAGTTAATTAATAAGATGACGATCCAGCTTAAGAACTGTTAATTTCTAAACCATAAAAAATTTATTAGCTTGAACTCAAAAGCATTTATGAGGAAGAAATATTAGAAAAAGAATATCAAGAAGATATTAATGTAAGAAATTTTCTTTAATTAGTATAAAAGAATCAACAATCTAATTTAACATAAATTCACTTAAGAATAGTATGAATAATTAATAGATTGGATGCTTGCAACTGTCAAACGTTATTAAAAAATGAGCTATAATACATTATTTCATTGTGTTGAATTATTGGATATTTTTCTGTGCAACACCAAAGGATTCATTGCTGAGGATCTTTAACTAATAGGTAGTTGTTGTATCTATCTTTCTTCAAAATTCCATGATATAAGCCCTATTTTCATTGAAGACATCATTGTAGATGTACAAAAATTTACTAAATTAGATCTGCCAAGAAGCCTACACTATCCATGATTTTTTATCAATGGAATACACAATATGTAGAAAATTATAATTTAATTTACATTTGCACACTGCTTTTGAATATTTCGAAAAGCTATTTTTTAATCTTAAACCTTTTCTTTTACAATTTTATGAAAATTACTAAATAAACTATATGAAACTCAATGCTTTAGAACTTCTCCAATACTCTATAATCGCTTATGAATTTCGAGAGATTACTCATTATAATAAGGCTATAGCTTGTATTTTTGAAGTCATCAAAAAAACTGATAAAAGAATTGTATATTTTGATATCTAAATTTTAGATCTAGAAATTATTAGAACTACTAAATCATTTAGAAATTAACTTTAATTCCATTTAACTGAATGCAACAGAATTTAAAAAATTTCAAACGATGAACAAAGAACGTTATCTATGTATAAATAATTACTTTTATTGATAATAATATTTATTTTATGCTTATCGTTAAAGGAGGCCCACCTTAAAAAATAGGAAAAACTCAATCTGTTCACAATGTTCCTGTAGATTCTAATTTAATTGTAATTAATCAGAATTCTTTAAATTTAGAAACTAAATCCAATTCTCACTCTTAAAACTGAAGGTTGTTTTGATATAACTTTGAATCAAATTTATAATAGTGTTGGTGATTCAGAATATGTTTCTGGAAGAATATTTAAGCAATTAATATTGTTTATGGATACAAAATTTAGCGAGTTAACTGAAAAAATAGACAACTTTGACAATTTATCTGACATCAATACACATTTATTAAGAATCTAGTCTTCATAAGTGAGTCCAATTATGAAATAGAAATTTGATGATAGTCCTAATGATATAGTTAGGAATAAAAGTTCTGGATCATTGTTACAACATGATAATACTAGCATAAGTGATAAAGGTAAAAATTCTCCAGGTAAAAAGAATTTTCAAAAAAATTGTTTATCCTAATCTAGCGCAATGGATTTAAATAGGTTAAACTATTTAGAAAGAAAAATTAAATAAACCGAAGAAAAACAAACTAAGTTTGAGCAGGAATAGATAGATAAGTTTTCAGGTTTCTAAAACAAAATAGAAAAAATGATTAGATCAATTTAAGACAAATAATAAGCATTATAATTTTCTGATTTATATAGAGACATTTAAGATTTTTCTGTCAACTAAAAATAAATTATTTCCTTCATCTCTTCCTCTTAAAATGAAATGATGTAAATATTATAAAATTAACATTTGATAGCGACTTTAACAAAAAATTGCTTTCAATATCAAAGGAATTTTAAGAGCAGATTAATCAAATAAAAACAGCTTTAGAATAAAGTAACACAGCTTATTCAACAAATAATGAGAAGATTGAAACTATGTAAACAAGTATTCAATAAATCGATTAAGATTTGCTAATAATGTTAAAATGTTATAAGGATATTTTGAATGATATATTTAGAATTGAAATTTTGGAATAACAACAAAAAAGAATTTTAAATATCCTTAATAATTATCCATGAATTATATTATTTATCATCAACAATTTGAAATTCATTTTTTTTGAATCTCCAACATAAATTAAAGCTCATCCTAATAATTAATAATTTTTTTAAATTATTATTTGAACAGTACTGTAGACTCAGTATGCTTCTCACCAGATGGAACTATTTTACTATCTTGAAGTAATGATAATTCAATCTTATAATGGGATGTTAAGATGGGATAATAAAAAGCTAAATTGGATGTCATAGCAATGGTGCTGATTAGAGGGTTCTCTCCATATGAATTAATACAAGCATCTGGAAATAATGATAATTCAATCAGATAAGGGATGTTAAAACTGGATAATATACGGTCATACTAATGATGTCCAATCAGCGTGCTTCTCACTATCAATTATGAGATGTTAAAACTGGGTAATAAAAAGCCAAATTGGATTGTCAGAAAGATTTTGTTTGGTAGATATGCTTCGAGCCAAATGGAACTATTTATCATTTGGTTGTTTTGTTAATTAATTAGATTATGTGATTTTAAGACAAGATAATAAAAAAATAAATTAGATGTCATATTGGCATATAAACAAAGGCTGTTTCTATTCTGATGGAAATACTTTAGCAGCTGGTGATAACAATAACTCTATAAATTTATGGGATTTTATAATTAGATAATAAAAACAACTAGAGGGTCAGATAGATTACAAATTTTATGGGATAAAATATAACGAATGGGATATTAAAATTAAAAAATTATTATAATTTTCCTTATATTATACATATAAAACCTAATATAAAAATAATAGAATTCTTTAATTTTTTTTAACAAGATTATGAATACTCATAAAAGCAATCAATAAACCTTAATTGAGCTTTTTTGCGACTTTATGGAGGTACATGAAGCAATATTCATTTTAATAATATTAATGCTTAAAAAAGAAAACATATCAGAAATTATTGAATATCTATCGACAGAAGTAATACAAAAAAATCTTCAATCAAGGATCACAAAACTTAAGAATTCATCAAATGCAAATGAAGGATACAATTTAGAATAAAATTAAGTCATAATATACTAAAAGATTTTAAAGATTATTACTTCAATTAAATGGATATCTCTTGTGATGAATTTTATGAAAAAAAAATATCTCTACTGAGTTAAATAAAAGATAAACTATTTGAAATTTTTTGTTTATCTTACTATTAATGATAAATAATTCATTGCGTGTGAATCAAATTCACCTCAGTTGCTAATGGAAATGAAAGTAGATTTAAAGTTGTTAGGCTGAAAAAATATTAAAATAAGAAATCTTTTTTATAAAGAGGTAAATTTGTAAGATGTAATTTAAGGGGATGATATTATAAAAGGTAAAAAGTTCAATGGAGCATAACTATTTAATTGTAAATGGAAAAACATGAAAAAAAATGACTTAAATAAATTAAATGGTAATAATGGGAATTTCTTATCTGTCTGTTTCTCTCCTGATGGAAACCCTCTAGCATCTGGTAGTAATGATAATTCTTTATTATATGTTAAAACAGGATAATAAAAAGCCAAATTAGATGGTCATTCTAGTACTGTCTATTACTCGAGTTCTGGCCGTAGAGAACCGAGAATTCTCTACTATATGTCGAGCAGGGGGTACCCCCTTAGCTTTTTCGATTAAAATTGCAAAATAGGGGGTAGAAGACATGAGAAATTTTATTAGTTTACCAATTGATTCAAATACAGAAGATATACCAATATATTCTTACGATGAAAATATATAGGTAATAAATGAGAGTAATAAAGATAATGTCAACATTTGAGTTAGAATAATCTATTAAATATATACCTATTAAAGATTAAGTAATCCATTCAATTGCTCATATTGAATATAATGCTATGAAATCATATATTGACACCCTTGTTAGATTTATAAATCAAGTTCCTGCTTAATTTTAAAAAGAATTTAAAGAAGACTTAGGATAAATTGCATTTGAAGAATTTTAACATTTTGAATTAGTTAATTAATTATGTTAATATGGATCTTAACCTGTACATAATAATCTTCAAAAAAGGATGGTGTTAACTATGGATTCTCTACTAGGAAGATTAGCTATTTTGAGTATTGTTAATGAAGGAAGAGGAATGGATACAGGACTTAATTTAATTTCTAAATTAGAAGGAGATATTAGATATGAAAAAGTAATTACATGATCTCAAAGGGATAGCCAGAATTAAGAAAACTGAAAAAATATTTCTCAAAGAAGATCAAAAGAACTTTATCAAAGAAACAAAGTTTTTTTTATAAGAAGGGTAAATACGATAACCACATTATAGTTGGGATCTTTTTATTATTTAAAAGGTATTAGTATCATTTAGGAGCTCGGTTTCAGAATTGGAATAAATTACATTTTAAATGATTTGCGACGGAACAGCCATTTATATACCAAAAAAATAAATAAAAAAAGATTCTAGAGTAGAAAGGGTTCT